CATTTTTCACGTGGCACGTGCAAAAGGGGTCACCCACATGCATCAGGAATAGTCCAACACTTGTTAGAAGGAATACAGCTACCGTCTACCGAAAATTATGGCATGTAATTCGGTCAAGTGGCTGCTGAGATATAAGCCTCGCAAAAGCGTGCCGGCCGCTCATACTCAGAAATTTCCGTTATCTATACGAAAGACTAAGCTCGCTTCGCTCGCTCCGTAATGAGTTTGGGGGGGGGGGACGTCCCCCTTCCATTCTGAGAGTGGGGGGGACGCGTCCCCCCCGTCCCCCCCGGTGGCGGCGCCCATGCCTACAAACCTAACACTTCTTGAATCGCCAGATCACAATTGTATTTAAACAATTTAAACAATCGCTGGGCTGGCGGTGATGATTGTTATTTATGATAATATTAGATATAAATACAGTAAGGATTAGGTTTTATCTAAGCCACACTTACTAATGACTAATGAGAAGGTCTATCAAATTATGTCTATATTAAAGGAATCAAGTGAAATTTGTGGCGGTCATGACACCGACCCTGACTACGTTTTTACTCTAAATTCATCTACACATTTACCGGTTAGCGGCGATGGTGACGCCAGCTATATCGATACCTTGAAATGAATAAATGATGATTTTGAAAGTCCACCGGTTTTTTCCTCTTTTTGAACCCTCTAAAAACTGGACAAATTGGCTAAATAAGAACATCTACAAAAATGTAAGACTGACTTGGACTTGCTCATCTTCACTGCTTAGACCTTTCATCCCTATTACAGGATGTCGCAGGGAGTAGGAAACACCACACCAACCGACTCTAGTTCATTTACTCTGCATTGCACTGTGATAATCCAGTGCTGAATTTTTCTCTGTGGAGTATGAGCTCCGGCAGAATTGCCCATTTTTGCCTACGTTTCCATAGAAAGCGAGCGCCAGTACCGGTAGCGTCACGTTGTGAATCACTGCCCGTTAAGCACCGCTCAGTGGCATTGGCCGGGCTGTCATGCAGCTGCCTGTGTTAACAGATACAAATTGGAATATTCAGCGTGACCAATGTGCTCTGTTCTTTCCGGCAGATTTCTTAGCGATCTGACACCATGCCGAAAGTGAAGAGAAGCCGCAAACCGCCGCCGGAGGGCTGGGAACTGATTGAGCCCACTCTCGACGAACTGGATCAGAAAATGCGCGAGGGTGAGTTGACCGGGACCCTCGTCCATACAGTCTCTTCCCTCCTGCCTTGCCCCCCCCCCCACACACACACACTGAGTCTATGGTATAAGGCTGAATGCATCTGTTCATTTATCCCATTCAGCCTGAATAGTGTGGTCATGAGTCATGACTCTCAATGACTAAAATTATTTTGATTCACACTTAAGTTGGTCGCTTTAGCTCATTCGCTCTGATTTATGACTTATTAACGCCGCTTGTTTTGTGATGTGCTTTGCGGTGATCATATCGCTAACTCTAGACAGTCGTGAGTAGCTGTTGTGCCACTGCATTACTGGTTACTGTTTTGACCGACATCTGCTCGTCTGCTCACAGCTGAGACCGAGCCTCACGAGGGTAAACGAAAGGTGGAGGCACTGTGGCCCATCTTCAAGATCCACCACCAGAAGTCTCGCTACATCTTTGACCTGTTCTACCGCAGGAAGGCCATCTCCAGAGGTATGTGGTGAGATATGCGCCTTTAGAGTCATCGGACGTCAGTAGTCGACTAAATGCGAGTTTTGGACTGACGTCATTGAGGAATGCTAATATCACAACCAGTTTTTTATGATACTGAATACTTTTCGATGTTTTTGAATGGTGAATGTGTTTTTGATTTTGTTAGTGAAGAGGCACCTGTCCTGTTTCTGTCCCAATATTCCATCAAGTTAGCATAATGGCTGGTCTGGTACGTTGCACCCAGGTTCATTCAATCTCTGGCCTTTCGAATCAACGTCACCGTCAAACGTTCTCTCTCCTTACCCACAGAGCTCTACGACTACTGTCTGAAGGAGCGTATCGCTGACGGCAACCTGATCGCCAAGTGGAAGAAGCAGGGATATGAGAACCTCTGCTGCCTGCGCTGCATTCAGACGCGCGACACCAACTTTGCCACCAACTGCATCTGCCGGGTGCCCAAGGCGCGATTGGAGGAGGTGAGAACTGAGTGTATAATTCTTGGAGAAACCCCACTGTGTGACGCAATATAATTCTTGGAGAACCCTTCTGTGTGACGCTAGCCGACATCCATCCACATAACAAATCGGTAGGTGTGTGGGCATGCGGCACTTTTCGACAAGTCGATGTACGCCGCGCGTGTTTTTTTTTTCGTTCAGAGACTCCGAGAGACTCAGCGACTTATCAGTCCTTGATAACTCTCTGATAATTCTCTGGGCACCCGACAGTCAACACACTTTGACTTTTCTGACACGCAACACTACCTGACGCTTTTTAACAGTTCTCCAAAATCCAAATGCGACGTTTCTCGGCAACTCCCCGGCTGCACGTAACTTGGACCTCGATACCTACCCGATTGCACGTATTTTAACCCTCGCCCGTAAACGGCGATCTGCCACCTTCGCCCATGCAGGGGGGGGGGGGGGTTGGTGCGACCCCCCCCTTGGCGTTTGAAAACGGAGCGTCGTAGAGCTTAGCGGAAAAGACCAACGGATTGCTCTCGCCGAGATCTCGCGATTGGTGGTATATTTTTTGGTCCTAGGTCAACATTTGACCTACTTTTGACCGGTCAAAGGTCAAATTTTCGGAAAAATAGACTTTTTTCAACTTTCCGCGGCGATTGCGGCAAAACGGTGGGAGATATCGACTTGAAACCTTCACTATCGTGTTCCTTGATCAATTCCCTATCGTTTGGTATGTATTTCGTTTCCCTAGCTCTAAAAATGGCGCGTTAGGAGCGCCGGAAGTCGGCAAGGTCACAGTCGGCGGCAGAAATTCGAAAAATCAAAATTCAAATTTTTGAAATCTGATTGTATTTTTGGATTTTGGAGGTCCATTTGCTCCCTATAGAAGCTAATATTGCTGCATATTCCCATTGAGGTGACAAGAATTAGCAAAATAGTGGTTCGGGCGCTTTTCAAAAATAGTACCGGACGCTGTTCCTCTTGTGACGTCATAGCTCCGTGACCTGACCTGACCCGGTCAAGTTTCTTATACCATATGATAGCCAATACTTGCCCCAACATGCATGAGAAGTTTCATCACGATCCATCAACCGATGTCCGTACCACCGGCAGGAAACCTCGGGCGTTGGCACTCAGTTTGTGAAAATCCGGCCGGAGGCTGTTCCCTTTGTGACGTCATAACTCCGTGACCTGACATGACCCGGTCAAATTTTTTTTATCAAAAGATGCGCAAGGTTTGCCCCATAAGGTACCCAAAATTTGGCGGCGCTGCGCGCCGCCGTTTTTGCACTATTTCCGAAAAACCTTAGGGGGGGGGGGGGGGTTGCACCAACCCCCCCCTACATGGGCGAGGGTTAAACCAACGTTTGCTCTGCCATATGGCCATTTCAAAATAGTTTTCACATTCACCATCTATATGGCGAATGTGGCGTTTATGGTGAATCGTATGGTGAATGTCCTGTATCGCGAATTCGCCATCTATACGGCGAATGTGTACAAATGTTTTGCCCAGTGGTCAAAAGCTAACGCGAAAAGATGTAGTACCGACGTTTGCTCTGTCATATGGCCATTTCAGTTTTCAGTTTTCACAACAGTTTTTGTGACACAGTTTCTGTATTTTCCAGGGTCGCGTGGTGGAGTGCGTACACTGCGGCTGTCGCGGCTGCTCCGGCTAGTCCATCCCAATGACGTCATAACCCCGTTACGTCATCCTATCCCCTCACCGTCCAGCGCTTACCCGACATCGTCACACTACGGCGTACGCTGAATATGATGAGTGCAGGAAAATTCGTCAATTCAGTGTCACACCAGCCAGCGGCAGAGAAGGGATTGGAAGGATACATGTGCGTTGTTGTGAGACTGTACCCGGAGCTGCAACAGCGAGAACTGTGCTGTGTTTGTGAAGCTCCGGTAATGAAATGTGAACTCATTGGCTGTGGTGAGCCGGTTGGGAGTTCTGAAAAGTGTAGGTGCGGTCCTCATGAATCCCGAAGGTGTAATGAGGCGGGTCGAATGTCTTCTGTCGTTCCTGCAAGTGTGTCAGCTTGAAAACAACCGCTGATGGCTGACGTCGGATCTTTTCCAGCGCTGCTTCGTAGCCCGCAGCCAGCCGTGCGGCGTGTGTATGTCAGGCACGTGAGATCCCTGTGTGGTGCGCTGTCGCCTGAGAAATGGGCTTATGCTCATAATTGTCGTAATGGAGCTCACCCAGTGCACACCGATACCGTTTTCATGCAGCCCTATCGTTGAAAATATCAACATGTTTGTCTAATTGAACTTAATTATTGTACGTGTTCGACTTGCACTATCGTTAATTGCTGTTCATTTCGGGCAACGAAATTGGCCTTGCATTGATTTAGATTTACTGTAAGGCATTGGTCTCACATGCACATGTCAGGTGGGCCTGTGTGGCCTGTGCCTCTTTTCGACGCTGGTCGGCGTTCTCCTGTAACATGGGTGTTTTGTGTTTGTAAATGATGCAGAAAAGAAACGTACATCTCCATCCAAAGTTCTTGTTTGGATCGTTTTCTCGCAGTCATTGACGTTTGTGGGAGTATGAAAGCTATTTCAGTGGACAGCAGGCATTCGCCAGTTCCGATGAGGAAGGAGTATTGACTCGTTTCAGATTGGCCCATGGGATCAACGCTTTTTTTAGCTATGTATTGCAGTATGTTGGAGAACAGTCGCTGAGTGTAAGCATGTTTAAACGATGTAAAAGCGCAAACTGAACAAAATCATTCGAATTTTGATTATTTTACCGCGATTCCCTATCTTGCGGTTGGCGCTCACATATTATAAACATTTAGTGGCGGTATACTTATTTGACCTTGAAATGCATCAGCTGAAAACACCAATAATGCCAGAATGGTAACTTCTGCGTCAGAATCCCCGCATTGCGTAATGAGCAAGCGTTGATTACAAATCTATCCAATCTACCTATCACTTTTCGCGTGGACGCTGGGCGAGAATTTCAATTTAAAGTCGCTCATGCATTAGCTGTAGAAAATAATATTGTTTCACATTTTTGCATAGGAGCTCAGACTCTCCGGAGATAAGCTCAGCACTGTGACACTGCAATGCAGAGTAAATGAACCACACTCGGTTGGAGTGCTTCCTACTCCCTGCGACTTTTGCAAGTTTTGGCTTGTAGTAGGGACGAAAAGGTCTAATCTGTGAAAAAGAGCAAGCTGACCTAACATTTTCTTAGATTTAATCAAGATGGCTGCGAACGAGTGCATGTATTTCTATGAGGATGAAGTGTACCGAATCACGAAGAGAGGCAATCTGGAGTTCGGAATGGTGCTTCAGAATGCAGATGTCGATACAGATGAAGAGGAATCAGGCTCTGAAGAAATGGAAAAACTAAAGAATGGTCACATACTAGTGGCTTGGCATCCAAGGGGTGAAGAGGATGTCATCCATGAGAAGAAGGTCAGTAAAAGCATTGGGTGCTAAATTTTGATTGTGGCATTGGGCGAGTCACACTGTCTTACTATTTGTTGTTTTTGTGACCCTTTTTCTGTTTTTAGATGCTTTGTATTGAAAATGAAATTATTTAGAAGAAGCTTATTAAGTAAACAAGTTTATTTTCTATGTGATGGTGTTCATGAATTTAAAAAAAACTTAATCATTGTTCAATCATTCCAGTGCACTTGTAATTGAAGCAATTGATATGAATGATTAAGTTATTGTTAGAGTGTTGTCAATTATTCAGCTTATACAAGTGGAAAAAGTATTTTAATGCTCGTCTGAAACTCAAACTCTTTAGGCAGCTTTAGGCAGATGCTTCACCTATTTCTTCAATCTTTGCTATCTACTGAGAAGTTCTGAAGGTTGACAATAAGTGTGTAATAAGTTAATGATGCCTGAAAGTGTAAATATTTTTCCTTTTCTCTTCTCTTTCCTTTCTTTTTCTCTTTTCTTAGAAAGCAACTCCTAAGTTACCCTAATGTGTCAGTTGCTCATTATGTGAACTGTCAGGTCATATCTGAAGCTTACCAGCCACTACTATGGACGTCAAACCTCTTGAGACCCCACTTTTTTGCGATAATTTTTAAATGCGTCAACTCTCGTTGACCATATCCTGGCAATGTGTGTTTCAGAACCTGCCGAAACTTTTATTACTAAGGTATTTTGACGCCAAACGATTATGAAAGGTACTTCTCATTCACTCGCAATGTTAAATTTCACGGAACGAATCTGCTGTTTGGGTAGAGGCTACGCGCTCATGAGGCGGAGCCACGTAATGACGTCAGCGCTAAGCTCCGCCCTACCCCTCCGGCGCTCCTTGCCCGGCGACCGGTCACTCGCGTCTCTCGCTCCATTCAGGCTTGATGGTGGGCGGTAGCTGGTAGCGGTAGCGGGCGCTGGTAGATGGCATTTAGAGCAGATGGCGCTGGTGGCGGGGCTCGAGTGTGGCCGAGCGCAAGCCTCTGCCCGGGCCTGAATTGACCTTAGCATTACGAGTGAATGAGAAGTACCTTCCATAATCGTTTGGCGTCAAAATACCTTAGTAATAAAAGTTTCGGCAGGTTCTGAAACATAGATTGCTAGAATATTGTCAACGAAAGTTGACGCATTTAAAAAATATCGCAAAAAAGTGGGGTCTCAAGGGGTTTGACGTTCATAGTAGGTATTAGGCTTGCATATACTATACATTTTATTCCAATTTGAAATCTGACATTTATTTTGTTCAGGGTGTAGGTACTTTTGAAGTTTGCAACTACTGAAGATTGAAGAAAACTATGATGACATCAAATGCAATTAATTTGTTTTTTTTTCTCTATGATAAGCTTCTCTGCCTGGCTTCAGTTCCACATTTGATCCTGAATTTATGCAGTTTGATTTTTTTCTAGACATTAGCTAACATTAATTTTATTGTTAAGAGTCTAATGTTTCTAACCTTCCCATGATGATAGTGGGGTTTCAGCTGACAGATTTCCAACATATCCTTGTGACATATTTATCTATGAATGTTTTGACCTCATGGGTCTCATGAGTTGGTGCATCCAGCATCTTTCTTTATCAGATGAGCCTCTTAGATTGGTGTGCTTGACTTGGCTCTTTTATGTTTTTTTATGGATGGACTTCAAATTGGTAGCATCTCTGAAGTTCCTGTGACAACACATGGGCTTAAGTACGCTAGTGTGTCCAGTCCATTTCCTATGAAACTGGTGGAGCAGTTACCCCCTATGACTGTAGTGAAGCTATCAGACTTTTATCTGACCCCTGTAAATGGTGGATCTCCTCATATTCTGTCAGAAAACCTTCCTGACTGGTATATGACTTCATCCTGTAACTGAGAAAGCCTCTCAGAACTCCCTATTCCCTCTGTGACAGGAGGGTCTCTCAGACCAGTCTTTGACCTCCCTATGTAATTGGTAAACCTCTCCTACAGTCCCTGATCTCCCAGTCCTGACCACTGTCCTGTTCAGTCCTACAGTCTCTGACCTGAGACATCCACCAATTCTTACAGGTGGGCCTGTCAAACTTTAATCTTACCTTATTGTGGTGAGTGAGTGTAACTTTCAGAACTTGCCTCATCCCTTTGCAACTGAGTGTGCCTCTCAGACTCTCAAACCTATGTCTAACCTCTCTCTCTCACCTCTCCAATTCTCACAGATAGGTCTCTCAGACCACTGTCTAGCCCCTCTCCTACCTCTCCTAGTTCTCACAGACAGGCCTCTCGTATCACTGTCTAATCTTCCCATGTAACCTAGTAAATCTTTCAGCAGTTCGCTCTTCCCTTCTTCACAGGTGGGCCTCTCAAACCTCTGTCTAGCCCTCTCATACCTCTCCCATTCTCACAGGGGGGCCTCTCAAGTCACAATGTCTAATCTTCCCATGTAACCTAGTGAATCTCTGAAAACTTCCCTGCTCCTTTTTCACAGGTGGGTCTCTCGGACCGGTGTCTGATGCCTGGGGACATCGTCCGCCGTCTGGTTCCCGGTCAGGACACACAACGTGGCTACTGCCGCACAATCACCATGAAGGCCACAGTGCAGGTGGTGGGCACGCGACAGGTCATCTACAACGTATCCAGTGATGAACTGATTCCTCTGGAGGTGAGAACAGTGTTAGGTTCTGAGACAGTGACTGTATTAGCTGGGCAAAGGCTGGTGAAGCTGGTAGAGGCCGGAACTTTGTTTCGTTGTTGTTCTGGGTGTAGTGTCGGATTCTTGATGTCGAGAGTCTGGGCTCGAGTCGCTCCGGCGCTTGATATGTTTGAGACTCCTGACGAGCATTTGTGGAAGCACCTGGGAGCAGTTGAAATCAGTAAGTGGGGAAGTCTGCCCTCACGCCTCATGGTGAAGTTATGGCAGGCTCATATATTGGCACGCTGCTTCTTATCAAAGCTATATTTAACTTGATCTTAACTGTCTAGAGTTTCATCTACATCAGCCACCGAACGTTTACTGTAACGATTCACCACACTCCCATTCCCCTCATTCCTCAGGAGTTCGCGCCCGACATCGCCGTCTGTATGGACGCCTGGGTGGGAATCATCAACTCGGTGACTTCGGAGGTGGAGCTGCAGTTTCCCGACGGATCCACCTGCCTGCTCACTGACGACGAGGCAGCCGAGCTCGACGATCCGTCGGGACGACGACTCACGGTGAGATAATCGACGAGAACGACGGAAGACGGCGAAGGAATAGAAGGAATAGAGAATAGAGTGAAAGGGGGATGATGACTCACGATGAGAGGACGGAGGGACGGAAGAATGCTCACTCAGGGTGAGAGAATAGAGAGACGAACGGACGATTCCTCGGAAGGCTGTAGCTAGAGAGACGAGCGTGTGTCGGCTGGGGATGAGGTAGTGACAGGTGACCACTGGTTTATGGTACCGAACTGACAGACACAAGTCCGATCACGATGTGATAATGGACAGACAAACGGACGAAGGAATCCTTACGTTCAGGCATGGAAGGAAGGAAAACGTTCGATAGCTTATAGACGAACGAATGACGCAGGAACGAACGGAGTACCTACGGATGATGGGGTTACGGTTAGGCATGGGCGCACTGAACAGACGTTATGCTCATGGCGAGGATAAAATTACATACCTACCGATCGTGCTTGCAAATCGAACGCCATCTTGTCCCATTTCTCTGGACTCTGACACTGGGTACCATTTCGTTGAATGCGCTCATCTTGGACACCATTGCGCTCCATTCTTCCCACTCCGAGCATCGTTCTACCCGATTCTACTGACACCAGTGATGGTTTCGACCCCGTGTTTTTCCAGGACTCTGAGTTTCGCGTGTGGTTCTACCCGGGTCAGAAGCTACTGGGACCGATGAAGGCTTTCCAGAACGCCGTCTGGACCTCTTGCTACAAGGACACACAGGCGCTCAAAGAGTGGCGCAATAAACGAGTCAAGGTAAGCGGATTGTTTGGCAGAGCGGTGACCCGCGGAAGCCGGCGTAATTAGAGAATTAGTCTGCACAGAACTAAACACGAACATAAAATACGACGGGGATGGAGCCGATGGGAGAAGTGGGCCAAATAAACGAATAGAAACTTAGGAAATTAGGCAGGTAGCTGCTTAGCTGGCGATGAGAGAGAGAGTAGGCGGCCGCTGATTGTCAGATTGTCAGCTTCGCTGACAATAGAAAAGAGTGGAAGGCGGGGATGATTGGCATTAGGCGAAAGTTGACAGCAGTTTGGAAATTTGAATTGACGGTAAGACGACATATGACACGCAAAAGAAAAGGATAAAACGAAAAGAAAAACGTTACGATGAACTTTATCGAGCGCGAGGTTTAATTAGGTGGTTGGCGATCTATGATCTGTGACGATGTGTGCCATGCCATGATTTTTGTTCTATTCGCGTCAGGGGTGGACACTGGACAATTGTGCCGAGTTGGGGTAGCACGAGTCTTCCCAATTCCACGCCGGCTGCGCCGGTTTGACTTTGGAGCCGCACCAGACGGCGGAGGTCAAGGTCACTGCCAGGGCGGCGGCGGATTTGCTGCGCCCGTGCAACCCCAACTCGGCATATTTCTCCACCCCTGATTTGCGTTGATGTTTAAAATATCATAGACGTTCTTGCGTATTATGTATGATCAATTCACTGTTTCTGTACATTGATAATCTACATACTTTCGTCTGTTTTTTTTATCGTATCGATCCCTGTAAGGTAGGTAACGTACGAAAATGTCAGAGACGCCTCGGTTAAGTCCTTTAACTCGTGAGTTCGACGGTACGAGAATATGCCAAGTGCCTGGGTCTAGCCTCGCTCAATATTCATCTATCACGTCCCGGTTCCGGTCCGTTAATTTTACTGCCCGTGTCCATTCTGCACCGCTTGCAGTCGAACTGAGCGGAATGGTTTGCCAAGTGCTAATGGCCCGTGGCTGATATGGGATGGTATATTCACCAGCATTTCACAATCTTACTTTCATCCCAGTTACAGCAGCTCAGTAAAGGTCTATTACAAAATTGGACTTCGAGCTGTTGCTCAATACAAAATCTGTTTGTAATATTCATTGACCCCTCATATATCGGTATATAATGCTTGTATTCTGACAGTCTGTAGGTGTTTTTGATGGATAATTTGAAATACCGGAACCGTACATTGATTCATTTCGGATTGATAGCGTTCACTCATGTGTCTCTGTCTACCCTCGTCGGTTTATGGTCGAGCTGAGTGACAATTGAATGTTCGTCGCTTGTCCCCGCTCGGTTACGTCTTAACTACTGGTTGGGACGTCATATCATCAGTCTTCATGCCCGTGTTATAAAGGGGTAGCGGGGCGTCGACAAAATCCGTTCTGAGATTACCGATTCTATCTCCCTTTCGTGTTTGAGAGTGGGATATGAGTTGTGGTGAGCGTTTATCGGATGGCTCAAGTGGGTAATGAACTGGCGTCAGTGTGTAGGTTTTCCTCACGTGTACGGACATGCCAGAAGTGCGACAAGGTGCACTGAGCTTGTGCCAAACCGCTGCTCATTGCATCGACCAAAAGGTCACTTGTCAAAAATGTCGATAGATGCGAGGTCACCCGTCAGTCTATAAATGTCACTGCTTGCTCTGTAGCCGTGCAAAGTTGCGAACACTAATAATTTGCGGCAGATCTTAACATGACTTTTCTCCCTCTGACGGAGCAGTTATTCACATATACTTCGAATGCATATACTTCGAATGCATATACTTCGAATATGCATTGCATATATTTCGAATATGCATTGCATAATGCATATACTTCGAATTACAGATGAAATAGTGATGCAGCATCTGGTATTGTTTACCCCTTACTCGTTGATTATACTGCCTGCGTTCATAGTTGCATGACAGTGTGAATATACTAAGCTGCTTTAGGGTAGTTCGTCTTATATTGCCTCACGACTTAATCCCATCAACGTTCTCCTTCTATCTCAGGTGACAGTGACCAAATACCACGTGACCTCGCTGAACGTCTTCATTCCTAATTGCCTCACTAATGATTCCCACCAATGTTCTCCATCCACCTAAGGTGACGGTGACAAGTACCACGTGACCTCTCTGACTGTCCCCACCACATTGTCCTACCACTAACTCCCACCAATGTTCTCCTCAGGTGACGGTGACCCAGTACCACGTGACTTCGCTGACTGTCCCCGTCCCGTGGTCCTACCAATAACTCTCACCGTTATTCCCCGCAGGTGACGGTGACCAAGTACCACGTGACTTCTCTGAACGTCCACTGGCAGTGTCGTGCCGTCACGGCTGAGGGTAGTCTCGACCAGCCGTCCTATGTCATCACCGGAGACGATCTCAAACGGTACGTGAAAGACTCAAGCGATGCTTGTTGACTTACATAAAAAGCGGTAAGAATAAATCGAGTCCGCGGATGATTTCACGTAGTAATCGTAGTATTTTACAAAGTAGACTCATGGAGAGGTTTCATATTTTAGTAGCTCGATCGGTTTGTTTTATGTTTCATGTTATTTTATGAGACATCGCTAAGCTTTATTGGAATATTTTACATGATAGAGTCGAAATATTTATGTTGCCTTTGTATTTTTCATATTTGTATAACTGCTATATTCTTCGGGAAATTCTGCGTGAAAAAAGTCTATGGGAGATTTCATGCGTCAGTTTCCTCAAGAGGTCATGAAATGCATTAGATGCGGTGAGCTAACAAGTATCAGATAGTGCGTGCCATTGACGGGTTTGTCAGCAGCTCGTCTTCCCGTTGCTCTTGTACCGTGTCTAACACGCCGATCTAATTGCCCCCAGGGTACGAATGCTCAACACATTCGAGCCGTGCACTCTCCAGCTGGGTGACATGAACACCTACAAACTCCGGGAGAATGACATCATCATGACGCTAGACGAGTGGAAGAGACTGGAGAAGAGTGCCATTAGGACGGGCAGGAGGGTTCAGCCCGGCGCGGCGCACTCGAAACCAGCGGCCGCGGCGACGGCGGCGGCGGTGGCGGCGACTGGTGGTAAGGGATGCTCGGAGTAGCGGTGTTGCCGCAAACTCTTGGCGACTCACATTTTTTAAGAGAATTTTTCATGACAGAATTGTTATTCCTTAAAATTGATTGCGGGTATTTTGGACCCTTTTCTTAGTCGATCTCGTTAGATTTTTGGCTTTTCATCGTCCACTGGTACGTTTTTTCATCCACTATTATCCCACGATTTACTTATTCTCATGATTCCGCCATATTCTTTCCATCGTGCACTTTTTCTGCTGCGATTCTCATGTGACATACTCAAAGTCTCATTACTGTAAAACGGCTATTAATTGAGCGTCGCTTCTAAATTTGGAGAATTCGATTTCGTTGTTTTCCACATCCTGTCTTGAATAACTCATAGCAAGGGACCAGACTGATGATTCTGTCCTTCATCACCACCTCAGGGGCTGCGGCCAACCCAGCTACATCAACAGCATCTACTGCGTCCGCGGGGGCAGCTGCAGCGGGGGCGATGGCCGCTCCGGCGGCGCCTGAGGCCTCCGCCAGCCCCCCAGAGGCAGCGGCAGCGGCTCTGACGAACGGCACAGAACAGGACGACGAGATGGGCAGTGTCAGCAGCTACAGCAGCGTCGGATCGGCCGGTGAGTGCTCAGTCGCGAGTGGGGTCTGCTAGTGAGGCTGGCGGGTACTTGGTTGGGCCGTTTGTCTATGGGTTTCACCCGCGGCCGTAGTGCTCGGGTGACGAACGACTAGGCCTGGCTCAACTGAGCTGCAGACGTGGTCGGATTTTCTACGAACTATCAGTCGGATGGCCGTCTTATATTGATGTTCAGATTGACTCATGTTCGACCGCTGGGTTGTAATGCCGTGCGTAACCATTTATTGTATGTCTTGCAAGGTAAAACGTTTCGTTGTGGCTGAGTTAACATACAGGAAGATATGTGTTTGGGTTTGGAATAGTTTCCGCTTGGTATATTATCCAGATTTACATGGATGCCACTTAGCAATAGTGCTTTAATTTCCCTGTTCACCGGAACCTACCACGGCATCATTCACATTTAGTAAATCCTCACCCTAGTTTCCCATCACCCAATTCATCTCACTCCCCAATCAATGACTGTTTGACCCTTCACTATGACCTACAGGTAAGCGCACCCGCCGAGGTCTCAGCCTGAAGACGCACGTCATGAAGAAACGCAAGCTGAAGCGCTCGCGGCCCTGTCGTCAGCCAACGTACGAGACACGCTCCTTCTCTCCGGGCGATACACTGGTGGTGGAAACCGTGAAGACGGTGTCGTGGGTCACTGTCGTCTGGCAGGTGAGCGCTCGACGTGGAGGTTAAATTTGATTTGGAGGGTTTATAGCAGACGAGGGAACATTCAGCTGGGTTACTATGGGTTTGCATGTGATGCCTTAAAGCGGAAAAAGGGTTGTTGGGTCACCTTTGAAGGCTTGGGGATTAGCGCGGCATCAGATGACGAGTTACCATGGATTGACAGTGGCTGATGGATGCTGGATTACGATGGCAGACATAATGAATTACATAACTGTGTAGTGTGTAGTCACTGTAGTATGTGGAGAGGGGGTCTATGCCGCGGTTCAGTGGACTGGCAGACGACTGAAACTGCTGACTGTTCACTCTCTTGGCAGGACGGCTCAGTGGAGGAGGACATACCGTCCGTCAGTCTGCATCCGTCCCACCATCTGGACGAGCACGAGTTCTTCCCAGGTGAGCGCAAGGCCCTGTCTCTGCAGAATGGTGTTTTCGGATATGGTCTGGTCCAGTGATCAGCCGCTTCATGGCCCCTCAGGTCTCTCTTTCACCATCACTCCTTAATCTGTTTCCTCCTCAGTCGCCTCTGATCCCGCATCTTACCTTCCTTTCGGCCGGCTTCCTTCCATCCTTGACCTTGTTTCACCCCATCAGCTCTCATCCTTGTCCCACCCCATTTCTCATTCATCCTCCCACCCCGCTTCTCAGTTCTCTTCGCATCTCTCTTGTCCCACCCCCTTTCTCACCCACACCCCCTCCCCACACCCTCAGGTGACTACGTGGTCGAACAAAAGACTTAAGTTGGCCCTGCAGAGTACGGGATGGTACAGAGTTCTAACCACCTTCCCAATTCGTCCAAAGGTGACTACGTGGTGGAACAAAAGACAGAGGTGGGCCCTGCAGAGTACGGCGTGGTACAGAGTTTTAACCACCTACTCCCTCCCGTCCACAGGCGACTACGTGGTCGAACAGAAGACCGAAGTGGGCCCGGCAGAGTACGGCGTGGTGCAGCATGTGGACCACGCCGGGCGGACGGCGCTCGTCAACTGGTACCAGATCTACCTGTTTGGCAGCGACGCCAGGTACGAAAAACATTTTTTTCTACAGCTTGTACCAACCAGCCTCGCTTCCGAACCTAGTCTGGGCTAGTCTGTTTTGAATAAGGCCAATTTGTTTTTACCACGCTAATCTGTTTTCAATCTGTTTTGGTTTTGGTCCGTTTTGTATGCAGTAAGTTAATGCAGGGAGATTCCAAAACTTTCCTTTTATTTAAAAGACCGCTATTTTTGGGCGAGAACCTAGTGTGACCACACAGCCGTTTTTACTTAAATACAAGATAATCTATTGATATCTTGTTTGCTCATCATCTGCTCATCATCTCATTTGCTCATCATCATTATTAGGTCTCGATGGCCTATTGGCAATGACATGACGCTTCCCGCTCATCTATTGATTATAATAAACCACCTTTCTCTTTCATCGTCCCGTCCTTCCGATAAGTGACTCAGCTTCTCGTATAATGGCCTCATCAACGTACCTCGAAGTCCCAACAAACATGTCACCGACTCACCTTAATTTTTCGTCGGCAGTCCTCAACTACTGCGTCAAACCGAAGCCTCTGTGTACGACCTATCCGACCACCCGGACTTCCGCTACCGGCCCGGTACGGTGGTGGTCAGCGTATCACCGAAAAACAGAGTCATCACGGATACTGACGGAGAGGAGAGCAGAGAGAGTGGCGGAGGGGATGGAGCGAGGTGAGGAGGGAGGGGGGAGGGAGGAAGGGAGGTTAGAAAAAGGAAAGGGTTGGGATGGTGAGCGAGAGACGGTCAACGTGAAATAAGTGGATTTGCGACGAGAATAGCGTGGGAGAGAACTCATGGTGATGTGAGGCTGTGGACCAAGGGAGAGCAAAGAGGAGAATTAGGAATGGGAAGACGAGAACCTCCCCGTCCTGAGAGACAGGACGAGGGCGGAGAACGTGGAGAACCAATGTCTAAACCCCTCTGCCTTTCGTCTTCTTTGCGGCCTCGAATTGTGTTCGCAGAAAATGTTTTCTGATGCTCCTGTAGTTTTCTATCATCACATTAAGCCCGTTAGAATCGGTTGATCCTCCGCCATCACCCTTCTAACACCCTCTATCTCCTCACAGGGAGGTTACGCTAGCCCACTGCGGTTCAAACGGACCTGCGGCGGGCGGCGGCGACCCAGCTCCTCCAGCCCCCGCAGCTCCATCAGCACCCTCAGCACCGTCAGCTCCATCAGCTCCCTCAGCACCGTCAGCTCCGGCAGCTGAAAATACTACCGAGGATACAGCGGCGCCGCCGGGCTGCGGCCATGCCGGGCAGGTGCTCGATGTGCTGACATCTGGCGAGGTGAGTCGGAAGCTGTAGTGTCAGCGGTGATCCAGTAGAGGCGCTAGAAGGGCCCGCATTTGTTCTCGTTCATGAGCAAATATCGAGAGGATCTAGCCTGTTCTCACTAAGCAGCGAGAACACACAGGTATCATTCGCTTTTAATGTCTGGGAATTTTAAAATGATAAGCTTCCTTCCATCTCACTGCAGCCTCCGTAGAAACGCAAAACGACAGATCTTTCCAATTTTGAGGAAATGGGCGGGCGAGCTGTCCCGTTTCCGAAGTAACAACGTCAGTTAAATCATTTATACTGGTCCCTGCGCCCTATAATGTCCAGATCACCCTGTCTGACAACCCTCTCCCATCCCGTTTCTCCACAGGTGAAGGTGTGGTGGGCGAACGGCACCACGTCCAACTGCTACCCGCAGGACCTATTTAGGGTGAGTTTGCACTGCTTGGCAGCCATTCAAATTCCGCGCTTTTACTAAACCAATATCGTGCAGAGTGCTGTATTCGTACTGGGACTCTACTATCATGTAGTTTTTGCCTTTTTCAATTTTTTTTTTTTTTTACTTCGATATTTTTTTTGTCCTTCAATGGCATTGCATGGTACGCATGACTTTGTTATGCACTCATTCAGTCTCTACCAGGGCATTTAAGTTCGGAAAGTTTCGCCCTTGACTTCAAACAGATTCGCTGATATAGCTTGGACTGAGCTCGGTTTGCACGTGAACTGGTTTTGGCTCTGAACTGAACTGACTCTGAACTGACTCTGAACTCTGTGTCCCCGCAGGTTGGCGAGTATGACTCGGATGAGGGCGAGCTGTGGGACAACCACGACTCTGCCGACTCCACCGAGTCACAGTGGGAGACTCAGTCCGAGGAGTCAATGGTCGCCGGAGATGAACCGTGAGTTAATGAGTCATCACCTGACTGAACAGAACCTGAAGTCAGTTACCGAGCAGCGCCGAGACCAAAATGGACAGAGCCTCAGCCCTCAGCAGTACCTATTTTAATGCGACACTTGTTGCTGCTCTGCAGGTCTCCCTAGGAAGCGATGTTCGCTTTACAGCTGTTCAATGCTGTTTTAATTTATAGGCATCGCATTAGTTACGATAAATCGTCATTTTATTCTTGTTCATCCGCATGCCACGGTTTTTCCGGGTCTTTGACCTGAAATGGATGTGTGCTCTCCCCGGGCAGTAGTGACCTTTGTGATCTGTGTTATTTCCGTAACACCTGCGCCAACACCTCACTGATCTCATGTAACCCTCTGCACCCTTCACAGCAACTCGGAGCAGGCAGAGACGCCCCTGAACGAACGTCTGAAACCCCGCCTGGCCGCCATCATTGAGAAAATCCGGGTGACGATGTCTCGACTGGAGGAGATCTTTACTCAAAACTCTGCTCTTCAGAGTCCGCTCATCATGCGCCAACTGCTGGACATCTATAAAAACTCCAGGCTAGTCGGCCGATGGGATGAGGGGGGGGGGGGAGGGGGGGGTGACTCCCGTCCCTCTCCAGAGAGAACTGCTATGGGAGAGTGACCATCAGGGAGGCGCGAGCATGCTAATTGAGGTCTGTGCTTTGGCTGAGATTACATTATTGATGCTTGTACGTGATAATTGACGCTTTGACAATGGAATGTGAGTCCATACTTGAAGAATTCCACGATATTACCGGCTGCAATGCAACGGACTGTTATGTTACACCGTAGTGGTATAATGTCGTATAGATCACTATATTTTTGAATAGCTTTATAGGTTCGACTACTGTTGCCTTAGGACGTATAATTGTCAAAGCGCTGTTTTATTAGTACTTTGTATGATTGCTTTTATTCTTAAGACGTTTGCTTGGGTTGTGTATAATTAATAACCCTTTTTACTTACCTACGATTTTTTACCAGTTAGGTTTCATTCCCAACTAACCTACCCCACCATTCTCTTTTGTTCGCCGTTCATGGCGGTAATGGTCGAATGACGTTGCAGATTATTTCTCTTCAGGTGTTTGGACAAACTCATGGACACCACTTTCTTCGACGAGTCGCACTTTGGTGGTCTCGTGAGTCAGGTAAGAGATGCTTGGAACCCCGGCTAGCCTTCCTGCCTGGTGCCGAATGCTGGAATTTGCTTGTTGTGTGGCCGAAATGGGCTTATTTCTACTTCAATACGTACTGTAATCGATTTCGCTCACTCAGATATTGGATATCGCGGATCGCGTTGTGGTGCTAGTTCAAACCGTATGTACGGAATTATAGTGGTAATTTTATTTCCGGTGGATAATGTAAGATCTTTGACTGAATGGTAGAATATTTGAAAGAAAAATCCTGATCAGGCTGGCCATTTTATCAAGGATGATCATGTTAACGTCATCACCAAGGGAGCGAGTCATGCTACTGTAATTCACAGTTGCCGTCTATTGGCGCTACAGTCGACCGAAGATCGATCGTCACCTTACCACTCTTGCTCACCCCTCACCCCGTCCCTTCCCCTTCTCCGTGGCGTCAGATTCGTGAGCGCTCCAAGGCGTTCGCAGCCCAGCGGGAGAGCGCCGCGTCCTGCCGGCTGGCCGATGGTGGCGACGCCAGCGGCGACTCGGCGAACCAACCGGCCACCGGGTAGGTACCGGACGGGTTAGTGGGTAGTGGGTATCTGTAAGAATCTTGGGGCTGGGTGACCCACCCACTGCCAAGCCTTGAGGGAACATTTGTGGACGGTGGGCGAACCTGTATCACTGTATGTGATCTTTATGACCCTTGTAGTGTTTGTGACCTGTGTATAACCTGAACTGACCTGTGTGACCAGTGTATGGCCAGTTTGACATGTGTTGATGACCACGAGTTTGGGCTGCGTGTGGCCTGGACAGGGCTGCGGAGTCGATGGATTTTCGGCGACTCCGACTCCGACTCCGACTCCGGCTTTCAAAAACCAGCTCCGACTCCGACTCCGACTCCGGGCAGAATTGTCGACTCCGACCGACTCCAACTCCCGACTCCGACTCTGCAGACCTAGCAGGGCTGCGGACTGCGGAGTCGACAGATTTTCGGTGACTCCGACTCCGACTCCGACTCGGGTTTCTAAAATCGACTCCAACTCCGACTCCGACTCCGGTCACAACTGTCGACTGTGACCGACTCCGACTCCGACTCCGACTCCGACTCCGCAGCCCTGGGCCTGGATATCTTGTATGTGATGTGTCCGCTGTGAATGAGCCATAAGTGACCTGTGTATGTCATGGTATAGCCTTTTATAACGTGTTAGGCTTGTATGTGACCTGTGTAGTGAGTGTGTATGACCTGTCTGCACGTTTGTAACCTGTCTGACCTCTATATGACCTATCTGATCTCTCTGTAACCTCTTCTGTGATCTATCTGACCTCTCTATGACTCGCTCTGCCCCCAGCGCATCTGTACCCGGCGGCGCCAGCGCCCTGGTGGAGTGTGGAGAGTTTTGTACCATGGTCAAGGCGCAGCTACTACTTGCATACGAGGAAGTAGTGAGTAGAATTGAACTCTATGACTTGAAATGCGTCCTCGTGCGCATTAAATGCGTCCTCGTCGTTGCGCGCCGAAACCAGCGGAGATGCCGAGTTATAGCGTGGTTTTAGAAGTTGTCAAGTAAAATAGACATTATGGCTAGGTATCAGTTTTGTGTTCACGAAGAACACGTTCTTTTGCGGTTAATGTCCTTGACTTTTGTTTGGTAGAACTTTTAGATATCCTGAATATAAATGTATTACAAGTTTTCCATAGACTACTTCATATTATAGTACATTTTTGCCACCGACGCATGTTAAAAAAGTTCAGTTAAATTTTTGTATAAAGGTGGCCTGCTGAAAGGCTGAAGCGCGAGAGTCGGTTAATTTCAGTCGACGCCAAAACTCGGAAATGCCTATCAAAACCCATGCATAAAAACACAGCGGTTAATTTCATTATACGGCAGTTTTCTTCTCTTCAAAAGCTCCCTGTTAAACAATGCATTCGATGACTGAAACTTCAATAAAAGTCCGGTCATAGAAGCTTGCAGCCAAGCTTGCAGCTTGGAATAAAATAAATTGCGAAACAGGTTGACAGGTGAATTTTGAAAAGAACACAGCCTTAATGTAATGACTTTTCGTATGCATTTCAAAGAGATAGCTTAGCAGGTTACGCAGAAATTTAGAAGGCAGATTTCGAGGTACACCTAGTTCTCAAGAGCCAGTGAAAAGAGCAATTGAAGATGAACCTTACAAAACGGGAAGAACAGCACTGTCAGGAGCCAGTGTTTGTAGTAAGATCGACGTTTGTTTATACCTTCATGGATATTGGATGTCAAAACTCAAAACATAGGAAAGAGGAGGGAATGCAACGACATTACATTTCCCCACTAATGAAGACAAAACATGTCTCCGCAACGCCTACTCCTCACTCGCAATTGCTTCGTAGCATGAATGTCTAATAAAAGTAGGTAACAGACGCGTCTCGCATGTTTACCAGGAAATATCTGAGAAATGAGGGATGAATTTCAAGCAAAATACGACATGGTAGGCAATTTACCATTTGTATAGGTATACTGAAACCAAGTTGTAGATTAATTTCGTTATTCGCCCATCGTGTGTTAAAGTCCATTGGCAATAATTTTCATTATACGCCCAAAGCTTTACCCATTTGCTGCCCCCCCCCCCCATCTCCCGTGCCCCTCCTTGATGTCGAAGCCCAAAAGCGAACCCTTTCTCAGAGATGCGTTGGTGCTCGGTGCCAAAAATTTACTATAATAAATTTAATTACCCGGTCCGAATACTATACCAGCCATGATACGGTCGCTTTTCCTCAAGGGTGTTTTCATTGAATATGCTCGCAGGCTCGCACATTCAATGCGAAAATTGCACTCATTTCATTCGTGCAATTTTCGAAAATAGCATCCTCACTCCGTTCGGACGCTATTTTCGATAAAATAATGTCCTCACTTCGTTCGGACATTATTTTAAAACACCCTTGGGAAAGCGACCGAATAATGTCTGGTATAGTGCTCGGACCGGGCAATTAAATATATATTATAGTACATTTTTGCCACCGACGCATGTTAAAAAAGTTCAGTTAAATTTTTGTATAAAGGTGGCCTGCTGAAAGGCTGAAGCGCGAGAGTCGGTTAATTTCAGTCGACGCCAAAACTCGGAAATGCCTATCAAAACCCATGCATAAAAACACAGCGGTTAATTTCATTATACGGCAGTTTTCTTCTCTTCAAAAGCTCCCTGTTAAACAATGCATTCGATGACTGAAACTTCAATAAAAGTCCGGTCATAGAAGGTTGCAGCCAAGCTTGCAGCTTGGAATAAAATAAATTGCGAAACAGGTTGACAGGTGAATTTTGAAAAGAACACAGCCTTAATGTAATGACTTTTCGTATGCATTTCAAAGAGATAGCTTAGCAGGTTACGCAGAAATTTAGAAGGCAGATTTCGAGGTACACCTAGTTCTCAAGAGCCAGTGAAAAGAGCAATTGAAGATGAACCTTACAAAACGGGAAGAACAGCACTGTCAGGAGCCAGTGTTTGTAGTAAGATCGACGTTTGTTTATACCTTCATGGATATTGGATGTCAAAACTCAAAACATAGGAAAGAGGAGGGAATGCAACGACATTACATTTCCCCACTAATGAAGACAAAACATGTCTCCGCAACGCCTACTCCTCACTCGCAATTGCTTCGTAGCATGAATGTCTAATAAAAGTAGGTAACAGACGCGTCTCGCATGTTTACCAGGAAATATCTGAGAAATGAGGGATGAATTTCAAGCAAAATACGACATGGTAGGCAATTTACCATTTGTATAGGTATACTGAAACCAAGTTGTAGATTAATTTCGTTATTCGCCCATCGTGTGTTAAAGTCCATTGGCAATAATTTTCATTATACGCCCAAAGCTTTACCCATTTGCTGCCCCCCCCCCCCCATCTCCCGTGCCCCTCCTTGATGTCGAAGCCCAAAAGCGAACCCTTTCTCAGAGATGCGTTGGTGCTCGGTGCCAAAAATTTACTATAATAAATTTAATTACCCGGTCCGAATACTATACCAGCCATGATACGGTCGCTTTTCCTCAAGGGTGTTTTCATTGAATATGCTCGCAGGCTCGCACATTCAATGCGAAAATTGCACTCATTTCATTCGTGCAATTTTCGAAAATAGCATCCTCACTCCGTTCGGACGCTATTTTCGATAAAATAATGTCCTCACTTCGTTCGGACATTATTTTAAAACACCCTTGGGAAAGCGACCGAATAATGTCTGGTATAGTGCTCGGACCGGGCAATTAAATATATATTATCAGTAATGCAGATGTCTACGGTTTTTCATTTGACGTTTATTCTGTTTGTCCTGTTCAGGCATTGTGGGTATTCCTTGCTTGACCTCTGACCGTTAACCTCCGTGTTTCAGGTTCGTCGGTACGGCATCTCTCTGAACAGCACTTCCGTGACTCTGGAGTCGGCCACCAGTCCGGCCGGCGACGACTCGGGAATCAACGGGGACCTGAGGACGGAAGGTAAGAACGTCAATGGTGACTCTAGGCAGGGCAGCGAGGGCGGAATTATTAGGGTATCGAATGGGATCTTAGGCGGGAAAGTAATAATACTAATGACACCAATAGTGATCTTATGCAGGACGGTGAGGGCTGGGGGGAGTATAAGTTGGGGCTGTTGGACCCGGCAGGCCACAGGACTTCGAGCTGGGGTTGGATTGGGCTGGGCTGGGCAGGGTTGGCCTCTTGTAATGGTAACTACGATATGAATCGAGGATGAGTCTGCCATGGCTGCCGCTCATGCGATATAATTAGGCTCCCCCCAATATTGATTTTAATGTGGATACATTCGTGTGCACTTCCCTATGTGCCGTCAAGCATGAGTGTCAGTGTCAAGGTATGCCACTCAGGCGCATGCTCAATGTATGTCACTCTGTCATATGCCATGGCGTCATCCCGTCCCGTATCTGTCATCAACAGATGGTACTGAGGAGACAGAGCCGGCCTCTGCTGACCACTCCAAGGAACCGTCCACCCCCGGCCCGACCACCGCCGCTGGCGACTCGGCGCCGCATGTGCAAGGTTAGATGACGCACAAACACATTGGGCACACACACAAAGGGTATGTGATGACAAACAGAGGGTACATACACTGGATGGATATGTACAAAATATCGTGAGTGGTTGGTCGAAATGTATGTCCCAAACTACCCAAGCTGTTCACAAATTGTCACCCACCGTCTTTCAGCTTCAGCGTCTTTTACCTGTTCACTCACACGTTATCTTACCATTCACACGTTACGGGTTTTACATATTTCAACTCGGTTTAGACCCTTACGTAACGTGAACCCTCTGTTGACACACCTATATGCTTTCCGTGGCACGTTCGTGACATTTTCCTAACTTGTTTGTTATCCGTTTTGACCTCGACGTGCCTGATCCGTTTTCACTTCTTATTCTGATCCCATTTCTGATCCTTACTGGCCGGCTTTTCTGGCTCATACCTTAGACTGTAAGTCACTCTGTGCTGAACTGTTTCTGACCGTTCTAATCCATGTCTAACCCGTCTCTGATCTCATCTCCACCAGAGTTCACCACTTTGCCGGCGGTTCCGGACGGTCACAAGTTCAAGGTCAGCCTGTTCCAGCCGGTGGGCGTGGACAGTCACACGTTTATGAAGGCGGTAAGACGTGAGATCCGACTGCTCACACGCTCACTGCCCGACGGCATCATCGTCAAAGGATACGAGGAGCGCATGGTGAGAAGTAACAGAACAGACTTATGAGCAGACTCGGAAAAGCGGCCTCTTGAGCTGGCTAAATACGATATATTTGAGTGAGAGCTGAACTCTTTTGTGACTGCTCGGAGCTTCGGATTATGTCGATGTGCGGGACTTTTTGTTGACTAGATGCATGATGTTATTTGGACATGGGATGGAGGGCTGAAAAGGCTCAAAGGCCCAACGTCCTGCTGAATGACATACCTAATAAGAACCCTTGATTTATCGCGATGTTGTCTTGAGTGCGGTGACATCTAAATGCGATTTTTCTTTCTTTCTAGATGCAGTGTTTTGTCCTGTTCTGACCTTATGTGCCAGGGCCTGTATTGATATTTGATGATCGACGGGCCTCATTGACCCCAGCTGACCCTACTTTGACCTCTATCTTTGTATGTGTCAGGACCTCTATTCTGTGATGATCACCGGTCCCCGTCGCACGCCGTACGAGGACGGTCTGTTCTTCTTTGAAGTGCAGCTGTCTCCCGAGTACCCGCGCACACCACCTGTGTTCCACTACATCAGGTCAGTACCCGTACCTCATTGTAACCCATGGTACCGTACAGTACTCCATTGTGCCGAGTACCCGCGCACACCGCCCGTCAGTTCTTCGTTCGGTTCATTAGGGTTTACGGGCGCGTCGACTGTGGTGGTCATTTTGCGCCCATTGCCCGTCAGTTCCACTATATCAGTTCAGTAGTATGTCAATACGTCCCGAACCTTGTTGCGTCATATCAGTTCAGTTCACCATTTGTTTCATTGCATCACCAAACCATCAAACATGTTTTAAAAGATCTTAATGAAAACGAGATCCTTCCTTGCGCAACATGCATTTCTTTTTATGAATCATGATTTCGAATCGATTTCGAATCGTCGAAAGAAAAGTTGCAAAGGTTTCATTAAGAGCTAAAAGAACGTTGTTAAACTTCTTTTTAGGTCAGTTGGTGATCGCTCCTGAGCCAAAGTCTAGCCTGACACCTCTCCTGTATTTCCCCACTCCGCTCTGTCTCCAGTTACTGCTCGGACCGACTGAATCCGAACCTGTACGAGGACGGAAAGGTGTGCGTCTCGCTGCTCGGCACGTGGGGAGGACGCGGCTCAGAGGTGTGGTCATCATCCTCCAGCCTCATGCAGGTGCTCGTCTCCATACAGGGTGAGTTGGCGAACGGTGTGAGTTTGTGCGTATGTGTGTACGTGTGTTTGGAGGTGTGGTACTAGGGGTTTTTGGGACTGGGCCAGTGTGTATGTGTGTTTGTAGGTGTGCTACCATGAACATATTTTACTGGGTCAGGGATGAGATATTGTTACCCAGGGTTGTGTGAGAAACATTATTGCCCATTGCCCAAGGTATCTCAGCGGGTACCTCTGAGGTTGTTTCAGGGACATTGTTGTCTTATTAGGGTTGTGCTAGGAATGTACGGAATGTTTATTGTAAGTCGGGGTTGTATCATATATTTTTATCGTCGGCAATGGTTGTGCGCAAGAGTTGAGCGGGAACTGACGTTTTGCAGATATGGTAATGGGCCACCAATCATTTACGATCTATATCTTTTATTGTGGATTTGATCATATGATCGTTGTCTTTATGTTCTTATCCTGATTTGTACCTATCTCATATCTTTATGGTACATTCGATGGAGATAGGGATAAGCTGGGTCCGTTTTTGAATACGGCATCAGCCTTCCGCCCTACATATTAAGTGACTGAGTTGTTTTCCTTGTGGTGTACAGGACTGATTCTGGTCGCTGAACCCTACTACAATGAGGCTGGATACGAGAAACAGCGCGGCTCACAGCAAGGTGCCGAAAACAGTCGGCTCTACAATGAAATGGTACGGCCGAATATTATAACGTTTTTGATTAAGTGGTACGGATAGCCAGTGTCGACTGTGAAAGGCAGAGTAACGTCAAACAAGCGCGCTTCAAAGCTTTTAAGAATCATGAGGGCGCCAGCATGTACTTGCTGCCTTGATTTTGTAATAGGAAGACTAAATAAGAAGCTCGCTTACAAGTCACAAAGCTTTTTCGGAATTCATGGCCCGATAAATGTTGGGGATTCGGTCAAAAATGTTTTGAAATGACTGCTGGTGCCTGCCTGTCTCATTTGCCGTGGAGTAATAATATCCAAAGATTTACGTAATATAGGTGTTTTCTGTTCATTGGCACCAACAGGTGATGTGCAGATATGTCAGATGTCCTCGCATCACCTTCCTGCTAACGCCTTTCTGCTCGTCGCTGCGCACAGGTGATCCTGAAGCTGGTGCAGTCGCTGACGGCCATTCTGCGGAACGCACCCTCCGTGTTTGAAGAGGAGGTGGCCGAACACATGAGGACACGAGCGCACAAGTCAGTACGACCCCCTTCACTCGCTCAATGATAACCTGTTCCCTGTGGGGAGACTGACTAAAGGATAACTCCAATATTTTGTTCCGTATCGTCGCGTTTTTTTTTTTTAATACGTGGTGCCTGATTGTGTTCCAGAATATGGTTATTTTCATTATGCGATTGTCGTTTGGTCAGTGTTCTCAAATCGCCCCAATTCATGCATTGATTAGCATTGTCGGGTTCTCTTCGCATTGTCGTATTTGTCTTGAAGCGCCGTGCTGCCTATGAGATGGTCCCGGATTCAAGTTTGCTTGTTCATTGAGTCCAACGGGTATCTGACCGCCCCTCTCCGTTCTTCCACAGACTGATCGCCCGTCTGCGCCACTGGCTCAGTGTCTCCGAGGCCGCCACTGCCGCCGGCGGAGCCACACCAACCACTGGTGAGATAGGCGGCTTGCATCGAAAAGGGTTACCAGACGTCCAAGTAGTCAGTAATACGAGGGACGCGATTGCAATGCTGACTGCAGGTAGCTGTCTACATTTTATGCGTTTGAATATGATTCTCCGGAAGCCGCTATTATAAGGCATTTAGCTTTTATCAGTCCTTACTCAGGTGGATTGAAACGCCACCAGCGCTGCCGTTCTTCACTGTTGTAAGTTATCGGGGGGGGGGGGGCAGACTATAAATCTGGTCCAGTCTCTCACCAACCCTGTCTCTGTTTCTAACCGCAGATGGAGTGGCGCCCAGTGAGTTTGACCGTCCCGACTTCCCGCTGCTGCCGGCGTCTCGTGGTTTCGGTATCACACTGAGGAAGACCCTGCAGACCTTTGAGAAGGTAAGATGAACTCTAACGTCCAATATCACCGGAGTACTCCGTAAATCTGGACCCCTTGGAAAAGCAGGCATGTTTGTTTTTTAATGTTCATTATCTACAGGCACATTAACAGGTTTTCTGTCAATGCGCCCCTAAACCCTAAATGGTAATTTGAGTGGCATCATACCAGTTTAAGTGAATCAGCTGTGTTGGATGAAATATGAGAAGCAGTAACGGAAAGTGAGGGTTAGAGCTATACCATATCTATTAGTCTGTCCCGTAGGCCGCGCAATCAATGATCTCTGGTTGTACGTACATCACTAGTCTGATTGGTCTGACGTAAATCGTTCCATCCCCAGGCTCTGGAGGAATGCGGCGTAGAGGACACCGCTCCAGCCAATGAAAAATCTACCACCCCCTCCACCACCCCGGCCGCAGCCCCCTCTGGAGCCTCCACCTCCAACCCAACCACCACAGATAACCCCACCAGCTAGCCAAGACGATACTAGACTCCATATCTTCAATTCCGCGGCGTAAGTCTGTGGGCCGACCGTGCGGCCGCTCATCAGACTTAACGCCGCTGCCATGCTCCGTTTTGCCAGCTTTAGATCGGCTCGTACGCTCGGCTATGATGGTTTTGGAGGTTCATATGGCCTCGGATGAAGTAAAAGGCTGAGTGATGAAAGCTGATTCAAGAAGGGCGATTGCGTCTTGCCGGTGCATTGTTGCGTTCAAGCAGCCCTAACTTGGTGGGTGCGCGGCTAAGACGGAGCGCTATTTGAGGTGTTTTCTTGGATTGTGAGTTTGTGAAGGATTCACTGTTGATACAGAAAACGTGTGATCTGTGGCTGGCTGCCTTGTGTTGGAAAGGACGCTCACGTGGCGAGGAAGGCAGAGGAACGATTTTGTTGGTCTGGCGACTGCCCGCCCTAAGGACACTTCATCACGGGCAAGAACCCAAATGAGTTAGCTGGTCTGGTGACCGGCTACCCTAAGAACACTTCGTCGTAGGCAAGAACAAAAGAGAAGTCGAGAAGAGCTTGGGAGGAAGGTCAGAAATAGGCCGGAGAAGGCCGTTTGTCATGAGTTTGCGGCTTCGTGTCGCACTACCGAACACGACGCAAGATCGGTCGAAACATGAGCTGATGCCACAGGTTAGTGATTCACAGGCAGGGCAGGCACTTGCCAGGACAACTCCGCAGTGTACTGTAGTATTAATCCACATTTGTTTCGTTATATTATACGTTTTCAACTATTTGGCTTCTGGTATATTGCACTGCAATGAAGTACAGACATTGCAAAGACCGACGTACGCGCGATGTGCGATGCGTGTATCTATAAACTTAAACGTCGATCGTAAGTCGCTCTTGCCGCCGATTTGGTGTCCCGTTACCCATTCTTTGGCGTGCTATGGATTGTGTGAACGATTGACTGCTTGTGTTTGCAATGAAGTTTGTGGAAAAGTCGCTGGGATTGTGAAAAATACTGGTCGCGTTGTCGTCAGTCGGTGGGTGCGGCCATGTCTTAAACGTGCATAAAGAATAAATCTGTCAAGCTTGTCGGTTGTGTGGTGGGTGGTTCTCTCGGACGAGTTCTCAGGGTTTGGGATTGGGAAGTAGCTCAGGGAGGAGCGTCTTTCTGGATCGGTGTGGGATTTGAGTGATAGGTCAGGAAACTGACGAGACACGGGTTCGCGCCTCTCCGATGTTCGCTATTTGTACCTTTTAGAAGTGATGTGCAGTTAGTGCCACAGTGAGGTTTATTCTGGAGTCGGATTCGAAAGAGCGAGCAATATACCCTGAGAGCGAGCACGTTATGTCGATAACAATGCCGATATCCACATATCACTGCTAAAAACCTAACGGTTTAACTAAACTAAATTAAACCAATACTTCACCTAAACTTAACTTAAAAACCCCGACTCAAAACACGCATCATTTGATAAAGATATGTATTCAAAGTCGATATGGATGTCCGGCACCATCAGATAACAAAAGAGAAAGCACGCCAAATAAACTAAAACGGTGCTTTATCGCCACAGGACGTTATACCTACATATTCACAAGGGACTCCGGAGGGCATATATGTGTATTATTATATTTCCTGGCAACATATGGCACTTGATGGTCACTATTCTTTCTGAAATGGCACGATTTGTTAATTAATCGAACGCAAGTCACAAGCTGCCCCGCTTCCTATACTGGATGCATTGTTAAACATATGACAATAGCTGCACGACAACAGGTACAAAAGGTACAAAACATGACGCCCAGTCTGGTTCAAGACAATTGGGCAAGGAAGACGGACCATCGCCTTACGATTTCAGCTTTCACTGCATAACTGAGGAAATCTTCCATCGAATGCAGCACACCGCTAGTGCGCTCTTCAACAAACATCTTACGAAACGACAGCAAGTATAACATAAACTCAAAGCGAGAATAGCATGTCAGCAGAAAAGCCTCTTTTACAAAAAGGAGCCAAGCTATTGGACAAACCTTCACCAAACGCGCGTTAACAGAGTAATTGTTCTCATTAACTTGAAATCACTCGACTAGAGGTCCACTCTATCCTGTCAACGCCATCGGCAAGAGAACTAGGTTAGTTTTTCGTCACATCCAATGGTGTCATAGGAGCTTATTGAATACAGCTTGTGCCTTGTGGCACACATTAGCTCCAGGTCAGACCACTGCTAGTTGTTATCTGTTGATGTTTAGACGTCGGTCATCATCGTTTTGTTTCATCCACGGCATGGATCAGGCTCTCGGAGTCAACTCTCTGGACAATTTGCGTCATGAATAGAGCCTCTTTCGACTTCCGGCGCCAGAAGCGTTGTTATAGCTCTTACACTAACGGTTTCCCGATCAGCATCCTCGTACCATCAATTCACCTCATGATTTTCACCCAATCACCAGCAAGACGAATTACAACTGCAGTTACTACGCATCATATTCATTCAAATCTCTGAGCATTTATCTCATCCGTCTTAAAATATGTCATCCATAGCTTCTTTCGTTTCTTCATCTGAACACCTTCACCTCCGTCCTCCAATCATCTTCTCTTGTAAGCTAGAAGTCCTATTCATGGTCCTACTTCAGTGCCTTCTGTGCCAAGATTTACGCCGTTTCTTGCCTGCTTCATCATTTGCTTCAGCTTCCTTTCCAGCATCATTTCCAGCACCGTTTCCATCATCACTTCCATCATCGTTTCCATCATCATTTCCATCATCTTCATCCACTATCTCCTCCCAGTAGCCGAGGTCCAGGACAGGAAGGGCCACGGAGCCGCAGGGCTGTGGTTTGTTGTCCTCAGAGGGCAGCAACATCGGACGCTCCTGAACACGCCGAATGTCATCGGAGGTGTCGCACAACACGCGGGCGAGGTTGGCCTTACGGATCTCCTGTAGTTGGTCTGGAACAAAAGAGATCATTGCCGTTGATATATAGTCTGGCACAAAATAAGGTTGGTGCGGATATAAAGAACCTAAAAACGGCATAACGAAAATGTCACCGGCGTGAGTGTCAATAATTGACATGCATTCCTGACGTCCGTACAACATCGATGTCTAGCGTATCAGTACATTTCAGGTTAGTGATTGTTGTAGTTTCGCGACGCATCGACCACGGGATCATTAGGAGCTCATGATACGTGTCAATAGCAAAAGCAACGTAACGTTACCTGATCGAGAAAACACATTCCTTAGGCAACAAGACATCAAGCATCAGCACAGGGCATCGCTCCACAATATCTTTGCCCATCTACCTTCGGCCTGACGTCCCATAACACGAACCACTCTACTCTATCCTGCGGTCTCACCTGGCGTAAATCGGACGCTGGGGTCTCCCGACTCGTACCAGAACCTATCACCGGCCTTCAGTCTGACGAACTGATCAGTGAGCAGGCAGGCAAAGGTGGGTCCGACGGCGGCGCCCTCCAGAGGTCGCTCCAGTAGACCGCCGACGTAGAGGTCTACGTGCTCAATGGATCTGGGGAGAGGGGGAGGGGGTTATTAGAATCAACTAGGAGCAGAGAGGGGCGTGGAAGCAACTAGAGAGCAGAGGGGAAGAGAGGATTCAACGAGAGGACGGGAAGATGAAGGTGATTGACCCATCTTATGTACGGAGTTAACATGGGGAGGGGGGGACAAGCTGGTGGTAGGAGAGGGGAGATTCACGATTGAACCGTTAGGGAGAGGGGGCAAAGGCAATGGGTGATCTCCACTTTCGTAAAGAGGTTCACCGTAACGCCATGCTACGCTCAACCACCCCATCCTGTCCTACCAAAGTCTAAAACACGACTCTGTCTTCTGCCCCGTCTATGCCTCGCTACCCCGACATCCCCTCCTAACCCGAACTCTGTCTCACTCCCAACGTCCCTATCCCAACTCCCATAGCGGCATATCCCTTCTTGGATCCCATCCCACTCCCCTACCCCTCCCTCTCCAATGTTTCTACCCACGACCCCTTCTCCCTGCAATCCTCCCCACAGTTCCGATCCCTCCTCTCCCAATCCCTTTCCCCACCCACTCACCTATACAGCATCTGCACATGGTCCACCTGCTCTGGCTGCTGCACAATGGCCCTCAGCTGCTCAAAGCTGGTGACCGGTGGCAGACCACACCGTCGGCGCCAGGCGTTGTACGGGGGCAGGCCGTGGTCGCGGCCCCGCTGCACGTTGATCGCTCCCAGGTCCAGGCCAGTGGTGGCGTTCTCGGCTTCGAATAGGTGCGTCGTGATCTGTGGAAAGGAGGGGGGGGGAGGGTTTATATAGAAACAGAGGAACCATACCGGGACGGGGACATCAAATCGTGACAGGGTGTGATAAAGGGGCAGAGGCGATAGGGCAGTCTTCGGTGTGATATGACCGGTGTGGTGAATAGTCCGTGTTTCTCACTTGAGACGTCAAATGGCCCATTCTTCCCACTTACGAATGACGATGATAGATGGCTGCAGTTGCTGGTTCCTAATTCACCTGTGATGTGAGATAGCACGCTCTTCTCAGCAGCTACGTTAAATAACCCGGTTATAACCAGTTCTCACCTGTGTCGATACCAATTGTTCCGTTTCCCTCACCAGCGATTGAAAATCCCCGCCTGTGGCCCAGTATTCCCCCCTTCAATGTAAGAGATCCCGTCTCTTACCTGATGCAAGATGTCTCGTACGTGTCACCATTTTCTCTCCTGTGCCGTAAGAAGCCCGTCTGTGGTTTAATATGCTCACCCACAACAGAGTCGCGACTCACGAGCAAGATCTCCCACCATCATTCACCTGATTCACCTGAGAGGTCATTCAGTATTCCGAGAGGATTATTCAGTATTCACCTGAGAGGTCAGATGTCCATCCGTGGCGCGGCTGCAGGTATTCAGCTGTCCCCGCACCAGACTGGTCATCTTTGTGTCCTGATACAGGCGGAACGGGTTGAAGTACAGACGGTGGAGCTGGATAAAGTCCTCAGTCTTACTGAACGCGCCCACCATCTTGATCAGGCCCTGCCAAACAAGAAATAATCGTCAGTTAAAAATGAATGTTACGTTCAGCATGGGCACGGTTGATAAGTAACGGACTACCCAGCGATAACCTGCGCTAGGGTCTGGTTTAGCCCCTGTCCTTGTCGCTATGGAGCTATAAGACCTGCACAAAGATAGATCTTCTGTCCCTCGTGCTATGTAGTGCTGGTCTGCGCAAGATAAGTTCACTCGTACATCATAACCAGGCAGCACCTTTCCTAACATCGGAAATTGCTTAATTCCACACCTTTGCTGCGACTACGCATACATAACTAGACGAATCCAAGAACGCGAGTGGATGTAGAAAGCCCTGGACTATTTGGGCCCAAGATGTCATGCGCCTTATATCAACAGGAGCAAGAACAGGTGGTCATTCCTTGGTCCCTCTTCCTTTACGTTGATAGGTGTAGTTGCAGCGCCTCGCTCACCTGAATCTGGCTGTGGCCGAATCGGAAAGCGGCCGTAGCGAACACGTTTGAGATGGTGGGGTCGATCTGTTCAGAGTACCCGGTGAAGTAGCCCTCCGTCTGAGGGAGCAGACTGGCCGACTGCGCCAGATCCTCGCCTGGGGGCGTGACAATGGGTTAGATGAGGTCATGAGGGGTCACATATAGGCCATCTAGGGTCATAGAGGTCAGGGAGGTCAGCTGAAGTTACAGAGGTCAGCTGAGGTCATTTGAGGTCATGTCATGCCACATAGAGAGGTCAACAGGGGTCAGGTGGTACCACACAGGTCAGTTGGGTCATGTAACGTCACAGGGAGCAAAAGGGCCAAGTGCTTTCAGAGTTCAGTTGAGGCCAACAGGGTCATGTAATGTCACAGTGATTATCTGATATCAGAGGTCGTTCAAGACATGTGGAATCAGAGGTCAGATAGGTCAACTGAGGTCGAAAGAAGTCAAAATGGTATCACAGACGTCGAAAGGTCAAGTTCCGTCACAGTCCTGACATTATTTCGAGTTGAGATATTTCCCTGTAACCGTGCTCTAACAGTTCTCAACAAACAACTGCGTTTTCTCCCCGTTAGTGGTCCCACGACCACAGGCTACAATGCCAGACAACTCCCAACGAAGCTAGGAAAATACCATCCCCACCACCCAGACCCACCGCCCTCCGGCCATCCACTTACCGAGAAGTAGCGGCAGGTACTCATTAGCCGTAATGTGCTGCATCATGGCCACCGTTATCTTCCTGCTCTCTTGGAACAGCCTCTCATCATCCCAGTGGGGATTTATATCAGCCAGCTCTTCCGCGATCATATTATGCTGCCGTACCCATTGGGTATGCGTGATAGTTAGGGATATCTGCTCATTTACTCGAGCGTCTCCGGATACGAAACAGTATTGTCCTCCGGCCATGGCGTCTGCTCGGTTGCAGCCATCGGAGGCGTCTTTGCTGGGAGGCAGAAGACGTCGTCCATCGCTGAGGGTTTGAACGGCCATGCGCCCGCCGGTGTGGTTTCGCAGGGAGTGTAATTGTTCGTCACTGGAGCCGTAGATATTGGAGCCGTCCAGGAATGAGGTGATTTGGTTCATCTGCTGACGAGGGCCTGCCGGAGAGAGGCGGAAGAAATAGTTAAGGTACTGACGACAGTGAAAAAGGGTGGGATCAAATTACTTGTCGGTTGACTGGTTAAAGTGTCACTATCGTGACGGGTCACCACTGAAGGGTCAAATTTGTCGCTCATTTCATTACACAACATTGCCTCACGGTACATGAGACCGCACAAACGGATAAGTGCCGTCCAATGACATCCAACTAGAGAAATGCAAATTTATAGACAAAACCAGAAAACAACGCTTTTTTGGTGAGCTAGAATGATCTACCCTTTCAACCTTACATGTAAAATGGACACATCGCATATAAATGTTAGCCATCGTATCATCAGAAATCAACCGGAACGGTGTCAACCAGCCTCTAGCACGCCCTAGCTCTGACTTAACAGCTCACCACTACCACCAACCCCACATCAATTTCCTCACCATAAGTACACAGCGGTGCCGGCGCCGAGCGGACGAAATCCAGACAGGAGACGTTCAGCTTGGCGAACTGCGGGTCCTCGAAACTGATGAGCAGCGGCGCACACTCGGGGTGGAGCAGGGTGGGGTCGTTGTCGATGTCGGGACCACAACAGCGGATCGGCGCACCACCGCTGCCTGCGGGGGGGGGATGGTCAGATTGGGGGGTGATTGTCTTAGTACGGTCATATTCACGAAGTTTTTTTTTAAACAGGATCCCGTTTACAATATGTTTTACGTACACACCTAATATTCACGAAATTTGGTGGCGACTCTAATGATATCGACGTCGACAAATGGCTAAAACGACTTCCGCTTATTTCTCTTTTCAATGTATGATCGAAGATCGTGCTTGGACGCAAGGTGGGGTATTTTATACCAGTTCACATAATTATAAATTGAGTAATGACTAATGACTCAATCTTTTTACGTCGTTCGGTAAATTTGAACTCTGGAGATTAAATATCCGTTCTCAGCGTTCAAGTGTCAGTTTACATACCAGTAAAACGCCTTTTGGGCGAAGGACGAGCGAGCGAGATAGTGAGCCCTGCACGTGCGGAAGGGCGAGAGGGTACTTCCAACGGGCTTGTGCAAAGCACCCTTCTAACCGGTCGCTAGCGGTGTGCCAAATTTGAACGCAATCGGCCCAGCCGTTCCTGAGATCTGGCAGCGGCATTCTGCACGTGCGCACGTGCAAACGGGGTCCAAAATGACTTTTGCACGGCACCCTACTAACCGGTCCCCAACCGTGTACCAAATTTGAGCGCAATCGGCCCAGCCGTTCTCGAGATCTGGAAACGCCCCCTGCACGTGCGCACGTGCAGTAGCACCCTCACCGCAACACATGGGAATTCATTGCCTGGTGGGTGCCTACCTGTATGCCAAGTTTCAGCGAAATCGCCCCAGTAATTACCAAGTTACTGAAATGGGAACAAATTTGGTACCTCTTCTTTTTGTATTTTGCACGTACAGTGGGGGTCACTGACATAGATCAAAAGTATCCGACCTTTGGTAGAAGGTATGCAGCTACCCTATAAAAATTACCGCAAGGCAATCGCTCAAGCCACTGCTGAGATATGGGCCTCTCAAAATCATTATTTTTACAAAACTGCTTGAACACCCTTGACTTTTCACGTGGCACGTGCCACGACGGTCACTGAGATGTATCAAAAGTAGTCAATTACGGGGTAGAAGGGATGGGGCTACCCAGCAAAAAAGACCGCAGGCCAATCGGTCCAGCGGTTGCTGAGATATAAGCCTCTCAAAAGCGTTACAGGCCGGGCCGGGCCGGGCCGGGCCGCTCATACTGAGATTTTTCCGTTATATTGAAAAGACTCGCTTCGCTCGCTGCGCTCGCTCGCTCGTAATAACGGTGGAGTATAAAAACGGTTGGCGTTGTTCGTACCTTTGGAGGCGGCCGTGGCGGTCAGATCATGATCAATGAACTGTCCCCACTGCATCATCAGTAGACTCCGCGTGGTATCACCGTGATACTCGTCAGTGAAGATGTGACGGCAGACCTGGCGGGCCGCCGGGAGGTAGCCGCCGTCGTCGGCCGAGCGAGGGAACGAGACTCCTGTCGGCGGGGAGAGGGTGTGAGAGAGAGAGAGAGAGAGAGAGAGAGAGAGAGAGAGAGAGAGAGAGAGAGAGAGAGAGAGAGAGAGAGAGAGAGAGAGAGAGAGAGAGAGAGAGAGAGAGAGAGAGAGAGAGAGAGAGAGAGAGAGAGAGAGAGAGACCACGGGAAAGAGACGGGAATGGAAAGAAAGAGACTCTAACCAATGAAAGGAAGCGAACCAGTGAATCAGTATCAAGTTACGCTGAAGTTATAGAAGCTCTTTAGGTATAGACATGATCAAAGAAAACGCGTCTTTACCGTTCACGTTATAGAATAGCGAAGAATCACATAAAACGGTAGCCGTAGCTTGTAGGAAATAAACGGTTAGTCGTCGTCGTTGCGAATAGAAGCCCCCAGCTATCTTATCAAACATACGGGTCCTAGACCCATCCCATCACAGACAGGTAACCTCAAGTAGCACTGTGTCCACCCGCCCCCTCCCCCTCCCTTCCCTCCCCTGCGCGGCTGATGCAACTCGGTGCACGTTCATTCCCAACCATGACTCTTAAATAACACCGGTCCAGCCAGGTCCAGCCTGTCGCAGCCAATAGCCCGGGGCTATCCCAACCCGCCAACCAAATCCACCGCCTTTGCAACTCGCAAGGCCGATTACGTAAGGAAGTCATTGTATGTCTACTGGTGCGGTCGCTGCAGCTTCCCAAAACGGTTCCGCGAGGCGACTGGACAGGTAGGCATGTCTCGCGTGCAGGAACGGCATGTTAAATAACATGCGGTGGGAGGGGCTCTCGGTTGGCGCTGATGGTTCTTATGTAATAAACGTTACGTATATTGTTTTGGTTGACTGAGCAAGTTGAGCAAAACTTTCGGGCAATAAACGGTTTTAGAAGTAAATGATGAAACAATTGGTTAGTCTACCGGGCACGGACAAATAGGTACGTCTAGCATGCAAAGAGAAAAAAACAGGCTACATAAAATATATAACAAAGATAAAACATAGTATGTTATTAGTATCACCCTAAGCAATGTATTCTACAGACCTATGACTTGCGTTCGTAAGAATGCGTTTCTGTTGCTGCAGCAGCGCTGGACTGGCTTGCCGGGCAATAACACATGCTATCAAATAAATCGATTGATTGCAAAGTCGGCCTTACATCAGCCTTAGCGACCATTGAAATGTCCGTCTGCATGTAACCGGTATTTTATCATAAAGTGACGTTTAAAATCTGCCCCGTGCACAGAATACACTAGGCAACAGTCAAAATGTCCGATCAAAGCATTATGACGGGATGGAAGAGCCTTGCTTTTGAGCCTGTGCGCTTATAAGACTGATAATACGTCCTTCTCGTATAGATGCCAATTGCCATGCCATTGCAAACACCAAAAAACCTGGTTTTCTTATGCCAGGCTTACGTAAGGGGATTATATAATATGTAAATTTAAGGTGATCATAAATTTAGATGAAGATGAAAATGCCATCGTAACTGTTATTGGTAGGAGGTCTCAGGACATTTGCATAGTCTGGTTCCTGCAGCGATCTCCATCCACTGACCTCTCTGTAGAGGTGCCTTGGTTTTTGTCACTGCCACCTCAGCTGTTTGCCAACAATGGACATTACCTTACCCCAACTTCTCTTCATCTGTCCTCGACTTCTTTCCCCTCTACATATTTCCTCCATATCCACTCTAAAATATTCCAATTGGTCTTATCTCCAATCTCTTCTATTCCTCTAAACTATTTCAAAAGCAATAATGGCCCTGCTCAACTGTTACAACTCCTCCCATTAACCCAGCACCTTTTTAACTTCTCTTACCTCCCATCCTCTCCCTCCCTTTCTCCCCTCTCACTCACCATCCTCATAATCCGGCTGAAGAACCCTTCTGAACGCCCTGAACGCCGACCCCCACAGCGGATTCTGCAGGTTGTTACAGGTGCCGTTGGCCGTGCGGTACGGGTAGCTGGCGTTACAGCTAGGAGGGGGAGCTCGGCAGATGTCTGGTGTGCGAACTGGGATCAGTTGGCTCACCCGCTCCGTCCATGGTGAACTGAGGTTGTAGCTGCGAATAGGAGAATATAGACGCTTAGGATTTGGTCTCTTAGATTCAGTCGTATGCTTAGCATTAGTTTTTTTTTTAACGGTCATTCTGTACGATACAGTAGATACGATACAGTAGATATGGTAGAATAGATACCATATGGTAGATACGATACAGTAGGTACGATACAGTAGACACCATACAGTAGATACGCTACACGATACAGAAGATACGATACAGTAGATACAGGGATGTTCACGAAAAACTGACACATTTTTAAACGAATTTGTGAACAAATGAGAGCTCATAGCGACTTGATTTGTATGCCATTCGAAAGCCTGTTGAAAAAAGTTTTGTATGTGCATAACTCCTTTAGGTAGCATACCAGGAGTTTTCAAAAAAATAAGAAAACATTAAAATAGGGAAATTTGACTTGGCGACGAAATTTAGCGGTAAAACAATGAAGCTTTCGCGGCGACGATCTGCCACCAAGACTGAACCAGTCCACGAATTCGTCTAAAATTTGGCATATTGATTTTTCGAGGGATTATTTTTTATACTATTGGCATATTGTTGGCAAATTCCTAAGGAACGCCAAGATTGGTGGGTATGGAAGTGCTGTTGTTATAAATCATAGCCACAGGCTGACAGTGGCACTGGCTGTATAGTGTTACCGCACCATCTTTTAAGGGGACCCTTCCACCTTCAAAAAAGTTTATGAATTGGCATGAAAGTGATGTCGCTCGGTTCAGAAAGAGCGAAAACGAATATCTACCAAATTTCACCGAAAAATATTCACCGGTTTTCAAGATATTAGACTTTTACTTTTGTTTACTTTTTTGGGATCTCCGCTGTTTCTAGCGACTTTATTTTAGAAATGCGGCGTTTGCGGCAGATGTTGCGCGCAAATAGCATATACCACCGCGTGCTACAAAACGTTTTAGTCAAACATTTAAAAATCGTTAGATATTTGCGCTGACGTCACACATTCAGAGGGGTATTCCTAAGCATTAGCCCCTCTGAATCAAAATGCTGCAATTTTGAAATTCAATATTTCCGATTTAAGGCATTTCTCGATGTTGTGAGTGCCGAAACCGGTAATTGTGAGCCAGGGACCCCATTTTGGCTATCTCAACTCAAATCTAGTGTTAAGGTGGGAGGGTCCCTAGGGCCACCTTCGTGAAATATGAAGATATCGTTGCTTTTCATTTTGACATTATTATTTTTCATTTTCTTTTTAAAACTGGTGCCAGAAGTGCACAATTTGCGAAAAAGTATTTAAAACTATTTAACATATTGGTACTATGTTGATACTCTCTACGACACCTACTGTATGATGGCATAGCGATGACGTCACACTCAAGCCAATCAGCGTTCAGAAGACAGACTCGTCGGATTGTGTCAGATAAGCTGATTGGTTAAAGCTGAGCTGGTTGGAGCTGATTGGTAAAAAACCAAAGCCTCGCCGCGGGTGGCTGTAATGTCGGATAAGAACGCATTCCTGGGATAAGGACGCATTCCTGGCGTATTTTCTTTTAAAATTGCCGATAACTACGAATGGAGGCCGAAATCGGCCGTACGGAGGAAGACAGATGGGTTTTCGGACACGGGCTACAAGATGGCTATCTCAGTTTCAATCCCCACGTTAAAGGTGGCCCTTTTCCTTTAACGGCTCCCGTTAGCTGCTACAGCGGAAATGCGCCGACACCGACACCATTCGGTGGTTCTGACACGTCGGGGCCACCCCACGTGCAGTAACAGCGATCATCGGTCTCATACGAGTACAGGGGGAGAGGGTATTATCTCGCGCATCACCTCTCACACATAGCCGGCCATTTCTCTCTACCTACCTCAACACCGTGGTCTTTTCCTGTGAGTTCACGTGAGTGACATGGTCTGTAGCAGCGGCCCAAAGGACTTCAAAACTCCTGACGAGTGCGGTGGGAGGTGCTACAATTCTCCAGGCACGTGCCCGTAAACGGGGGATAATTTCCTGTTTCGGGCTGAGTCGTGCACTGTTCCAAAAACTCGTCATCTGCAAAATGCGCTTAACTTCTTAGAAACGAAAATGATAAGTCCCCAAAATACCTCAATACAAACTTAGAAGTCCACTCTATTTGCACGTACCATGATCACCGTGCTGAGGGCAAGCGTTCTCTCACTATTCGGAAATAAAATATGTCAGTTTTTTGTGAACATCCCTGTACGATACAGCAGACACGACACAGTAGATAGGCTATGATGTACAGTAGGTACAATATGTGCCCTTGTAAACTTTGAAAGTTGGGCGCTGGTACTCCTTGTGTCTAGGACTAGGTATCCGAGGGACTGTGCCTATCTTATTTCTGAGCCATCTAATCTACCGCAGTTAAGTATATGTCTGTTTTCGTTTATCGATTCTTCCCTTCTCCCATCTATTCTTTCTTCCAGCTCCCTTCACTAATCCCCCTCCTCTTCCTTCCCCCGCCACCTACTCTCGCGTGATGATCTGCGCTGCCCAGTTGTTGACCATGCCGTCCCGTGCGTGTTCTCTCGCTCTGCTGCTGGTGCTCATGAACAGCTGCTGATGACGATGACTGGCTGAGTGTGGCGCCGGCTGAACACCCTTCTGCTTCAGCCGGGTCTCCAACTTGTCCAGCTGACTCAGACGCAGCAGACTGCTGTTGCGGACCGTGCTGAGGTACTCCTTGGAGATGGAGAGAGGACGGACCCCACTGAGGAGGTGGCCGGCGCTGGATACATCTGTGGGGAAGGAGAGAGCACGTTAGCAAGGGGCCTAAAGAAGACCGAAAGTTTGAGAGTTTGTCGGCATCGGCAAAGCTACGATATACGGGAGAAAGCGTGTCTTAAAGTCAGCGAGTGGCTACTGGCCAAAACTCGGAACGGCTGGAGGTTCTTTCGCGAGGGAGAGCTCCGGTCAGAAAGTGGTCAGAACATGACACACCCGAAGACGGGGCGGCAAAGGGACATCGGTTAAGCTTTATACGCCAACGTAGCATGATGACCCTGGATACTTTAGCTAGGATCTTCAGTTAGGTGGCCGTCTTCTTCATCATATCCTGCTTTGCTCAATGCCCCAACACCCTGATCGCATCTCAGTTTCAAGCAGTTGCCGTATTCAGTGTCAAGTAAGTCCAGTAAGTCCCCATCAAGTCCAGCATCCAGCCGTCTCCTCTACTAACCACTCATTCCCAACCCTTCTCACCTGGTATGCGCTCACTCCCCAGTCCTTCTCACCAAGTAAGCGCTCACTCCCCAGTCCATTCTCACCTAGTATAGGCCATCTGTTCCTGGTCAGCAGTAGCAGCTCCTCTCCAGGCGGCGCACTTAGTCCTCCGACCTCCGAAATGTTGATCTGATTTGGTGACTTGGTTAGCCCGAACACCAGGCCAAGAAACAGGCCCACTGTCGTAATCAGCCTGCCGGGAAAACGACAATATTATCAGTTTATCGAGCTTATTGTCACCATTCTAGGTAAGTCTGTGTTCTCTGTTCAGTTAATATATGCAATCAGATCGTATGTTGGCAGCAAGTTTGCAGATCGATTCGTATCATGCGAAGGTGTAACCGTTAATCGTTATTGTTTTCATGCAAGCTGTATTTCGTAACGTTCTAACGCACTTCTTATGTCTCGGTACTCATTAATCTTGCATAATAATACCAACCAGATTACCACGGATAATACGCACTAGATTTAGAGATAAACAAGGACACAGAAGTAAACGTAACACATCGTGCGAATTTTTGGTGATATGGTCACATGTTCTATTATTAGCGTCTGTTCACTCCGCAGTCCGCATTGTACTCTGTTCACAGAAGAGTATGCCCATGCGGCCAGTGGGAACAGAAGAACGCCAGAAACGCATCTAGTCATTAGTTAGGTGATACCAAATTCCGAAACAAGGCTTGGTAAATTATGTCAGTCCTTGATTACCTCCTACACAGGTGCAATTAAATGCATATTTTGGAAACGACTAAAAGCGGCCGTTCAAAGTGCGACTTTTATTCGCGCATGTATCTTCATTTGTAAATGAGTCTTCCCATAATGATATGCCAGGCCTCCACGCTCCGCTCACAAGATAGCTCTCAGGCTAGCCGGCTCTCTGCGTATACGCAGCGGTCGCTGCCAGTGCTTCTTATATGAGCCGTCGCTAAAATGGCTGAGATGCCTGTCGCCCATCTGATCCACAGTCAAGTGGTCCCACAACCGTGGAGTCATTCAGATAGATCACTTTTCGATAGTACTCGCATTGCGAAACGTGGTCTGATCAGCACAGACCAGCGTGGGCCGATAGGTCTTTGACCTTGGGCGATTGTTTCGGACCGGTGCCACGCGCTTGACGGACGACAACCGGGCTTACCTAATAGGTATTTCCTATAATCCGATCCGATACTATTTATTATAAACCGATACTATTTACGATACAATTTACGATACTATTTATTTACTATAGCCCGATACTTACTTTGCTTTGTGACCGTTTTGTTTCGCTTCGCAACGGAAAAAGGTACCGATAATTAGACGGTCGATTTGTGCGAGCTAAATGGCTATGGCTATTTATAAAATCCGATTGGTGATACACTGGTCTAAGACTGTCGGTCGGTAATTATAAAATGTTTCTGTTTGATAAGGTTTAGCAATCACTGCAGAAACGCCCTATTCTTCCGAATGGATGGATATGGGACTGCTGAGTGCAACAAAATATTTTGCAACTCCGGCCCTTATTTTTCGTTCTCAAGTTAATAAATCGGGCAGAACTGCTCTTAACTGCTTAGCGAACCGCTCAGTTACAAGATAGGTATATACACATGTGGATATCATCTTCATCGATTCTGTACGTTATAGGCACAGAAGGCTGCACTGCACCGGCACAACCCATAGAGGAGGCACGGAAATTCTACTCCAGAAAAATTGTCACCCCAGTGTACCCATTGAAAGGGGTATATCAGACGAGAATTTGAGCTATTATATCCTAGACTTAGATAACAACAAAAATGACCAAGTTCAGAACGCAGCACAACTATTTACAACTCGGACAACTTTGGCAGTACAAAGAGAGGCTGGCACTAGCGACTTAGCCCAGCAGAGCGAGGAGCAATATCTGACTCCGACTCACCCAACAGAACAAGTAAAAATCGCTATCACCGCTTATCAATGCAAACTGTCGCGGCAGCCGACCTGACTCTCCGCGGCCCTGGATTGTATCATATTCATTTATTCTGTTTACGTTACCAGGTGGTGGTGCCTCGATTTAAGCATCAGCTTTTGCACCACCACCTGGACTATTTACTTATTTCCATTTTATGTCTAATAAATGTGTTTTGTTGTTTTGTTGTTGTTGTTGTAACAAGGAAAAGTTTATGACTCCGACTCACCCTAGCAGGGTGAGTAACAGTTTCTGACTCAGACTCCTCCACTGGTTCCCCAGGTTGTAAATAATTACCCCAGCAAGGCGAGAAGCAGTTCCCGACTCAGACTCACCCTAGCAGAGCGAGCAGCAGCTTCTGACTGACTCCGAGTCCGTCTCCCTTGGGTGACGAGGATGTATAAAGTGCTTACCCCAGCAGATCGAGCAGCAGTTTCTGACTCCGACTCACCCCTGCAGAGCTAGAAGCAGTTCCTGACTGACTCATCCCAGCACTCAGCAGAGCAAGAAACAGTTTCTGCCTCCGACTCACCTCAGCAAGGCAAGAAGCAGCTTCTGACTCCAACTCACCCTAGCAGAGCGAGTAGCAGCTTCTGACTCCGAGTCCTCCTGCCCTGGGTGCCGAGATTATACTGTCTGAAGCGCGGATTAAGCGGAGCTGTCTCCGTGGCCTCACTGGGACCCGGCAGAGGCTCCGTTGAGCCGCCCCATTCAGACATGGCTGACACACTGGTTGAGCTGACCGATGACGGTAATGAGTGACGACACTGATGACGTCACAGGACGATTTGATGATGACGTCACTGGTTGTCAAGTCGATGACTTTCCAGGCGATTACACTTAGTCGATGCCGGCACTGTCAACAAAACGGAAACGGGTTTTGAAAGAAGCCTGAGCATATGCCGAATGCTGTAATGACAACTTGGACACCGAGTAATTGACGTTCCATACCTGGTCTTCTGACGTGAACCGTTTACTAGTGACCAAGGCTATATAAACCAGGTAGAACGCTCCGGGAAAAAAGTTGGAAACAATAAATTAGTTGCGGCATTCCCTGATGACGCGAATGTGGGTCAGCGGCCGGCGGCCGGCGGCCGCTAACACTGTATGAGGATGAATGCGCGGAACTTTTGCTTGTTGGAGATTGCGCTAGGCAGTTAAATGTTAATGTTAGGATATGTTTCGAAATTAAATTGAACGACGCTTCGAACGCCGTCAATGAATTTGCGATACGGCGACTATTTGCTTAGTTAGAGCCGGCGAACTTTTACCTTCCGACCGCGCGGGGAGGCGATATGGTGCCACACTGACGGTTTTTACGACAGCTCAAAATTCTTTTGAGCTAAAGAGCTGAAATTTAACATGTCCAATCTTTTGATCAAGCTGGATCTTCTGGTACAAGTCGCATATTTAAGGTACGTAAGGTTGTTGAGCTAAGTTGTCGCTCATGAGCCTCTACATAGTCCAAAAACAACGCAATTTCTAAGCACTCAGTGCCAAGAAATCCTTCACAGAAAGATGATACTTGGCGGAAAGAATGGCTGTCGGTTTCTTACCGTTCGTATGTATCGTGTTTTCACAAGAGTTTAGTAAGGTCAGGTCCCTCACGTCACCTCCCCTCATAACTCAATAGGACTAGGTGTACTATCATAGAAGCGTTTATCAATCGCCGGAAATCTTAGCCAATCCCACTGGACACTGGATCCATACCCACATGGGGCCCTCCTGACTGGCCACTCCCTCTGAAATCCACAATAACATTGGGCTGCGGCCATGGTTATGTATTAATGCTTTTCACTAACAGAAATACAACAACTTCAACCAGCACAATGCACGCCGCCACAACAGTCCGAACAACGTCCCTGATATCGACTAGCACTCGGCCGGATGCACATATGCGGAGCCAATTAGTCCGAATGTGACCTGCAGCTTACAATTGCTGTGTCGCATGGCGCGTGGCACAGGACGATTCCTAGCAGCTGTCGGCTGGAGTGGAGAAACAGCACGTTGCGACACACCGCGCCGGCGACAGAGCTCAGCAGGGCTGGTTGGAGGCTGGAGACGGAGGTAAGGGCGGACACAGGCACAGACATTGCAGGACAAATAACAGGATGTCAGTTAGGGATATAATTCAAGACGAATGATTCAAGACGGACTGAAATAATGCACATTTTGCTCACTTGGATACCAACTTCAAACTTGACGTTTATAGCACCACGGAAACAATGGCCACACAGGAAAGAATCAAAAGATGAGGTGTTTTTAACTCAAAGTAAATAGAGGTTGCATATGATGGAACAGCCCGAAGTGCAGACAAGCACATATTTTTGGTAATAGCTATCAGCTGTCCTACTCCTCTTCTCCCTTCATCAACTACTGGACACATCTGAGGAAGCACCAATGTCCATAACAAAAGCTTGCAAAGTAGTTTTATGAAGCCAAGGGAAATACCTATGCCTACATCATGCATGTAAACTCAAAATTACACATGCATGACAAAGAAAGCTTATGTAAAGAGAAGAGTTGGCAAAAGCATTTCATAGTTAAAATTATTCAAATCTGCACACAGGGCAAACATAAAAAGCAGCAAGTGTGCTGTTCTGTTATGCTAAGAAATAGTCCAAAACAAAATACATCTTTTCATGTCTGAACTGGTTGTTCTTCTATGCCACTTCATCCATATCTTGATTACAGATGGGCTGTTGCTGCAGGCTGATGAAGTGACACTTGATTGCCTTTGTGCGAGTTTCAGTTGCAGCCTCCTGGGTACTGCACTGCTGGAAAGCAGATTGAATTGAATGCCTCTGAAAGATAGGAATACAGGCAAAGTTAGCTGTAGTAGTGTCAATGATAATAGACATGACATTTTTGTCCTTTGACATACATTTTGACATACATGAAGTACAAAAAGGTACAAAATAAATTGGTTGGTTTGTTTCAAGACACGCGCACTGCACAAAGCCGCACAGACATTACACAGGGATATGAAATTGGCACACATAAAACTTGATGATTAAAAAGGTCAAAACTTGCAATAATAATTGAAGTAAAAGTTACAATCACAATCATTTGATTTAAAATGACTTGACAAGTCACAAGACGCAACGCTCCTATTCACTTAAGAAAGGTTTTTATGCTTTCATTATCCTCCACATATCAACAAGCTTAATACCAGGCTGTGCAATAGTGTGTACATAACCCCATGTTGCCATTTTATTAGAGCAAGTGGGGTTACAGCAACAATGCTAATGTCAAACCCACATCTGCAACCCGTACTGCAGTTTCAATCACCTTACAAGCACACCTTCTGGCAGTTTGATAGGCAGAATGGTCATTACTACTTTCCCCTCATATTCAACACATATTCCCTTTATACAGATATAGTTTAGACCTGGTTATGGCAAGCATTTTCGAGAAAAGATATGATCAAAGTCCAAGACAAAGGTCGAGAGAAACAACACCAACATAAAACATCGACTATGTAGCACTAATACTGTCAAATTCATAAAAATATATACATGAGTCGATCAGAAATTCACTGTAGATTTCGAAAATGGTGTCAAATGCCACTCAAATACCTCCATTCGCATGTACGAAGCAATAAAACACTGACCTTCAATTCCGCGTGCCATTCTCCATAGGCCACTGTGTATTAAATAACGCGTTCACTGATAGCAAAAAGTGAGACCCACATATGACGCGTTTGCTACCAGCCAATCAGCGCTCGAGATGCCGAACGCTGATTGGTGGAGAGGGCCGTCGTTAGCAGTCCATTACACGTTGTTTTCCCTGAACATGTGCGTGAGCGCTGATGCTGCTCACGGGCTGTTGCCATTTTTCGTAATGCTGAAGGCACGGGAGCGAACCCCCCTGCTAGTGACCACAGTCGGCGAGGGACATGTGTGGTCGATGATGGGGGGGGGGGGGTCTCACACGGTCCATGGCCATGCTCATGTTTTAGTTCAGGCACTTTTAGCGTAACAATGAGGCTTTGACGGTGCGGAGAAAAAAATAAACACCCAACGATTAACTGAATTAACTGGTCCTCCGGTAAGAGACCGTCCTTTCTACTGACATGCCCCGTCTCTGCTGGCACAAATCATTCTCTTACCGTAGGTACTCCACCCCCATCCATGTTCAATAATCGTGTCCCCTTTTACCTACATACCTCAGTCACACTAGATCCAGAAAGACAGAGAAGTGGACGTCACACTGTTCGAGGCCGTTACCGCGAGTGGGTACAAGCCGAACTGCGACTGTGTACCCCCCTGGAGAAAAAGAGAAAATAAAGGTCAGAATAAAAGACATAATAATAAAAAATAATATAGCTACATAGTTCCAAGGTCTCAAGATACGTAACTCCGCGGAAATAACGAAAACATATATAAAGGTATGCCATAAAATGCTAGCTATTTCTTCACTGTATCGTAATGACGACCGTAAGTGAACATAACCAAATACGTTGCTTATTCCGGGACTTTGATGGCTTTGATCTTGGGTTTGATAGCCCGATATTACCCGACCAAGCATCACAAAAAACTCAATACAATAAAACGTTGCGTCTACGCTAATAAAACGGATCCTCAGCAATCGGTTTTACGAGAACGGTCCACAGTGACAGCAGACAAACCGTCTACCAGTCAGTTGGCTGGGGGAATTCTGACAGCAGGGGTGACAGGGGCGACTATTTCCAGCTGGCAGTGGGCCTATTGCAACATCGTGACCATGGCATAGGGGAAGAAGGGCATGTCATCGTGCAAGGGTTAGCCGGAGACGGGGAGAGAGAGAGAGAGAGAGAGAGAGAGAGAGAGAGAGAGAGAGAGAGAGAGAGAGAGAGAGAGAGAGAGAGAGAGAGAAGAGAGGAGAGAGGGGAGGGAGAGAGAGACAGAGAAAGAGAGAGAGAGAGAGAGAAAGAGAGAGAGAGAGAAGAGAGAGAGAGAGAGAGAGAGAGAGAGAGAGAGAGAGAGAGAGAGAGAGAGAGAGAGAGAGAGAGAGAGAGAGAGAGAGAGAGAGAGAGAGAGAGAGAGAAAGGGAGGAGAGAGGGGAGGGAGGGGGAGAGAGAGAGACAGAGACAGAGACAGAGACAGAGACAGACAGAGACGAGAGGAGAGTAACAGGAGCACAACGGGAGAGCGAAGAGAGAATGAATACCGAGGGGAGGGACGGGAGGGCGACGGGAGAGCGGTAAAAAAGCAGCAGGAGACAGACAGAAAACGATGAATGGGCGACAGTAAAGAGGCGGAGGAGAGGAGCGATAGGGATACGACTGTAGAGAGAAACGGGAGAGAATTGGGAGAGAGACTGTAGAGCGATGGAGGGAGACGGAAGAACGCCGGGCATGACAACCACAGATTTCGAGCATTCTGCAATGATCGTAAGTCGACCAACCAGAATCACGCATACCTACAGGCGCTTAATTAAAACGAACGATTCTGAATCGGGCTGTAACCACAGGCAAGTCAAAATATGGACTCGTAATTATGCAGTGATAAGTGATGAATGACTTTAATTTTCAGGAGTGACGCTCTTCTTTTGAGCAAATTTGCCGTGCAAAGATATTATCCTTGGGCACAAAAAATCGCCATTTGCTCGCTATTTGAGTAATTCACGCGTCATAAAATGTTTTATCAACCTCCCAAATTTTCCCCAACGTCTACAAACATCAAACTCATAAGCACATCGCAGTCGAGTGAGCCTGAGGACGGTAAAATCGTACGGTAACGTTTACAATTCCGCGCGGCAGCGGCACTGCGGTCGCGGTGGTATTCGTTCGTCGCTCCGCCATCATCCAGTCAAGCACTCTCACCGCTACAGAGTAGGATATCAAACACTGGTTGTCCTCGCCTCGGGGTCCGCAGTCTATTTCGAGCGAGGAGCCCATCGCTATACAGTAGCCATACAGCCGAGAGATGGGTCGACGAATGAGCGAAAACCGGTTCGTGGCCAGGCGGGTAAGGGAGAATTTCATGTGCGTTCAGTGGAAGATATAGACGGCAAAACTGTCCTGCTTTTATGTGCTTATATGTAAAGGCGTGCTCGACAAGACCTGGGCGTCTGTAGAGATTTAAATATTCACAAGCCCCATGGCTATGTTAATTAATATAAAATATAAAATGGGTGCGCAGTGCGCACATCTTGCGCGTGTGCTTATGCTTGCGTAAGTGCGTGCTACGTGGGTGTCTATGTGCAACATGTTTTGTAAGTATCTACTGGAGTCTTCGATATCTCCTCTGTAGATCGTTGCTAGCCGAATAAATGTGCAACTCTTGCATAATTCATAAACGATGGCATTTTGGCTCGAGGCCGGGCTGTCGGCTGTCGCAGTGTCGCATGCTACTGAGCTGAGCTGTTACATAAGGTCGAACAATGCACGGTACATAATATGGATGGATGCCATCCTGGGACGTTCTATGACCCTTTGCACGTTTCACTTCCGAGATTTCTCTAAACCACCTTTTTTACACTAGAAACGTTCGTAAAGGAATGGAATGCTTATGCGTCTGCTTCTAACTCAACCAGTTTCAAAAAGTTGGAAGATCAATATGAAAGGATTGCCCATGTTTAAAACGGGCATTTCTCATAGGGTTGGGATTTAAAATAAGCAAACGTTTTATTCAGCATTGCCCCGGTCATGACCACCACCTCATCTCCACATGCAGCTTAAATTCCAAACTGCTCTAAAAAAAAAAAACTTAAGATGTCGGGCGAATAGCAGCCATTGGTTATTGATCCGATTGAATATTGTAATTCTTCGCCCGATAACACGAATAAACACCCGATAACACGAATATAACAACGATACATTATCGCATTTACTCGGACCGGCATGCTGGTTGCCGTTATCTATCTAATATAATTTCGTGTTGATGGGTCACACGGTCTACAGATGCAGAATCTAGGTATCGGTCACGTTGTAGCCTAAAAACAAATAAATAAACGGATAAAAATGAATTACATATGTAGTCCCCCAGAACCACGCGGCAAGCCCGAGGTCGTGCTATGGCGCTACCAAGTTGTTACTTTACACTACGAGTTTACAAATCCCGGCACGAAAAAGTCGATAAGTCGAGACCTACATCCTCATCCCTTTTCCACCGATATCGACACTTCACATGAGGTTGATAAGGGCCCTTAAGTAGGCGATATAGGTTGAGGTACTTGGACGGTAGGTATATACAGATGCCGATTCAGATTGCCGTAGCAGTAGACCGACATCGTGATCGGGAAGCAATACCAAAAAATAGACGGCGTAAAAACACCTCTCGGTCAAAGCAAATGCGATTAACGAAAACACTGCAAAACCAGGGTCCCGGAACACATGGGGTTTGACGGGCAAATGCAACGACCGCCTCATGCAAAGTCCACTATAACCTTTCTGGAGCCACCAATGAACGAAACGAGTTATATATTTTTATCGGTACCTGCGAAGTCAACGACTGCCCATGGCGACTGAAACCGGGATATCTTACAATATCGCCAGCAATAGCTGCCCTCTCCCGACCCATAGCTTCTCTGGCCAATGCAATCCATCTCCTCACCTGCTTTCCCATTCTCTCCTCCTATCCCGCCCCCACAGGAGGCCCGCTAATTCAAATTCAGACCGAATCAATCACTAGGAAATTCCACTCCAACTCACCTGGAAACACGAAGACGGTACCGGCAACTGGAGACCGATCCGACTTCTGTGGCCTCGAGGCCGGGTGTTGCCGACACAGGCCGTTCACCTATGGCCACCCTGTAGTGAGGGTGCTCCTGTGGAAACCCGACCCTCACAGGCAGGAGACAGCCCCGCACGGCTCGCACGGTATCCCCACACGCGGCGGCGACCCGCACTCGACTGCCCAGAGATTGGGTGATTGGACCGCTTCCTCCTGGCTCTACCTGCGGCCGGCCGCCCGCCCAGACGACACGTGACCGGCAGGGGCGGCGCCAGGGCCCGCTGAGGGGCGGTGACCGGTCTACTGAGGTGGGGTGAGGCCATGGATGGACCGACCGTATACGGACGGTAGAGCATAGAACCGTGAAAGACGGTTATAATGAGACTCCTTGAATATGTGACGAGGTCCGTCCATTGCTAAGTCAGGTCAAGTGAAAAAATCGTGAGGGAATTTTTATCGTAGATACACTGGTCGTAGATAAGAGGATACGCATTTCGTTATCGAATACGCACGCCTGTGATGAATTGGACGGCATTTATGACAGCCCCGGGCTATCGAGAATCGAGATTCCAGAGTGCTTTCGTGGTGAGGGCTCTGGCCACGATCAGTCTCCAAAACCCAGGCTCCGAAAGCATTCCCATAACAGGCAGCTGGAGCAGTGGAGCAGCTCTTTGACGGCTGCCGCCTCAGCATCGAAGGATATTGCAGAAGCCTTCTATGTTCACTGCATACTTACATCTCATAACGACACGGTTCATGGAAATGATGTAAATCGGGACTCGCAAAGCTGCTCAAAGAGCTCGACTGGATTAGCTGCTCGTTTTGGATTTCGATTGAACTGTAGATAGTAATCATGCTCATTCTCTCACTAGCCGTACACTAAAGAAATTCTAATATCCACCCAGCCGATAGGCAGTTGTGGAGCATTCAAGACCAGCCTGGACCAGCATTCAGGCTCTGGTAACCCCGTCTCATGAATATCGGCTGCGCCCGATAGGAGGTTGCACGTGTAACCGCTTCCGAGCGTTTTTGTTCGGATCGCGCCTGGCCCGAGGCCACACCGTATACCAAGCTCGTAGCTGGTTTACGGTGTAAGTTGACTACAAATGACATAATTTAGCTGGGATGGATGTTATTAATTGCAAAACGTCACTCCCCTGCCACAGTGTTCTCCCTCTAACCCTCAGCCTTAAGTGTGGACGTCATTCGATTTTCGACTTTTTATCTCGCATTCTTCACAGACGATTTTCAGCAATCCAGCACAGCCGAAAACACTGATTAATTAATTCTATCATTAGTATAATTATCAATGCACGTTGATCATTTTTCTAACGCAACAGAGCTTGGTGTTTTACGAGCGCTTCGTGACGGGCAACATACAGGAGCAATAAAGACAAAAGAGTCTTCACCAATCACCAATCACCATTCACAAAGACACCAGCACTAACCCAGGGTAGGCATGAACCCTCAAGCATCATATGCTGAGCCGATCCTAGACAGTAGTTTGTTTGACGACATACCCACCCCGAGAATGATCTGTATGCTATGAGGGGGAGGGGGGATGCCATGTTACCCGATCTCCTAGCCCGTCGCGTGGTGAAGCCTCGCGGTGTCGGGAAGTGTAATAGGAGTAGCCAGAGGACCGATGACTGACCACATTCAGCGGATCGAGTATCCCGGGGTTCGCGCTGGCCCCGCAGAGGCCAGGTAAGTGCCGACTGAGCTACCGGAAGGGAACTAGGGTGGTCAGGGGCAGCGAGGGTACTGCGCCCACACGGCGAGGCATTGGCACAAACAGAAGTCTACCAACTGTTGGTGATGGTTCGTTGGCTGATTGCTTCAAGCTTGCGAAGTATTGATGTCTAAAATACTGCTCGCTCAAATTGACGGGGACTTGCCAATGACGGCAATTATCATCAATTATCGTGCACGGGAAAAAGGAGGCCGTAAAAAGTCGGAACATTTAGCGTGCCACATATCCAATGTAATGCCGACATTTTGGACGCAAGCCTTCGTGCCGATTGATAACCAAGAGACACCAAGGTTGGATGACGAAACATGTATTTTCCTGACGCGTTAGTATCCATAAACATCACTAAAGCGATTTGTCGCGACTCGCGAGTGGATATGTGATTGAACAAAACATGCTTCGTAAGACTGTAATTAAGTGCAAAAATACGAGGTGCATGGTGTTGTTTTTCGCGAATAGCGGACTCATGCCGTTCAATGACATTGTAAGCATTGTCGCACCAATGCTACTTATATAAGCAACTACCAGCTGGAGAATCCGTGGTTACTTATGTAAGAAAACTACCAGATCGACTCAAATCCTTTGCGTGTGTCCTTGCAAGGAAACGCCATTTTACACGCTCAAAGTGCAGAGTTGCACATCAATTTCAATTGGATTCGAACAAAGTGAGACTTGAGAGGGCCATTATAATATATGTACCGTTATACCGCTGCATGTTCCTACAGACACTAAAGCCCATGTAAGCAACAACCACATTGGAAAGTAATAGATCACGCTGATATCATCCACAATTCCACGATCTATAAAGATCACCCCTAACTATTTACGATCGACCCATTTTCAAACGGCACACGCTACCAAAACGAAATGGTACATGTGGTTTACGACCAATTTTCATAGAAAAACTTTCCAGAAGAAGAATGAAAAAACGCAACGTGCATCAGAAATGATACATTCTACGGGCTTTTTGAAAGATACGAGTGTACGTACCATTCATCGATATATGAGCGAAGACGTTCGGTTGCAGGCCACGTAATTCCTATGGCCGAATTCGGAGCGATCGTTCACGGCGAAGTTCGCATCTCGACCAAAGATCACTGATATCCGATGCCACAACAAAATAAATACAAACGCACAACATAAGGACAGAGACCGCTTACCCACATCCCACTTCCAAACACATCACATCATGACTTCACCGTTTCACAGTCTTATAAAGCAAGAGTTATGAACTGCAAGATATAGTATCCACTTTCCACCCAAACTCCAGTCTTTTCAGGTCTGATATCACCATCAACTCTCGTCAATTTTCATCACTTTTTCGCCACAAAATTTTTGTGATAATTTCGCGTAAACTCGACCATCAGATCCTGAGTGCACTCAGGAAGCTCACCGACAAAGCGGCCTGGGGATCCTTCGAGGCGCGCGAAGCAGGGCACCACCGTCTCCGGCGCTAGCACCGTGTTGTCGGCAATGTAGCAGCAGTCCTTGAGGATGCAGCGACGGCCCTGGGTGGCGGACAGACAGAAGATTGTTAGCAGGGAGTCGCTGCACACTGCACACTGCACACTCGACACTGGATACCGTAAAAGGCAGGCGGCAGTCGAAATGGTGTGGTACGAAGCGTCAGAGAATAAGGTCGTTTTCAGCACATGCTTTCGAAAATAACGAGCGGCTGGTTTAAGTGAAGCTTGTCCCTAAACAGTATAATCACGACACTTGTATTCAGCTGATATTCATTAACCATTTTATGTGCAGCCGAACACGCTTCACGATAAAATTCAAAATTAGTTCACCGGCTGGCGGCTCCAATAGGTTTTCCGTAAGCAGGATCCTCTGAACTTTATACTTGATGAATTGTTTGTTTACGTCCATTTCACCAACGTGAATACAAACGTTGCTTGTGCAAAAGTTATAATTCAAACACAAAACAATGCGTAAATGATATCCGCGGTCGCTGTACACATTTCATTCAATTTAGCGCCTAAACCTGGGATTTGGACATTTCAACATCGCTCCAAAATCATCCCTGAGCCTCTAGAGAAAAACGCAGCAATAAGATCCACCCCTCCGCCAGAAACCTTTCGACGTTATTTTTACTGCGGTAAAAAGCCACCTCTCATTCTCAATTGTCAGCCTAGGAAAGACCCTCTATCTCGCTCTCGGTGGTACTCACAATGACGCAGTTGTTGCCGATGTAGACGTAGCTGCCCACGGAGGCGGCATTCACCACTGAACCTTCCCCTATGAACACGTGGTCACCGATGTGAGTGGGGAAGAACGCCACGCCCTTGCTGAACTTCTTGAACGGGGGTCGCAGCACCGCTTTCCGCCCCACGATACAGTATCTGAAATCGATTAACAGGGAATCGAGGGAGATTAGCTTTAGAGAGATGCTCAAGTGACTAACGAACACGAACTCTGATGTGCAACGCAAAAAGCACGTAAGTCGAATGTAGATTGTCTTGATCTTTTCGCTTTAAAATTGGCAGTATCTTGTATCAACAAACTTATATTCACACGGTAAAATACAATTTGTCAGCGAATCATTTCACAAATCAAGCCCATGAAACCAGACACGGCTAATTTCTCTCACTCGCGATCGTATCAAGCGAACGTCTGCCAACGGTAACGTCCCCATAGCGACACGCGCACCATCTAGCGGCGTAACACTGACCTTCCAGTTCTAATGCTGGCCAAGTCGCCGCGTATGATGGCGCCAGCGTCGACGATGTTCTTGCCGGTTAGAATGGTGTTTTGTGATCCACAGAGGACCGACTGACGGCTCACTTTGTTACCGGTCGTCTGAGAGCAAAAGAATACCGTGATCAAGCGATGATTGAGAGGTATGTATCTCAGGAAACAGATGAGAATGAAAATAGAGGTGGCTGGAATTTAGCAACTGGTAGAAGTGGCAAGGCAAATCAAGAAACAGTGGAGTTGATGCAGAGCACTCATCCGGACCTTGAAATATCTATAACAAAATAAGAATGTGACCATACAGCAGGCTGAGAGACAAAGGGCTGTTTAATGCCTCTTCACTGCTTGATGCTGGTGTTGATGAAACACTTTGTCAATCAGAAGCAACTACAGGGTTAAGTGGAATAAGCAAGACACACACATCTGTTCAAGCCGTCACTTTGGCCAGCTTGGCCCAGAAAGCCCAGCTTAAATGTGAAAGTAAAAATCATCATTTTGGAGACATGTCAGATCACTTGATATGATAGATAACCAGAGGCCTGGAGAACAAACAGGTAATAAGCATAAGAAGTTTGAAAAACTGGTAGAACTTACGGTTTCAATAAAGCTTCCTGGTTCATAGTGAATGGGTTGTAGCTCCATGATCAAACCAGTATTTGTCACCTTTTCATGAAAGCTGTGAAACAGGAAATATCCAGTCAGACAACAAACTGGAATTAAAAAACTCAGGACACAAAAAAGTCAACAATGTGAGCAGAGAAAAACTGTCTCAATCACAAGCATCAAGGTTATCCCTTTAATGTCATCTTCCATCACCTTTCTTCTAGATTTCTTTGGCACCTAGATGCCACAATACAATCAAATATTAAGAAGCAAGTGGCTGATGTTGGTGTAAGCTATTGCATGTAAGCTATTGCTGTGGCATTAGCACACTGACCACAAACCATGAGGCATGATAACATTTTATTTGAGGTACATTTTCAAACCTTGCACATACCAATAGGCAATATGGATATATTATTTAATAAAAAAATAAGGATAAATCTTTCTGAAAATATTAACACTCAACTGATGACTCATCTTGCCAGCATTCTGGCTTTACGATGCTTTACGATCATTGAAAAGAGGCAAACATTTTCAAATGAATTATGAAGAGCAAACTTTCTTCAGAAAAAATGTAAAATAATGAATGTTAAATGAACTGATTAAACCATACTAAAATTTAGTCATCATTATACTAACATTGTTATGGCTTTTGTCTGGAAATTTTTCGCAATGATAAAAACCGAAGCAAGATATGATCCCTTGCTGATGTTTACCAACTATTCCATTTGTACAGAAAACATGCATTGATGTGTATAGACTTATGGGGATGAACAAAATAAAATAATATTGATATTTATTTAGATCTCAGGCAGGTAAGATTGAGATCTGAGGTTAGGAATAACACCATTTTAACAGCACTGAAAGAGCAGAATCATTTTAATGTTAGATATCATTTATGCATCATTCGAAAGATAATTTTGTATTTCATAACTTGCAATGCACATTAGTACACCTAGAAGCAATTTTCGTTAAAAATACCGTTAAAAAGAGAAACGCACCCACGTCACCCACACACCACCAAGCCAGCTTACCGCGCCGTTTATGTCACTAATGTGTCATATCCGTCATATCTAATTACATTCACACTCGTCAAATACGGCTTGGTTTGGACACCCAACACTTTTCGACCGGAACCACTCGGCCCATAGAAATAAAGTATTGCATTGCATTGTATTGTATTGTATTGTATTACCGTCAAGGAAAATCCACACGGGGCGTGGCGATTACAGTGCAGAAAATAAGACATAAAGACATAAAGACATAAAGACTCAGCCGATCGGAACGAACGAGACCCCCTTCGAATCAGATCAGAGTCCAGATGATATGATTTTATCAGCCGTTTCGAATATGGTGACCTCAGGTAACCCTGGTGACCTCAAAAGCTCAACTTGATGTTTTCACCTGTTGCAACCTTTCTATACCTAACTCAGAAACTACTGGAACGATCGAGACGAAAGCACCACGAGTCGATTACATCAGCCGTTTCGAAAATGATATGGTGACCTCGGGTGACCTCGGTAACCTTGGGTCAGTAGCGGCGGAACGCCTTCAATTAAGGGGGGGGGGCACTGCCGACTTTTGGTCCCATTCCTTCCATGCAACGCCCATAGCATAGGACTAATGTTAAATGCCAAAATCAAAGGGGGGGCACGGTGCCCCGGTGCCCTCCCCTTTCCACCGCCGGTCTTGGGAGGTCACAGACCCGTTTTGCCTATGGCAGCCATTCTATAACTCAGGAACTACTGTGCAGATCGATACGAAAACACCACCATTCGATTCGCCGTATGCAATTTAACCAGTCGCTCCGAATATGGTGATCTTACATGAATTTAGTGACCTCGATGTGTCAGCTTGACGCTTTCGACTATTGTAACCAACTCTAGCCCCGCGTTTGATGCCTCTCAGACGACGAAGATTCTACGCCGTCCGGCCAATCACGTTCCATAACCGCAGCCGAGCCCCCGCTAACCTTGAACGTGATTGGCCGGACGACGTAGAATCTTCGTCGTCCGAGAGACATCGAACGCGGGGTAGAATCCAACAACTATTGGGCCGATAGAGACGAAAACGCCACCAGTTAAATAGCCGTATGCAGTTTCAAAAGTTCTTCCGAATAGTTAGGGACGAAAAGGTCATGCTGAGCTTCCAAGATCACCCAGTGGCGGCGCCACGAATTTTTACCAGTGGGGGCAAGCTTGAGGTGACCCGACTGTTGTCTGATACGCCAATCTGCAAAATCCATGAGCACCTTGCCCCTAGATGTTGCCATTCAAAATTATTATGGTTCTCATGTGACCTCGAAATTTATAGATCCGGGAACAGGGGGGGCAGCGGGGGCGCTTGCCCCCCCCCCCTCAACTTGGGAGCCGAGGGGGCGGCGCCCCCTCAACATTGAGGCAGCGAGAAATGATATTTCCTCCCTTTTCCGGACTTCTTTCCTTCTCGTTTCCTTTATACATCTTAACATCAACACACGGCATGTTCCTTGCCATCTGAATGGTTTCTGCTGATACAGTATCGATTTAACAACATCTGCTGTTGTCATCCCGCTTTGATTTGGGCATGACCTTGGCCATAAGTTTGGCAGGCCAGATTTTATACTGGACCATTTTGAGTCAACTTTGAGATTAAATACATACCTAACGTACAACGGCGGTAAAATCGTTGCTATAGTTATAACCCAGTTCCGGGTGTGAGGGAGGGGCATGGGGCAATGAGTGCACTGACGTGGCGCCCTCGGAGGACCGGTATGGGATTAAAGCTCAGCGACACCAAGGGCTTGTGTGGTGCCTTCGGTTTTCGGTAGCACCCTCAGAATCACCGGCCTAGGGCCCTCAGAGCCGCCGGTAAGGGGCCTTTAGAGGCACCGGTGTGGGGCTGTCATGCAGGTGCCGGTGTGGGCGCTCAGAGGGGCAGTATATAGATTCTCTCAGAGGCGCCGATGAGGGTCCTTACAGGCGTTGATGTGGGCCCTCATAGACGCTGGTGTGGAGCCGTTACAGACGGGTGTGGGGCCTTTAGAGCTGCTGACGCGAACTCTCTACAAGCCGGCAGGGGTATCAGTGACCAGCATGGGTCCTTAGGCCGGCAGAAGAAGTCCTGTGGGGTCCTTAGAGACCAGCATGGTACTGTCAGACGCCGGTGGGGCCCTCAGAGTCACCGGTGTGGGGCCCTCAAAAGTCACCAGTGGGTGGCCTTTAGATGCGCAGGTGTTGGTTGGGTCCTCAGAGCCGCCGATATAGGGCTTTAATAGGCAATGGTCATGTAGGCACTCAGAGTTGGGGGTGTGAAACCCTCAGAGACACCGGTGTGGGCCCTCATAGGCGCCGACGAGGGCCCCACAGTTGCCGTTATGGGGCCCTCAGAAAAATAAGTGTGGGACCATCACAGGCGGGAAATGCCCCTAGAACTGGCCTCTCATAAGCCAGTAAGACCTCTCAGAGGCCAGTAACGGGCCTTTGGAGACCACCGAGGTGCCCTTAAAAGCCGCAAGAGGCCCTCAGAAGCTGGCGTGGGACCCTTATGGAGATCTTAGTGTGGTTATTTAGGGCCCATGAGGTGATCTAACGAGCTCCATGGGCCCTTCTGAGTAGTAATATGGCCATCGTTAACCTTCAGCGGTCAAATGGCGCCGCAGGGCCCCTCGGACCCGAGGGTCCCTTTGAACCCGATGGGGGGGGGGGGTACGTGTCCCCCCTAGACCCCTAGCTATGCCACTGTTTCATATGCATCATGTCAGGTATTTTAGGCTCGCCCCCCAACTTTAAAATCGTTCCCGGGCCCCTGCCTCGAATGACCTTTGGTTGACTTTGACACATGAAAAGACTTTTGTGATGATTTCGTAGCCGCTGATCACGATTCTGGCATCCATTTTGCTCGAAGCATTCATTTAAGAGCCTCAGGATGGGAAAACATGTCTAAATTACTAGATGCCGGCAGCCCTCTTGCGTTGCCTTGGGCCAGAATTGGATGAACGGAACTGAGGGCACACACCGGGCAAAACCACCGAAACCCAGACTGAGCTTGGACTGAACCTGAAACCAACCGAAACATCCCAAAAATGCTTAAAAGCACGTGAGATTGGTGTGGATATCTACAGGGTGTCCCATAAGTTCGTTTTCACCTAAATTTTACGTTTATAGGCTCTCTTGCTTAAAGGCACGCTGAAATTGGTTCGTAACTGAGCTTACGTGGTTGCCATGGCTGGTAGCAATATGCTCCACAGTAAATAATTTCTGTAGACAAAATAGCTTTTGCTAGAGAGCCCGCTTCCTACAGAGACGGCTAACGGCGCAACATAGAGGTCTCCGATACGGGTACGTCTTAGTATTTAGTCAGCACGTGACCATTCTCGACGATTAAGGGTGATTGAGGCCTACCAGTCTGTAGCCAATGTCCATCGCTAACTGGACGCACAGCCAGCAAGTGACGGCGATGATTTGTCGGGAGTCAATCACGGTGAATGAACATGAGTAGGAGAATGAGTGGGAATAGGAGATATGCGACAGACGGTCCGAGAACGAACGTTTTGCTGATGCACTTGATACGGGGACCGTCAAAAACAGGCGTACTATAACCGCTTATCATGAATGTTGCACTGCTCTTCTGTTCCCTTTTCAACATCAGCCAAATTTTGTGGGGGCAAAAACATAGTCTTGCCCCCACGGCCTCCTGCCAGTGGTGGCAGTCTGCCCCCACTGCCCCCACGGTGGCGCCGCCCTTGAGATCACCACGGTTACCTGAGGTTAATAAAAAGCTGATAAAAACTGCCTATTCTCATTGCAAAAGTCAATTACTCAAAATAATTTATATTAATTGTGAGTAATTGACTTTGGCCATATATGTCATTATGAGCTTAAACGATGCCTATTCTCAGTCAAATAGTGTTATTTAGTTATAGGGTTATAGGGTGGCTACTGGCTCCCATGTAGTCCGTAGTCCGGTAGGTGTAGGTATCGTCTGAGGCTAGTGCCTAAGTGGATCCGTCTCGCTGGTACGGTCTGCCTACGGTTGGTGCCTGGTGTCAGCATCCTAGCCGAAGTTCCTCAACCGGCAGCTGGTTCGGGTCGCGGGCTTCGTCGATTGGTTTACCCTCGACATGCTTTGCTATTTAACCTCATTACACAATACACAGTACATACAGTAGCGGGCTCCATAGTTAAACGCTTACGCTACCCGCTACCGAGAAATTCCGAGAGGGACGTTAGAGGTCACTCGTAAGGCCTATTCAAACAAAGTCTAAAGAAGTGCGTGGGGATCTTGAAATCCACTTCTTATCTAAGGGCAAAACAGCACAAAATCGTTTTCTTCTGTCTTTATTACTAAAAACATTTTCGAGCACACAATCAATATGGCCATGTCAACGCGTAAATTGTACCAAAAATATGTAAAACACAATGGTCGGTGCTTGACATTTTCATTGCATCGCACATGACGTACAAGACTCGGTGTGATTGTATTTTCTGTAAACCTTCTTCAGCACACATGGTGTGCCTTGATAAATATTTCTTTCATCTTTTTATCAAGGAAGCACCTCCTCGCGTTTGTCGCCGGCCGAACCTACAAAAGCCAGTCTTTCTTGCGCCGCCATCTGATCTACATAGTCTAACCCCAGTAGAGGTCAGACTCCTTTTCTTGTAAGGATCAGACTCCTTCCTCGTATGTTGCGAATGTCAGTCTCAGTCCTCTACAAAGGTCAGACTCCGTCCTCAGTACGAAGGTCAGCCTCCTTCCATCGCAGACCCCTGAGCCCTACGTCTAGCCGAAATTTCGGTTATTGAAGCGGTTGTTACTGACAGCGTTGAAGCCCTGGGGCACAGGAATGGCGATGTTCTGACTGATTGCCTGAGCGTGATTCACAGCGATATTGGTGCCAAAAGCGCCCACCTGTCGAGAGAGGAATACAGAGCGGTCAGTGGTGATAAAACTGGTGACAGCGATAGTTGGTGATGCAGACTGGCGATAGGTACAGACTGGTGGTGACATGGATAAGTGAGAACGGTCGGTTATGACACAAAGTGGTGACAACAGTTAATTATGACACAGATTGGTGACAGTGACGACACATGCTGGTGACAGCGATAAGTGGTGACATGTATTGGTGACAGCGGGTAATGGTGAAACGGATAATAAAAAAGACTGGTGGCAGTGGATTTTGGTGTCACGGAATGGTAACAATGGATGGTGTTCTGTCGTGACACAAAACAGTGACTCGATCAGTGGTGATTCCCACTGGTGAGTAGTGACGACTGCCAGCGGTGACACTAAGTGGTGAAAGAGATCAGTGGTGACAAACTGGTGGCAGTGCCAGTGGCTAGTTGTTGTGACACAAACAAGTGACATGACATATGACAGCGGTGAAACAGATAGGGGACAGAGCTGTCTTTTATGGCACACAGTGGCGCAAAGCGGCGACATATTTCTGACAGTCATATTATACCGCCATGGGAGGACAGCCAACAACTGGGGACTCCCATCATTCCAAATGTATCGTACCGTTCTTGGAAAGCCCCTATGAGCGGAAGGGCGTCTCCATTGACCTTGGGATGACCTCAAACTGGTCCACCCTGCCTCATGACGTCACTTATCAGCTGACGTCATCAGCTACTGAGGTTCTAATGAGCGAACACAGGAACCGGAATGGTGGGATAAAGGAATGGCGTGGGCTGGTTTTCGTGCTCCCTTACATAGGGTAGGGGGCATCGTTATTCGTTACGGCTGTTTGTTATTGCTCGTGTGTTAATGTTGGTCTTTGCGCTATTCTGTTTTTCTCGGTGCATGCAGGTATACGAAGTGTGTGGTAGAATGTGGTATCATTTTCGCTATTTTATTAGATGTTGCCGAAGCGTCATTATTCTTAATGACGCTCGCTTATTCATTCTTAATGAATGAATGAGAATATAATTGTTCTAATTCATAAATTATTATGATATAAAGTTTCCATAGCGCAGCCCGTTTGAAAACAATGTACATTTTAGACAGCTGTTTTATTGTTATGTTTTCGTTTGTCTCATAAAACTGTGAAGTCACGCCCGGTGCAATGGTATTGAACAGTTTCAAGGGAGCGGTACCTTCTAAATCCTTTTACATAACTGCAGCGTAGTCTTGGGCCTACTTCTGTCACCTCAAACCACAATCTGCCGTGGCATGAAACTGAAAGCTTGAGACATCTGAAAGCGAATGTTCAAATCTTTATATAAGACCTTACATCATTGTAACTGGTTTAGCTCAATATTGCAACAAACGACCATGTTCTGAGTGATGAGCTGAACCTGCCTTTCTTCACCAATAATGCCTTTTAGGGCGATCGTAATAGGATTGAAGCGACATTTGACATTACGTTACGACAATGAAACCCAGAGCGACACTGTCAGAATGATTGATAGCCTGCGGCTACTGACCTACGTGCATGGACACGTTAACCTGACTAGGCAGATGGGCCCTACGTGACTATTGGCCAATACAGACGTTTTATTCATCCAGGCTCTGAGTACGAATGGATGCGTGTGCTGTGTGAGGACCAACAAATTCTGAAACCGGACGTTAGTTCAGCGGACTTCCCAAAAATTACTTTCAGATTCCACACTTGTGGCATGTTTTGTCCGTGTTATTGATGCTATGGTTGCGCGTGTCTCTCTCTGGTTATAATTTGATTGCGTACATCGTGCGTTAAAATAAAGGCTAATTTACCTAAAAAAAGGCTAAATAAACGGCAAAACACACATATGTAGGTAGGTACGGACCGAACAGCACAAACACTCACCGAGTTACTGGAAGCGAGCGCCAATCCGCCGTTGAAGCTGAGCGTATCCGGACGGTTTTGGTTGACATTGGTGACCTGAGCGCTGACATTATTGACGGAAGGCCGACCTCGGCTGGAAGCCCCTCCGAAGACTGGCCGACGACCAAACTGAAGGAGTGCGGGGGACCGGTTATGCTAAAGAGAAAAAGGCCGCTCCAGTTCGATACGGTGTCTGCATACTGAATCAGGTGGTTAGGTATCTCCTCAGGGTACGAATGGATGCGTGTGGTGTGCGGAGATGGGAACTTTCTGGGAACATTCCGTTAGTTAGGCTTCCCGAAAATTACTCGCAGAGTAAACGGCAACATCTTAAAGTCTTTTTTTTATTACATTTCAGTCTCAATTATTATTTCGTAGTCAACTCACATGAATTGACCTGGGTGCGTGATTGAACCTATGGGTTCAATCGTCAATCAGAATCAATAATTAAACAAGTGGAAACATTTTTCAGGTCGGTAATCATGTCCTTTTAACGCTTACACTAAAACATTTCCAGTAAATCAGTAAATCAGTGTAGCAGTGGACAGGTAGCATGGCGTCGCTACGGAACCCTCAGACAACGGGTCATGAGCATCGGACGGGATTCTGGCTGACAAAGCTGTGTCTTGATCGTACATCCATACCGCATACGTGTATCAAACCGCCCGCGATGTGATGTGCAGGAGGATCTTACCTGAGGAGCAGGGGCCGCAACCGCCGCACAAACCAAGGCCAAAAGTCCAAATGCGACCTTCATCATTAAACCTGTAATAACATGACAAGTTTATTAACGAGAGCAGACGGTGTATGCATGGATGATGCGAATAAAATAGATGTATACGTATACGGCATAACTCGCTAAAAATAAATAGTTATTTCAATTGATGATTGCCAGGAGTAAAATGGCAAGCCGAGAAAAACAAACATAAATCACAACCGCTTCAGACCAATGTTCTTCCTAGTTACTACAATTAAATAGTTCGCTATGTTCGTGGCGACAACCCATTCTTTCAGCCTCGGCCGATGATTCATACACAAACGAGGAAGAGATTGAAGGACAGAGCATATTGCTACTCATCTTACAGCCGCTCCGGCCTTGTAATTCAGGTTCGGTGCCCAGCCGCCACTTATCATACAAATAGGTGGGACCGTTGTGCAAGAATCAGAGTTGCGACACATCTTGCAATCATTCATCTAGGTCGCAGTTATTTCACGGCAGACCCATCCAGTAAAGGGAGCCACTAACGCTCTTTAACGCTGCTTGATGAGCTTTCATGCCGTTTTAAGCAAAAATCGATTAAAGGCTGATATTATTTGCTTTTCGGGGGAGGTAGAGAGCGTGGCTCGTATACCCCTACTTATAAACGGATTATCATGGGACAAAGACAAAAGTACAGACGACTCATGGTTCAATAAGCCATCTTATCAAAGATATTTGACCTTTAGTTCAGAATTTTCCTTTTACCCGTGGAAGCCTATTTACATAAGCATAAATACATACGGCTTCCGGCCACCGAGACAGCTAATTAAATTAGCAAAATCGGAATAGAATCGGTAGATACCTGGTCAATGGTAGTCATCCACCAAAAGTTGGATTAAACAGGTACTCATTCTGAGAAGTAACAGTCTAGGTGTTCCAGAGTGGAGAAAATCTGTTTTATTTTACGCCCTATTTGATGATCAGTATAGCTATGATGAGAAATGCAAAACAAAACAATTTCCGGCTACACTAGGGGTAGGGGTAGGGGTTTACACTACACTATATCAAACCCTTACCCCTACACTAGGGGTAGGGGTTTGAGTTATTATTACAAAACAATTTCAACGAACCCCTAAGTTCATACCACACGATACATAGCAATCCCCCCCCCCCCCCCCCAGCTCAGCTCCCATCCTACCTGTGTCCCGGGGAAGTGTCGCGGTCGGCGGCCGGTCGGCGGTAGCTCTGCTCCGTCACTAACCAATCCGACCCCAGCCGCCGTGGTGCGGAGTTCTGGCAGAGGGCCGCCGGCCCAGCACTGGGAATTCCACCTGCGCCGCCCCGGCCGGCCGGTCCTGCCCTGGGGCGCTACGCGGCTCGTCACGCGGTCGAGCGATGGTAATCAGCACGTCATCGCCCCCAGGCCTCGCCTGTTTACCTCCGGGATGGGGTAGGCCGGTGTTTCTCTATCGTTCGTCGTCACGGCGGAGATGACGCATTCCTTCCGAGGAAGAGTCAGAGAAAAACGATCACTACGGAGGTCCAGTTACGCTTCAAGTGTGATGCTGCGCTCTTTGGTTTGAAAAGATTATGGTCTGAAACAATTATTCAGCTATTGATTGTTCATCGGCTTTTGAGTTACAAAATTCTTACATTAGATGTTGATCTTAATATCATAAAACAGAGACGCGACAGTTCAAACTCTGGGTAAATGAAAATGATACGCGAAAGGCCACTCCGTCATGTAAAGTTAGGTACATCAATTCAACCAGAAAGCCCTTACCTAAGCACACCAACCAGCTGATATATTAAAACTTTGAAGCTAAAACATTGTTTAGAATAATAGGAGGTACTGTACAGCCCTCAGCAGACTGCGTGGTAGGTATTCTTTTTTCGACGAAACCGGTGATAACTCAAAGGCTATGTTATCAGTAGGCCGGAACTCACTGCAAACAGATGCGCCATGCTCCACTTCTTCGATTAGGTCTATCACTAGACAAAGTATACGCCTTGCGTGGCAACAAAATGCAAAAGTCTGTTTTGGGGGCAAATATAAACTTTTGGATTTTGTTGCCAAACTGGGTAGAAAATAAACACGATGATAATGCCAATCTAAGGTGCGAAGTCTCGCGCGTCATACTGTTACGATTTCCGAGTGACCGATGGCATAGTATTCGCGTTATTCTCGGTTTTGTCGAAAAAAGAATACCTACCACGCAGTTTGCAGAGGGCTGTACTTTACTACTTACGTCTCACCTATGCATAAATATCTTAGGGAGATATTTTTGTGGATTATACTTGCATATTTTGAATGCAGTATAACGATATGCCTTCATTAATACCTTTATGAAGGCATATCGTTTAAAAAATGATCAATAAGACCAGTATAGCGCCTTTTGGGGCGACTAACGGAGCGAGCGAGGGGGTGAGTCTTGCACGTGCGAAATTCGAGGGGGTACCTCCAACTGACTTGTGCACGGCACCCTACTGACCGGTTTCTAGCGATGTGCCAAATTTGAGCACAATCGGCCCAGCCGTTCTCGAGATCTGGAAGCGGCACCCTGCACGTGCGCACGTGCAAAATGGCTCCTAACTGAATTTTGCACGGCACCCTACTAACCGGTCCCTAACCGCATACCAAATTTGAGCGCAATCGGTCCAGCCGTTCTCGAGATCTGGAATCGACCCCTGCACGTGCGCACGTGCAGCAGCACCCCCAACTGTGATACATGGATATGTATTGCCTAGTGGGTGCCTACCTACCTGCCAACTTTCAGCGCAATCGGCCCAATAGTTACCGAGATATTGCAACAATTACAAAACTGACACCTCTTCGTTTTGCACGTGGCACGTGCATAAGGGGTCACCCACATGCATCGGGAATAGTCTAATACTTGGTAGAAGGAATGAAGCTACCCTACAAAAATTACCGCATCTAAATCGGTCAAGTGGTTGCTGAGATATAAGCCTCGCAAAAGCGTCCGCACGGCCGGCCGGCCGGCCGCTCATACTCAGAAATTTCCGTTAATCTAAGGAAAGACTCCGCTCGCTTCGCTCGCTCCGTAATAAGGTACCTGTAATACCAAGTCTCGTGCTGTGCACTGAGGTACTCGACATTATTTTGCTACGACGGGATGCAATATATTTCATTATCACCTTTTTATTTGAGGCAAAATTAATTTTCAAATAATGTTTTGTTTTGATGTCCTTTGTTAACATTATACATATTTTATAGAAATGTAGGCTGTATTATGCTTTCTTCTAAATGATTATATTTGTGCATTTTACATAAAAAATTATAAAGCAATGACTTCCTTAGTAGGGGCATATTCTGTGTTATTTCTTACGTTTTGCCTTACTTGTGAGGGCTTCTACAGGAAACCATATGAGACCGGACCAACAACAACGTGAGTTTATCTTCTATCTTCAGCTCTGTTTTATTGCTACGTTTGTTATGTGGCTGAAAGACAATATCTTCTACAGTTCGCGCTCATTTTGTACACAAGTTTGTGAATTGATGTGTATTATATTTTGCTTTTAACCAACGCGATATCGCGAAGAATATTATCTTTCAGTGACGTGTTGGTGAATCATATTTCGTCAGTTAGCTGCAAAATATTTGTAGTAATGCCAACACAAGGCAAGAGAAGATGCGCGAATATTATTACTAAATCGGGCCAAGATTCACAAAAAAAAATTGAATATGTTAATTGCTATGGCTGATTATGTTGTGCCCTTGAGAGCAGGACAAACATACCTAGTTGCATCGTATATAGGTAATTACTAATTACTAAGTCAATAAAAGTTAACTTTTTTTTGCATTGCAGCCAGGTAATTCTACCGCCGAAACCACAAGGCACGCCGAAGCCGTTTATACCTATTTCTTACAAGCCCGCCATCGACAATGGAGGTAGTACTTATAGTTGGGATACCAACATTGTCTACGAAACTCTGGCTCCCGATGTACGAAGAGGAGGCAGAAATGACTACTACTCCACCGGCTGGGGTATCACGTTCAACATCTGGATTTGGATTGAAGTGGTTCCGTATACAGAGAACTACATCAGGTGGTACTTCAGGACGACCACTATACCGTCCGTAGTCGTGGTGTGGTGGTACACCACGGAGTACTATGGAAGCTGGGGACATCAAATTAGAGGTGAGAACCTACAACTGAACACTTTTCTGTTAATGAGCTACATGTATGTCCGTCGGAACTCGTTCGACCTATCACAGTGTGTCTTATGCCCTCTCTTTCTCTCTCTCTCTCTCTCTCTCTCTCTCTCTCTCTCTCTCTCTCTCTCTCTCTCTCTCTCTCTCTCTCTCTCTCTCTCTCTCTCTCTTCCCTCTCTCTCTCTCTCTCTCTCTCTCTCTCTCTCTCTCTCTCTCTCTCTCTCTCTCTCACTCACTCTTACACACGATTGAAACAATCCCTGCTCATTCCTATGTGTAGCTCACAGTTCAATTGATCTTAACTCGTCCAAACTTCACTTGAGTGATGTCTCTACTCTGCTTTCATATTCGGTCTAAACCACGATTCTTTTGGTTACCTAAACCAACATCCTGTCTAAACATTTAACTTTTCCCTTTTCCAGCGTACGATGACAGAGTAGACGAAGTTCAAAAGAAGAGCAGTGGCCTCGAATACACTTGCTTCAGCTGGCAGAGAGGCTGTGACGAAAGCAGCCTGCTGATTGTCGAGAATTATCACTCCTCGGGCCGGATGAGGTCCATTGGAGGTGGAACCGATGGAACCGATAATACACTGATCGCCTTTATTGTCATCGCAGTGCTTATCGGAGGTAAGTGGGTAGATTAATTCTGTTGATATATTTGATCAACTAGCTTGTGGAATGTTTGATTAATGTAAGACAAAAATATCAAAGAAGTGTCAAACAAATTACACCGTCCTATATGTACATAATTTTATCAAAGTATTAATGTAACGAATATGATGCAGTTTTACCGTATTTTTTATTGTTTTATCGGTCCAAACTTCAATTTATATTGCACTTTAATGCCACTGCTGATGCCCAGGTAAAATTCACAACTCCATGCGCCAGGTAGCAAACGATCGCTTGATTCTTATCGGTAATACATACGTTTATCATATCGCCAATCTCAGAAACGGGCAGACAAGGACTATCCTCCAAACAAAGTCAATGCTAACTGAGTTGTCTGTACCCACAGCCGGCATCGGAGGAGTCATGTACTACCAAAAGAGAGCCGCGGCCGCTATGGCAGAGGGCGAGGAGGGTGAGGGGGAGGTGGACGGAGAGGCGAAGGAGGAACCAGCAGAGGGCGAAGAAAAGGCGGAAGAAGAGCCTGAATAGTAAACGTGCATACTGCATGATTTATTTTACCAAAGAAGTCCGATTTTACATTTTTATTTGTGCATCATAACGAGGCATTGTGCCATTACAATGAAAATATGCTTGCAAAGTGTAATTTATTTACCTTTTATTTCAAGTGGAATAAATATAAGATATGCCAGCGTTTTCTATCAACAATGTACCCAATGAAGTGAAATGGGAGCCGAGCCGTGTCGACATCGGTGTCGATATTACTTGTTTTACTTTTAATTTTAGCTTTAACCCGCGCCCCACTGGGGTCTGCGTATAACACGCTTTACTGGGAGGGGGGGAGGGCTCTTCATAGCCCCCCTCCTAACTCCGAAACTACTGGGCCGATCGTCAAAATTCAAACAGCATCTGATAGCCCCGGAAAAACTGTCGTGCGAAACCTAATTTCATTGACCTCAAGGTCACCGATGACGTCACAGGTCAGGTCAAAGTAAAAATTATTAGCATTTTGGTTTGTTCATATTTTGGGCTCTGGCCGCCGTCTTACATGTCAGGTCAGGCTCATTTTTGGTATACACAGTCGTGAACAGATGTTCTAGATACCCTGAGGGTACCAAACTTGTACTTTGGTTTTCAGGTCAGGGTTAGGTCATCACAGGTCACGGAAATATTATATCATGCGTCGGTCACGTGACACATGTTTTGTGGTCCATTTAGGCCATATATTTCGAATTTGATGTCGCATATGTCATTCGAGGTCATTTTAAGTCGAATTTTGCTTAGGTCAGTCACTTTCACGTCACTTTCAGGTAAAAAAAGGTTAAATATTTAAGTTAAAATTTTCAACAAAAAGGTGTCTATTGGATGCAGTTTGAGCTCAGGAACACGATGGTCCTATTGATATTGGTGTACGATGTCAAATACGTACTGAAAAATTGATTTGAAAAATTAATAATTGTGAATGTTTTGCAATAATGCGTATAACTTGGCCATTGTCGAAGATATTTAGCTAAAACTTGCTCGAGTTAGTCATAAGCATACGTTCTATCACATATATTCTGTTTTTTTCGAAACATCAAAAAAAATTGAAAAAATATGAAAATATACATTTTGAATTTTATTATGTAAAATTTTCAACTTTGTCAAAATTTTGAAAATCCGAGATAAGGAGAACGACCTTTACAGTTATCATCAGTTACAGTTACAGTTACAGTTACAGATATCATCAAACTTACAGTTTGATAGCGCGATCTATTTTGAGTCCTCTCTGCAAAGAAATTGGATCGAGCTTAAAAACTTAGCACTTGGGAGCGATTGCCGTGGTTCAATGTTTTGCGTCGAAATCGGCTGAACATGACGTCACTCTGACGTCATTTCCGGCCGACCTATGGTAGCTACGAAGTTCATATTTTGACACAAGGTGTCAAATTGATGCAGCCGAAGGTACTGAAAGTTTGGCGTCGATACGTCAAGCGGTTTGGAAGTTATTGCAGAAAAAACGGGAGGGGGGCTATGAATAGCCCCCCCCCCAGTGGGGCGCGGGTTAAAAATCATTGACAGATTTGTAATAAATATTTTAAATGTTTATCGATATTAGAAAAGCATAAACCCTTATAATCGTTCTGTCTGCGTCAACTTTCATAGCATGCATGCTGTAGCGTCAAAACAATGAAGTAGATACAAATAAAAGAGGACCCAAGCCCAGCATCTTTACTAAATTCAAATAAAAAACTGCCAAAAGTCTGTTGAAGTGGTTGCATGAACGGTCAACCTGAAGGGTGCGTATTATTTAGGCCAGGGTTCATAATGTCCAGGGCACAATGTGTCCAGTGCTCGAAATGGCCAGTGTCCTGAATTGGCCAGTGTTCACATTGTCCAGGGATTACATGGTCCAAATGTGGCCAACTGGCTGCAGATAGGGTAAATTCAAAGAGGCCAGGGTTCATAATGTCCAGGGCACGATGTGTCCAGTGTTCGAAATGGCCAGGGTTCATAATGTCCAGGGCACGATGTGTCCAGTGTTCGAAATGGCCAGTGTTCATAATGTCCAGGGCACGATGTGTCCACTGTCCAGTGTTTAAAATGGCCAGTGCCTTGAATGCATCAGAGTTCATAATGTCCAGGGATTACATAGTCAACCCAACCCAACCAAACCTAACCTAACCTAACCTAACCTAACCTAACCTAACCTAACCTAACCTAACCTAACCTAACCTAACCTAACCTAACCTAACCTAACCTAACCTAAGGTAATGATGTTTGCCTACCAGGGATAAGGAAATAGTTTCTCGCATGAATAGATTGCAAGCAATAGTAAATCAAATATTTTTAGTTTAAGTGGTTATGCATCAGGCTTCAGGCCGAAGGCCTGAAGCCAGATACAATACATAACCACTTAACCTAAAAATATTTGATTTACTATTGCCTGTAATCTCTCCTAAGGCATTGTCTTCGGCACTGCACTGCTTCGCATTGAGCTGGTTCCGTGTTTTTTACATAATGACGTCACTTTCAGTGACTATGTAATCCCTGGACATTATGAACTCTGGCCCATTCAAGGCACTGGCCATTTTGAACACTGGACACATCGTGCCCTGGACATTATGAACCCTGGCCATTTGGAACACTGGACACATCGTGCCCTGGACATTATGAGCCCTGGCCATTTCGAACACTGGACGGACACATCGTGCCCTGGACATTATGAACCCTGGCCTCTTTGAATATACCCTATCTGCAGCCAGTTGGCCGCATTTGGACCATGCAACCCCTGGACATTATGAACTCTGGCCCATTCAAGGCACTGGCCATTTCGACACTGGGCATATCGTACCCTGGACATTATGAACCCTGGCCAGAATGAATGCTCCCCCAACCTGAAGACAATAGATTTAACACCTAAAAGTAAAAACGGCAACATGGGAAGACATTCTGCCTGCCCCGCCCACACACAGCCCAGTACCACCGGCCGCCGGAGACTGCAACAGTGGGTATCACGGTAACACGCGGACCCGGCGAGACTGCAATGAGACACAAGAGGGTAACCCCATTGCGGGACGTAATTGCTATACGGGCGACCGGCGAATCCGTTTGTTGGGACCTCTGAAAAATTCAACGTTGCTATCAGCTAGCATATTGGTAAAAACGTAACAGGGCCAAAAATATCATCCAATAAGCTGTGAATCAGTCAATTAGTCTTGCAAGACTTATGGATAAACCAAACTACCTGTACCCGGGCCGGGGTATACCCTGTGTAAGCACAACAAAACTCTGAAGTCCGTAAACAAAGACAGCAAAAAAGTCACCAAACGATAGGTCCCAGCGAGAACATTTACAAAAGATACGAGTTTGAACTCAGGTCAATTCATAAACACACATATATCCTTAGAAGTTAAAATTGTTTAGACTTCGCATAAACACGAATCGCATTATGCTGACTTCACTGCTGCATGTCATATCTACCATACCCATTACACAGATGCTTAAACACCACTCTGACGATAATCTAAATCCTCTGAGCCCCGTCCCGGCGGTGAGGGAGCGGATGATGCGCTCGTCGACGGCCCTCTAATCCCAGTCAGTTGTTCTCTGACGGGGCCGGAGGATGGACGTGTGGTGACCTGCCGGCTCTGTCGCTTCTGCTGTGGGGACGTCGGCGTCAACCATGGTGAGTGGGGAGGGAGATGGAGAGAGAGAGAGAGAGAGAGAGAGAGAGAGAGAGAGAGAGAGAGAGAGAGAGAGAGAGGGGGAGGGAAAGAGAGAGCCTGCTTGACTCATGTTTTCGCTCACGCCGTTCTTTTGTAATTAAATCTCTTATTTTGAATGAGAAAACCACCCAAACCTGCCGAAATGTCAGTTGCCCAATCACGTGTTTACATTTATTCACGTTATCTTTTCACTTGTAATCCTAAACTTGGAGACTAAGCTTGCGATCAGGATCCTTGCGCTGAGCATGTAGTGTTGTCAAAGACAACTGCAATAAAACGTTCTAAATGTAAATAGAATAATGACATACGTCCCTCTCACTAGCACCTTACCAGGTTTTTACAAGCATATTTCATCGCACAGCCATTTAACCACTGCGCACGCCGACCCTATCCGGTTTTTGGATGCTGGCAAATACTCGTCCTGTGACCATCCCGTATGCAGTGCCGGCCTTGAATGACAACTCTCTGTACCGACTGACGAGGAAGGTATGGTGGAGCCCCCGCTTCCTGTCGAAACCGGCAGGCGACCTGCTGAAACATTCATGAGGAGGCGACACTGCAGGGCTGTGACAAAAAGAAAACACTGAGCTCCACTTAACATAGTTTGAGCATAGATGTAACCGCGAGTGTCGCGGGCCGTATATTTTGGTTGCCTCGTCCTCCGTCGGCGAAAGGCATTAGCGGCGCGGTGGAGGCAAAGAGTTCGGCCGCGTGGCGGCGTCACGAACGTTCCGCATTGTTTGGACGAATTGAAAGGCAGAAAGGCGCAAACGATGTAAGTTGGTTGAAATGATTAATTTTTGCCATGTACTGTGCAATGAGTTAATGGCTGACTTCATTCTAAACGATTTAACGACTGTTTCATACGATTTTCTGTTCGTTTCAGAATTTACGGCATAATACAGCTATGTCACAGAATTGCATTATTAGATGGCTGTAACAGTAAATTATCGTAGTCTAGCCACGAATAGCAAATTTCATATGATCTGTATTGATCGGGTTACCATGACTTCCTGAATTGCTGACTTGACCTGTACTAACACAACCTACATGAACTGATTTTACCTGACCAATTCTACGCAACTCCGAATTGTCACCTGTAGTTGTAGATGTATGATATTGTCTCCTCTGTCACCTTGTGTAGACATTGATTCTTTTCCTGTGGCTGAATTTCATTACCTGAATTCCCTGGTCATCCTCTCACTCCATGATGGCCGAGCATCAAAATGCAGATGATGTGACAGATAGCGTGAGAAGTCGTAAGACAACAGAGAAGGGAGCTCAGTATCAACTCGGTGTAAAACAAAAGGTGTACAAGAGAGCATTGAGTGCAGTAAGGTCCAGTGGTCAGAGGCTGATTGAAGTTATGTCTGCAAATGAAGGCATAGGATGTGTCAAAGCTGAGCTCGAGAACTGGCTGAAGCTGTGTCAGGAGCTGACGTCATCTGATCATGAGTTAAGGTCCCTGCTTCCAGATGATGAGATTGATTACCATGTGAGTAGGCATTTGAGTCAGCTTGATGACAATGATGCCATGAAGGCAAAGGTGTTGAAGTATCTTGCGGACATCAAACCCGAAGAAATGCCTGCTGATGGTGTTGAACCTCAAGATAGTGCCTCAAACCTCTTTGTGACGTCAAGAACTGCTCTGTCTAGAGTCAGTCAACATTCAGATGGGGGAAGCTCGACGTTGAGCTCCGCCAAGCTGAAGGAGAGACAAAAGCAAGCAGAACTGGCAGCAAGAGCAGCTGTTATCAAGAAAAGCCAAGAAATGAACAAGAGGAAACTGGAACTGCAGTGTGAGGAGGAAGACATAAAGTTGATGACAGAGTTTGCTGTCAGCCAAGCAAGGGAAAGAGCCATTGATGATTTTGAAAGAGATATGAATGACACCACCAGAAACCAAGATGCATTCCAAGCAACGACAGCAAGACGCATGTCCCAGTTGATGCTGGACCTGCCACCCCAAGATGCTGCCCCAAGAACCCGAGTCCCACAGACAAGTCAGCAGCAAAGGCCAGCGTCAAATGTCCATGCTCCACAGACAAGTGAACAGGAGCAGAGCATGGATGTTATCCAGGGCCTTGTAAATCTGTTGCAACGCGAAGTAAAGCAGAGCCACCTTCCTGCTCTGGAACCGGACGTGTTCTATGGTGATGTGGCAAAGTTTGAGTTGTGGCTCAAGTCATTTGAAACATACATAGAAGCCAAGACCAGCTCTCCAATCGAAAGACTGCATTACCTGGGTAAATACACTGAAGGTGAAGCGAAGGCAGCAATTCTTGGATTCATCCAGCTGCGGACAGAAGATGCTTATCAAGAGGCAAAGAGCAGACTCAATGACAGATATGGAAACGAGTTTGTACGAGCAGCTGCATATAAACGACGGATCCGAAACTGGCCAAATATCAAGAGTGGAGATGGCAAGGCTCTGAGAGAGTTTGCAGACTTTCTTCAGCAGTGTGATGCCTTGTCAAGGACGTCTGGGCACTTGAAGGTGTTGGACGACCAACATGAAAACAGCTACATGTTGAAGAAGCTGCCCAAACATGTGGTTGATCGTTGGAGAAGATATGTGGATCAGCGACTGTATGAGCCACAAGATGGTGAGCCAGCAGAATATCCTTTATTCAAGGAATTCGTGAAGTTCCTGGCGAAGGAAGCGAGAGTGGCCTGTGGTCCCGTCGAAGACTCTGCCAACAAAGAAGAGAAGGATGTGCGCAGAGACAGGAGAGTTGTAAGAGCGCTCCAGACGACTGCTGCACCAGCCTCAAAGAGGGACAGCCACAGTGTTGTCAGACCAGGGTGTGTGGTGTGCTCTGACCGCTCAGGTGTTTCAGTTGCTGCCGCTCACCCAGTGGCAGAGTGTGAACAGTTTACCAAGATGACCCTTGAAGAGAAGCAGGCTGCAGTGATGAAGTATGGACTCTGCAGAGGATGCTTGAGGCGTGGACATGTCTGGCGGTCCTGCCAAAGGAAGATGAAGTGTGAAACCTGTGGAAAAGGTCATCCCACTGCCCTTCATGATGACAAGTTTCCTGTTGCAGCACAGAGCAAGGCAATCAGCGAAACTCGGAGGGACCTCATTCAGCGCGGAGATGCTGAGACTCAGAGGAGGAGCAGTCGGCCTGAAGGAGCAACGGACCAGCTCCAAGCTACATCCCTGCGTGTGATGTCCGGAGTTGGAGATAAGAGACCAGGCTGCGTCCACTCCATGATCCTGCCTGTGTTCGTTCGTCACAGGGAGCACCCTGATGTCAAGGTTCTAACCTATGCTGTCCTTGACCCACAGTCTGACGCGTGCTTTGTGACAGGCGGCACTTGCGAGGCTCTCCAGATCCAGGGTCAGCCAGTCTCCCTGGAGCTGAAGACAGTCACGGGCCAGTCAGTTGTGTCCAGCTCAGTCGTTGATGACCTGGTGATTGAGCCTGTGCAGGGAGGTGACAGCATCGTCCTTCCTCAGTGCTATTCGCGTGAGGTGATTCCAGCAGAGCGTTCGTGCATCCCCAGAAGAGAGTCTGCCAGGAAGTGGTCTCACCTGGCGCCGATCGCAGATGAGATACCGCTGTACTACCCTGCAGCTGGAATCGGCCTTCTCGTCGGGATGAACTGCCCAAAAGCCGTGAAGCCCAGAGACGTCATCACAGGTGACGACAACGACCCGTGGGCTGTAAGGACCGTACTGGGATGGGGCATCGTAGGCCCTGTCTGTGACAGCGAGAACATCAATTCTGGATGCCAGTACATCGACGCAGGGAAAGGAACCCGCAGGCTGTGTCACTTCGCATTCAGGACTACAGCTCATGAGATGACTCCTCAGCAGCTTCATGAGATGTTTGAACAGGACTTTGTGGAGACAAGAGAGGAGAAACCACAGTCAGTTGAAGACAGGATGTTCCTGAAGATGATGTCCGAAGAGATCCATCAGAAAGAAGACGGGCACTACGAGATGCCGCTTCCGCTGAAGGGAGACGTCAGACTGCCGAACAACAGAGCTGCAGCAGTGCAGCGCCTCAAAGGACTCCGCTCGAAGCTAGTACGAAATGATGCATTCCGGCGTGACTACACAACGTTCATGGAAGCCACGATCGCCAATGGTCACGCTGAGAAGGTCCCAACAGATGAACAGCAGCTCAGCAATGGCAGGGTATGGTATTTGCCCCACCACGGCATATACCACCCGAAGAAGCCGGACAAAATCCGTGTCGTTTTTGACTGTAGCACCGAATTTGGTGGAGGGGTGCTGAACAGTCATCTATTGCAAGGACCCGACATGACGAACAGCCTCGCCGGAATCCTCTGTCGTTTTCGGATGAAACCGATCGCTCTTACATGTGATATCAGAGGCATGTTCAATCAGGTGGGGGTCAACAGAACCGATCGTAACTTCCTGAGGTTCCTCTGGTGGGAAAACGGTGACGTGCATCAGGAGCCCGAGGAGTACCGAATGACGACACATTTGTTCGGCGCAAGATCTTCACCAGCATGTGCTATGTTCGCCCTCAGAACAGCAGCCGACAGCTACGCAGATGAAAGTGGAAAAGAAGCTGCCGACTTCGTAAGAAGAAACTTTTACATCGACGACGGTCTCACGTCCGTAGATGACGAAGACACAGCTGTGCGCCTCATCGACGCGACTCGCCAGTTGTGTAAGCAGGGTGGATTTGAACTACACAAGCTGTCGTCTAACAGCGTTGAAGTCCTGAAATCTGTGCCGCCAGAGAGCCGCTGCTCTACTACGCAGAGTCTGGAAGTCGGAGCGGGCAGGCTGCCCATCCAGCGAGCTCTTGGCATAGAGTGGGACACAGAAAACGACGTACTTCAGTTCAGTGTGAAGCCCAACGATAAACCACCAACTAGAAGGGGGATGCTGTCTGTGGTTAGCTCCATATTTGACCCCCTCGGCTTCATCTCTCCATTTATTCTGAGAGGCAAGCAGATTCTAAAGGAGTTGTGCCGTGATGGTCTCGGCTGGGACGACCCAGTCCCAGAGACTCTGCTGATGCGCTGGAATGAATGGATGTCAGAGCTGGAGACCCTGTCAACCCTGAAAATTCGAAGATGTTACACACCGATGGACTTCGGAGCCCTGCAACAAGTGGAACTGCACCACTTCTCCGATGCCAGCACGCACGGATACGGTCAGTGCAGTTACCTCCGCCTCATAGACGACCAGAACAGAGTCAGCTGTAGACTTGTGATGAGTAAGGCCAGGGTGACTCCTTCCAAACCCGTTACAGTCCCTCGCCTCGAGCTCACCGCAGCACTGATTTCCGTTCAAGTGAGCAGCTTCCTTCAGAAAGAACTTGACCTCGGCAGTGTCGCCGAATTCTTCTGGACCGACAGCAAGGTGGCCATCGGCTACATCTCCAACGAGGCCAGACGCTTCCACGTGTTTGTGGGAAACCGAGTCCAACAGATTAGGGATCGTACAGAGCCCCGTCAATGGCGGTATGTCGAGTCCAAGACGAATCCTGCTGATCTCGCCTCAAGAGGCACGAGCGCCGCCGAGCTCAGAGACAGCACCTTGTGGTGGTCCGGACCACCATTCCTGAACAGTGTGAACCCACTGCCGGATCAGAAGGTGAGCCCAACTGTGGACCAGAGTGACCCTGAGGTGAAGCACGCCATTCGGCCAGTCGTTACGCTTCAGACTGCAGCATCAGCGACACGTCCCCTTGCATCTGTGACCGAGAGACTTCAGCGATTCTCGACCTGGCACCGGGCCAAAAGAGTTGTTGCGCTGTGTCTGAGGTACATGGACGCGCTGCAGGGACGGCGCCACTCAATTGGACAACCACTGACGGTTGAAGACCTGCAAAGAGCAGAGACAGCGATGATAAGGGCTACGCAAGCTGAAGCGTTCCCAGAAGAGCTGAAAGTGTTGAAGAAGATGAAGGAGACTGATGAAGTGAAGATGAGTGTCAAGAAGACCAGCAGGCTCGTGAGGTTGGATCCTTTCCTTGGAGCCGATGGATTGATTCATGTAGGCGGCAGGATCCGGAGGGCAGAACTACCGGTGACTGAGCTGCACCCAGTCATCCTCCCGCGAGCAAGTCACGTCACACGCTTACTTGTCGACCACTGCCACCAGAGAACCCGCCACGCTGGCCGCGGGATGACCCTAGCGGAGATCCGCTCTGCAGGGTTCTGGGTAGTTGGAGCCAGAGGTGTAGTCTCGCGCCACATCCTGGCCTGTGTGACCTGCAAGAAGATCCGTGGATCTCCAGTGGAGCAGAAGATGGCTGACCTGCCGGAAGACCGCCTGAGCCCTGCCGAGCCGTTCACGCACAGTGCAGTGGACCTGTTCGGCCCGTTTTACATCAAGGAACGGCGGAGCGAGCTCAAACGATGGGGAGTTCTGTTCACTTGCATGGCATCAAGGGCTGTGCATATTGAGACGGCCAATTCCCTCACGACAGACTCCTTCTTGAATGCTTTCAGGAGGTTTGTCGGTAGACGCGGCCCAGTGAGAACGCTACGCTGCGACAGGGGCACAAATTTCGTCGGCGGGAAGAACGCGATGGAAGAAGCTTTGAAAGAAATGGACCACGAGAAAGTTCAAAGGGAGCTCCTGAAAGAGAACTGTGATCTCGTCGAGATGAAGATGAATGTGCCGTGCGCCAGCCACATGGGCGGCACGTGGGAGCGGATGATTCGCTCCGCAAGAGCTGCACTCAGCGCTGTACTGATCAGCCACGCCGGTCAGCTCGACGACGAGACGCTGAGAACAGTGATGGTGGAGGCTGAAGCAATCATGAACAGCCGTCCCATATCCTCTCCCGACATGACCCAAACTGACCTAGTAGAACCGCTAACACCTAACCAAATACTAACTCAAAAGACTAGACGAGTACTGCCCCTCCCTGGTAGATTCCAGTCAGCAGATGCTTACTCTCGCCAGCGCTGGCGTAGAGTCCAGCTAGTAGCAGACCGCTTCTGGTCAAGATGGAGGACGGAGCTCTTGTCTTCACTCCAAGAGCGCCGACGATGGAGGTCGGCGAGGCCCAACGTTCAACCGGGCGACGTCGTGCTCCTGATGGAGGAATCTCCGAGAGGCAGCTGGCCTCTGGGCCGGATCGTCGAGGCCGTGCCCAGCCGTGACGGCCTGGTGAGGAAGGTGAAGGTTCGCTCCGGAGGCCGGGACCTGGAGCGGCCTGTGCACGGCATCGTCAGCCTGACGCGCTGAGCGGCGTGGCCGCTGAGCGGCATGGCCGGCGCGGCAGAGACCGGGACCTGACCGTGGCGACTCTCAGCCCGGGCGCCGAGCGGGGTGAGATGTGATACAGACTCGGTGAATGGAGGACTCGAGCGGCGGATGTGGCCGTGCGATGACGGTCCAGGGTGGTGTCTCCATCTGCGGGTGGCCGTCGCTATCCGACACCTGACTGATCGGAGCCAGTGTGTGTACCTATTCACCGGCAGGGAGTTGTGTCAGCCGAGACACGCACTCTGACGATTGGACTGTGGTGTTATGAGGAGCCACGCGCTGTGAGAACGCATTCCTAAGTGTTACGAGGAGCCACTCGTGTTGTGAAAGGTGTATTTTGAGTGTCATGGGGAGTCACACGTGCCGTGAGAAGTGCTCACTTAAGCGTTATGAGAAGTCATGCGTCATGCGCAGTCATATGCGTGGCGATAAGTGTGTGGGAGATGCTAGAGAAGTAAATTTTGTTTACCAAATTTAGAGGAGCCATGTAACCGCGAGTGTCGCGGGCCGTATATTTTGGTTGCCTCGTCCTCCGTCGGCGAAAGGCATTAGCGGCGCGGTGGAGGCAAAGAGTTCGGCCGCGTGGCGGCGTCACGAACGTTCCGCATTGTTTGGACGAATTGAAAGGCAGAAAGGCGCAAACGATGTAAGTTGGTTGAAATGATTAATTTTTGCCATGTACTGTGCAATGAGTTAATGGCTGACTTCATTCTAAACGATTTAACGACTGTTTCATACGATTTTCTGTTCGTTTCAGAATTTACGGCATAATACAGCTATGTCACAGAATTGCATTATTAGATGGCTGTAACAATAGATAGCAATAGAATAAGGAAAATAATAATGATGAATGAAACCGTTCTACTGTTATCTATGATTGAGCTATCCTTTCGCATTATCTGTGTTGAGTTTGCTTCATATTTTGATAACGTTTGTATTTCATTCACTTTCTTTTATTTTTATTTCTTTTACCTAAGAAAGCAGTTAAAAACTATATGCGACACTCAAGTTGAAAATATAGGTATCTCAACGCATGCCGTATGGTATCGACAAGAAGAAGAATATTTATCAGTTACTTTTCTAGCCCAGCAGGGCGAAAAATTGATAACATGCTGTTTGCATGTTGCATTTTATGCATCCATGTATCTACCGTGGGTGTTTGTCCATCTAGCCACTGAGCCTCACTGGAATACAGCGCGCAATAACTCGTAAATCAACGATCAACGTGCTCTGAGTTGTAAACAGCTAGCATCCAATCTCGCACAAACACGCGCGAAACTGCCCACACCCCCGTTTGCACAAACACCTGAAATCTCCTGTCTCAGTTGACGTATTGACTGGATACCACGGACTCTCTGGCACGTTATAACTTCAGTAAGCTCTCTCCCCAAGGTCGCAGCATCAAGGGGACATAGGAGGTGGGCGTCTTACCTGCGCTAAACCGCTTATCTCGGGTCGGAGCCGCGGCTGAGACCAAACGTTGAGCACTGCCGCGGGTTAGGATCAATCGAACAACGCAAAAAGCCGGGGTCAGGTAATCAGATGCAACGCTAATCGATTGTAGATTCGGGCCTTTGTGGGCTTATGTTTCGTTATAATTGGTGAGAAGCGTCAAGAGGTCAACATGGGGCAGGTTCATAATCTTATTAGCAGAGTGCTGCTCCCAAAGCATGCACAACTAACGACGGACTGCCAAAGCAATCATCGCGGGATAGGCGTGAAAAACTTCTAGACCCTTCGAGTTTCTGTTTTCTCAAAGTACCTAATGTCTTGCTAATGAGATGACAACGCTGTATTTCAGAGAGTAAGCAGCTTCCTGCTGCACCTGCCGCTAGTCTTTCTGTTGATTGGAGCTCCGGAGCTTATAGCTGATAATCGTAAGTGAACGACAGTATTTACACGGACTGTAAAACGGTGCCTTAGAACGAATTAACTCGATCAGTACGAAATATAAAGGCCCATATGTTCAACAACAATCAACAGCTAGTGCTTTTAAAAACGTAGGCAAAGACTGTAATCAAGCCCAAAATAGACATTCTCCGATGCGGGGAACGCGACTCTGCCAAAAAAGTAAATTTGCTGCTACGAAATGTATTACTGATTCAAATAAATGAGCTGTTATCAAAAGACTAATCTGCATATTTTTCAGAACCAAAGCGCCTCCATGTTAACGCAAGAAGTGGATATCGTTCAAGATCCGGGAGGAACTTCGAACCATCGAAGAGCACAAGTAATGAAACTGCTTTAGCCGTATCTGGCTCTGTGAGCAATATCACAGTCGAATCAGCCTTCGAAGTGAATAACTTTCCACAGGACCAATCAACTAAAAAGACGGTCTTAGAACCACATACAGACACTGAGAGTAACCGTGCCTACGAAGATGGTGAAGGGAATGAGATTGCGAGACAGGCGGCCTCGCAAGCTTCCCAACGTCTACGTCCGTTTTCTTCAGCGAGGAGACCGCCACACGCTGCAAGAACTCAGCCAACGCCTAGACGAGTCTCCGGGTCCAGACGGCAGAACCTGGAAGCAATCCCCACTGCTCGTTCTGCACGCCCGTCGCAGAGACGATACACTGTGCCTAAAAGGCAGCAGTCGTCAGCCATTTCACCGGTCAACTCCGAGATAAGCACTGCAGAAGAAGATGTTTCCTCTGCGGATCAGAGCCCTTCTGCCAGCACAGATGCGAATATTTTGCGAAGACGTGGTTCTGTTACCTACAGAACGTCGCCGTCTAGGCTCAAAAGACCGAACACGATACAATCAAGTAGAAATGAGGAAGAAGTGGAAGAACCTGCTGAACAATCGTTGGTTGAAGAAAGGTTGCAAAAGCCACACGGACCCGACTCTGAGAAAGGACCAGCTAGTGAACCACAGGTCTCAACCACGACAAAGTCATCAAATACCGATGCACCAATTGTGGACGAAACTACTACTGAAGACAAAATCACGGGCACCGAAAACCGAACCTCCACGTCTGCCAGTGCTTCCTCCGGATCGCTAGTAGATCCAGGCCTGGAAGACGAAAAACAATCATCAGAACGAAGACTCAACGCAGTACCCAACGCCAGGGTAGTCCCGGTATACAGGGTTGTCAAACAACGTCGAAGACGACCTGAAGACTCTGCTACCGCAGCTAAAGCTCCTCACGATGCCCAAGGGGAGAGAGCCCCAACGGCCTCCTCTGGCCGGAACCCTCAACGGAGACGCAAGAAGAAGAATCGCTCTCGCAGCCAAGCCCCGAGTAGCTCTCAGGTAACTGGCGGGTCAGCAGTCACAAGTTGGCAGCCACCTCCATCGCTGCCTCCTTCATCAGGTGCGGAAGGAGGACGGAAAGTCGTCTGTTACTACACTAACTGGTCGCAGTATAGGTGAGTAGTGTCGACTGGATTCCTTGATGCCTTTCATGCCCACTTGGTGTAGTTTAGTCAACTCAGTCAAACACTGCCGGATATTGCTTCGCATGAACGGTTTGCTCATTTCAACTCGTTGAGCATGCAGCTCACACAGTTACGTTTTGCTGTGACCGACAAATATGCTGACAAACTATATTTTCGTGTCTTTTCCATGTTTACTCGCAACAGAAAAGTCAGATTAACTTATTACTAGACCCCAATGTTCCATTTGATCCCAATCCAAACAGTTCATTTTTCCGTTTACAGGCCTGGATTGGGGAAGTTTCTACCGGATAACTTGGACCCTTTCCTCTGCACTCACATCGTGTTCGCATTCTCTTCTATGAGTGAAAACCGTCTCTCACCATTTGAGGAGAACGACTTAGCGATGCCGGACGGCGGGCCGGGCCTCTATGAGCAGGTCACTGCTTTCAAACAGGTCAACCCGAAACTGCGCGTCCTGCTGGCTCTTGGTGAGCTCACAACGCCGTGGCCAGCTGACTTCCCTCTCACACAAGCAGATCAAAACGATAAGTTTGTTAGCATAGCTACGGAAGTTGAGCAGAAGCTACGGAATCAGCATGCATACTCCAATGATTACCTTTAACTAAAACATTTAATCATATTCCTCCAACAATCGCTATTAAAGAATCTAACACTAATTGCTATGATTCATCACATGCCTAACATATCAGCGAATATTTTATGTCCCATGAAGAACGAAATGAAGGTGCAGTAACGTTTGCATGACAGTGGAATTTAAATGTACCCTTGTATACCCACAGGTGGCTGGTCGTTCGGGACAAAGAAGTTCAGAGATATGACCAGAAATCGGTACAACCGGCGTACATTTGTCTATAGCGTGGCACCTTACTTGCGCGACAAAAACTTTGACGGCCTCGACTTGGACTGGGAGTACCCCAAGGGCGCCACGGACAAAAATAACTTCGCTCAACTCTGCAGAGGTGATTTATTTGTCATTATTGTATCGAAAAATATATTTTTTTCAACGTTAGATTAGGCTGGAGGCTTCATGCTGTTTCCATGTGTCGCACTCACAAATAAAAGCTTCCCCATTTTTCTTAGCTTTTCGGATGCTTTATTTATCGCTTTAGATATATAAATTCACTTAGAATATTCTTTTAATGCAATTGATCGAGTTTATCATATCAAAGCTAATTACTTTCACTAATGCTGGCCTTTATAAAAACTAAGCATCGCTCCATACTTATTTATGACATCGCACCCTTCATGCCTGACATCGATCTGTACCCACAGAACTCCGTGAGTCGTTCGAAGAGGAGGCGGAACAGAGCGGTCTGCAGCGGTTACTGCTGACCGCAGCCGTGCCCGTCGGACCCGACACTGTCCGACGGGGGTACGACGTCAGAGAACTGGCCAGGTAAGTCACAACTCACAGGCGTGGACTGAGACCGATGAGACAAAATGCCAGATAAAATGGCACAGTGAGAGCCACTGTCTTGTGAGACAAAGTGCTCATTTCGGGATTGACCCTGACAGTGCTTAATTTTTTTATTTATGTCATTCGCCAATCTTTCATTATTGCAAAATTTCTGAATATCTGCAAACGTTATTCGGTTCCTTTCTGTCGCTTCTAAGCTGATTCCTATGCACAAGAGCTAGAGACTGGCATGGCTACACATTCGGACTACTAATGACCTCACAGATAAACTGCCTGCTGCAGACGACGTAAGAAGCAATGTCGTATCTACTTAAGGTGAGACAAGCATGACAAACAAAATCCTCGTCACTTCTTCGTCGACAGGCACCTGGACCTGTTCCACCTCATGGCGTACGACTTTCACGGTCAGTGGGAGAGCCAGACTGGCCACCATTCTCCGCTGAACGCTCCTCTCAGAGACGTGGCCCACCGTCGTCAGCTCTCCGTGAACGCTTCCGTGCAGATGTGGATGGATATGGGGGCGCCGGCACATAAAATCGTACTCGGGTGAGTGTGAATATGTAGACGATGTTTGATGTACTTCCCCGTTGAACACGTTTACGATAATCACTTCTTCATTACTTTACATGATTCGATGGAATATCGAAAATTGGAAATGAGCGCATATGCAATGATCGGGTACTTTATGCAAACAGCTTTAATGCCACGCTACAGCAAAGGTTCAGCACGGTGAGTGGATGATGCCTGAGCTTTGTAATTTATTCTGTAGACTTTTCTGATGCCTAATCGTGCTCTCCTGCTACCAGGGTGCCCACATACGGTCGCAGTTTCACCCTGGCCACCACTACGAACACTGGAGTAAACGCCCCGACGAGAGGCGGCGGAGCTCCTGGACCGTTTACAAATGAAGAGGGAATTCTTGCTTACTATGAGGTACCGTCGAATTAATGAGGCATTGTAAATGACAAAATACAGGAGAACGTGTCTCAGGCCATATAAAACGACGCTTGAGCTATGATCATGAAGTAATGAACCAGTTTTTTGTGAAGAAAAGATTTGTTGAACTTCAGAAAGTCTAATGAAATTATAACAAAGCGAATGGAGCCACAAAACGATGACGATAAGTTATTACCCAATGAGCCAATTTACCTTGCACCAACTAAACTCATACGTATCTCCCATCCAGATTTGTCAGCGTCTTCTTTCTGGTGCTGTCTACATTTGGGACTACGAGATGTCGGCTCCCTATCTCGTCGACGGCGATCAGTGGGTTGGATTCGACGACGAGCGGTCCGTCAGAATGAAAATGGACTTTGTCAAGGAGCTGGGCCTGGCCGGCGCGATGGTTTGGGCGGTGGATATGGACGACTTTACGACCGCTGGATGTCAGGGAGCCGTCTACCCGCTCATAACTGCGATCAGGTGGGCTTCCTATTCACTTCCGACTTCCGAGCCTTTTTTTAATAAGGTATGCCCGAGCTGGGAACATTGAGTGCTAAGGAGTTGAGTATAAAGAGACTTAAGTTAGCAAGATGGAGTTGGCAGGAAATACAATTTGACGATTGTTCGACCAAACACCCCGGTGGTCCCTGGTCCCATTCCAGTGTTTCAATTAAAACACCTTGCGACCGATTGCAATAGTTCCACTGCAGTTTCGTTGTTTCCATTGCTAGCTCCCTTAGTGATTTGCAGTGGTTTCGTGGTTGATGGTTGTCTTGTAAAATGTGAACCCCGCCCCGGTGATCACTGAATGCTGATGATGTACTTCTTTTGTGTGACTGTCGAATAGGACCACTGATCCCTTATTTCCACCAGGGAAGAGCTACTGGGCGTCGCCCGACCTGACCTAGCACCTGACATTAATTGGTCGGAGGTAGCGGGACGTCCGGAGCCACCGATACCAACCAACCCGCCGGAGCCGCTACTCCCAGTTCTCTCTCAACTGAGTGCCGCTGATATACTGGCCATTCTCACCGCACATGGTGAGAGGGGGTGAGAGAGGAAGAAAGGGAGAGATAGGGAGGGGAGAGGGAGGAGGGAAGAGGGAGAGTGAGAGGGAGAGGGAGAGGAGGGAGAGGGAGAGAGAGAGAGAGAGAGAGAGAGGGAGAGGGAGAGGGAGAGGGAGAGGGAGAGGGAGAGGGAGAGGGAGAGGGAGAGGGAGAGGGAAAGGGAGAGGGAGACGGAGACGGAGAGGGGAGAGGGAGAGGGGAGGGAGAGGGAGAGGGAAGAAAAGGGAGAGAGAGAGAGAGAGAGAGAGAGAGAGAGAGAGAGAGAGAGAGAGAGAGAGAGAGAGAGAGAGAGAGAGAGAGAGAGAGAGAGAGAGAGAGAGAGAGAGAGAGAGAGAGAGAGAGAGAGAGAGAGAGAGAGAGAGAGAGGAGAGAGAAGTTTGATACTGAGTGGGTGTGTGAGTGCGCGACTGCGTAATTGGGAGAGTGAGTGAAAAAGTGCTATTTGGCATTGAATGCACGTGTATGACGATAACAAGTTAAGCGTCAAAAGAAAATGGATCTCGACGGAGCTAAGGCATATTCATTCGAGGCAGAGATGCATACCTTAGCATTTGCTGACACATCGGTGATTTATTTCAGGTATAAGTGTCGATTCTGCTGCGGTTCAAAAGCTTCAGGCACAGGTGGCCAGAACTCAAGCTTCTGCTTCTTCCACGTATGCTTCCGAAGATGTTCAAACACTTGACCAGCCAATCGTTGAAGAAAACTGTAAGTGAACAACCACATGTTTCTTCTGCAAAGCGTAATGCACGATGATTTATTAATTCATTGAAGCCGGCGAATGTTTTGGATGCTCTTAATTAGCAAACATCTAAATACGAAGTTTTGTCGAAATAGTGCTCCATCGATACTACTTGCTCACAAGAATGCAAAAAAAAGTCATCTAAGCGTAGCTAAATTTAGACTATTTAGTTATTACCCGGCTCGAGAGCGTCAGCCCCCCTCTCTGATATAGCAACAATAGCAACTGTTAATCAAAGCCGCACCACGCTTCATCTCTGTCTGTTTCTTTTTCCATCCACCAGTGGCTCCGCCGAAGGTTTTCTGCTACATCACTGATTGGTCGCGATTCCGACCTGGCCGGGGTCGGTTCCGCCCCAGTGACCTTGACCCTGACCTCTGCACGCACGTGGTTTGGGCGTTCGCGGGTCTGTCCCAAGATCGGCTGCAGCTGCCCTCGCCCGATCAGCGTCGGTCAGATCCGGACAGTGATTATCAACAGCTGCTGAGATTGAAGGAGGTCAACGCAGATCTGAAGGTGGGTTGAGTGGGAAATGATGGGCAGATGAGCGACATATTTGCATCGAGGCCCGAGGGAGGTTTTCTGCATTCGTAATAGACTCTAAGCTAGTGTCGCTAATTAAGATAATCACGTTGTTAGCATAGAATTTAACTCAAATGCGAAATATGAAAGCTCGTTCGATTATCAAATTTGTCTTTATTTGGATATCAAGCATTAACCGCCGATTGGGTGACTCAGAGTCTATGTAATTTATAGTGACGACCATCTAATTGGCTTATCTTTCCAATCCCTACTCATTTACTAACGAATCATGTTATTGTGTTGTAGATCTCTCAATTATCTCTGACCACGTTTTCATGAGCATCACTAATCCGGATCAGTGAAAATGGATTAGCTAATCCAGTATAGTTAGACACTTTATGAAAATTGAAATAAGGGATTAACTGTTTGTATAAACCTAATCCACTTTGAATTAAATCCTGTAAAGAAAAATCCAAAAAATATACACGATTTGAATTTGCTGATCACTGGATCAGTGATGCCTATGGAAACGGGGTCTCTGTGTGTTATGTGTATGCATCTGTTTTCAGATTTTGGTCAGCCTGGGAGGTAGCGTCGTGGATAATGAGCAGTTCAGAGAGCTGACCTCGAGCGACTACAGAATGAACACCTTCGTGTACGACACCGTCGACAGCATCCGCAGGCTGAGGTTGGACGGACTGGAACTGGCCTGGGAGTACCCCAGGTAAGCTATAACGGCTATACCAGGCAGCGCACTGTAGGCCGGCAGCCCGAAAAAGCGCTACGTTAGGCGGCACGGGCGGACATCGATAGCAGCGCCTCTATCGGTCACTAGGGAAAGCTGGGCTGTAGGCGACGAAATACCGGCTGAGTTGTCACACGTTGAATAGGGTTATAGCCATCCGTCTTGTGAAAAAGTTGAACTTTTGCCTTTAATATTTCTACAGGCAATTTTAGAAGTGTCTTCACATGGATTACAAAACCGTTTAGATTTTTGTATTCACTTCAAGCCTTCCCTATTGTTCTTGATGATGCGGGAACTATTTCTAATTAGTGTTTCTAGCTTAGTAAAAGAACATACTGTGCAAACGATGAAAAAAAGCATAAATGTAATATTTTAAATGCAATTTTCTCTAACAATTAATGGTAAATTCTCTACATATCAAGGGAAAGGTGCATGCTAACTGATAATTTAAAGTTCTTGGGGCCAGTTGTTTTCTTCTTTTCTTACGTCGCCCCAATGGCCGCGAATACACTTGTGATAACGCCTATCGAGAAATTCCCCCAAACTGACTGTCCGCAATATGAACAAAATAGGTATCATTTAATCCCAAATTGATCGAAGAATACGATTCCGATGCCATTTTTGCCCTAAGGTCGAAATTGAGGTGGTCAGTTGTCACCAAACACAAGACTATTTAGACTCGCTAGTGGCCACCACATTTGCCGATTTTAATGCTAATCTTTAGTTGATATTTATTAGTTGACCAGTTGTCGTTTTGAACGCAATTTTCTGTCAGACTAGTTCAGGGCACTGTTGTTCACTGTCCCAACAACATTCTTACATATTGCATCGCTTTTCTGCAACATAAGCTAGCTTTTTGCAAGCAGCTGCAAGACCTAAATAAAAATCATATCTAAATTTTTAAATAGACTTTTAAAAAAACGTTATTTCGAGCAGCTAAAAATAAACATCTTATACTAGCCGCTGATTACTCATCTTTCGTTCCAAATAGGTACTTTGCTGCTTTTCCCTGCTACTTTTCGAGATATGCGCCAGTAAACCACATGATGTAGGGGCAATTGTCACCTCGCCGCTCTACTGAATGCCCGGCGCTCTTTATAGCGCTGGAAGTTGTGAAAAACTAAGGCTTATAATCTGAATAAAATATATGTCCCTGAGCTCAGAATTGATCAACGCACACAATGCTGTCAAAATTTTTGGGCCAAACTAAAAAAATCAGTCATTATTAACCCCCAAACACAAGTAAGTGATAATCAACAACAACTTGCTCTTAAGTTAGACTTTTTGAGAAATGTTATTTCGAGCCGCTAAAAATGACCGTGCCATACAAACCACTAATCATCTTTCTGTCATGCCCTACTCGCAATTTTTGCTAATGCCTGCTACTCTTCGAGGTCACGTGACATCACCATTAAAAGTAAATGGGGAGATAAGGAAACTGTTGTTTTTGCGCATGGAATGATCTCAAACTATCTCAAGCACACGGAATCGTGATTTCATGCACTCCTTGCAAGATCCGATGCTTTACTTTTGCATTTTTGACCTTCCGTGACGTCATTTATGACGTCACTACGGTCATAGGAGTTTCTTGTCAATAACTCATGATCAAATTGAGCCAGCGACTCGGGAAAGCCACCAATGGACTCGGGAAGACCTCCCGAATCGAATGATATGCGACATGACCTCTTTCGACCATTTTCGTGACCTGAGGATGCTGACCTGACCTTGACCTGAGGTCAACACCTTAAGTTGACCTCACCCGAACAAAAAGTATACCATTCGACGCGCCTGAGCCAGGCAAACACGATGGTGCCAAAATTGCTGCTCTGCGACCATTTTATGCGAAATTATTTACCAAAAACCAAACCCTACCTTGGGCTTTTTGACCTCACCTCAGAGGTTACCGGTTGACATGTGACCTTGAAATCGGGTATCAATCGTTCCGTCTTGAAACGGCGCACACGCTTGTTTTTTCCGCGAGGCTCTAGCTCCATTAGGGGCGAAACGGCGAAAAGGGGTCGTACCAACCCTCCCCCTCGGCCGGCCGAGGGGGTGGGGGGTCCGACAACAGGTCCGGCGAGGGTTAAGCAGCCCCACTTCGTTTTTAGCATGTTTGCTTGTCGCTGAGATCAACAACTCAATCACAAATAATTTCTAGCACTTTTCCGGGCCCCCGGCCCAGTGTGCAGCGGCTGGACAGGCTGAAGCTGGCCTGAGAGTAAGTTATCTTAGGTGAATGGCTCCTCCGTGTTTGGCAAGAGGTCTGGACGCGTTTCAAACCACATATTGTATGGATTGTGAAATGGAGTTTCGGATTAAAACCATACGCAAATAGCATCGAATCAGATTAATAATAGCCGCTTTCACGACGGTCATCTGGTACATACCTATTTGGTGCACATTAGGTGAACATTTGGTGCAGATTTGGTCAAATTAGGTTCTTTGTTTCTTAGAAGTTTTCAGTTTGGGTTGCACAGTTGCATATATACCTGATTTTTCAAATTATCAGACATTATTTACGATAAAAAACATTGAAATTAATTCATGGTATGGTGATATTTGCTGTTAAAAAGATTTGGTGCATAATTCGTCAATGTTGGTAGTTGGTACTTGGTGTTCTAGTATTTTTAGTAATTTTGGTTGGTGCATTCGCCAGATAACCTGTCGTGAAAACGTCTATTGTTTCTCGAAGCCATTATACGTAAAGGATTGAAGCGGGTTGGAACACATTTTGCTTCCTCATAAGCACTGAACGCGAGTTCGTTGGATATTACCGTGGTAAAGTGAGTTGTTTCTTCGTTTCAGCGGTAATGAGGACCGAGACGCATACAGTCGGCTGGTCAAAGAGTTCCGGTTGGCGTTCAACAGCGAAGCATCGGCCAATGAGAGAGCTCGCCTTCTGCTGACGGCATCTCTGCCCGGCTTTCCTGCTGACCTTCAGAATGAGTAGGTATTGACCGTCATAACACACCTAACATCATAGATTTATAAGCAACAAGCATACTACATACATTGTCTTGTTGTTTTAAGTTTTATGAGCCAAGCCAAGCGAGTGATTCGGTCCTAAGCCCATACTAGGGCTGCGAGGGCCCTGAATATTTGAAAATTTATAAGGAGTCCGGCGGAGAAGCAAACTATACCGTTGCTCCGCACCTTTTCACGATTTGAGCACCGAGTGCATCTTTTTTCAACTGCCGCAGACGTAAACCGAGCCCTATACCTCAGACCCAGGAATCTTGCCAACTTCAGGGTTGATCAATTGTCATCGAGATACCTTTGCAACTTTCAGAGTCTCGAAGCAAACGCTTAAAATGAAGTTTAGACCCGAAGACATCTTGGCCAAAAATTAGCTCTAAAATCACCTGTTTCAGGTACAACATCCGGGAGATCTCTGAGCACGTGGACCTGTTGAACCTGCTGGCGTTCGACCTGCACGACACCCTGGTGGACGTGGTGCGACACGGCGCTCCGCTGTTCCCTCTACAGAGCGCGACTCCACAGGAGCAGCGGTATCTCAGTGTGGTCAGTGCGACTGGATTTTTGTCGATGAGGCTTGGGACCATTTTTTTGGGGGGGGGGGGGGAAGTCCTATAAGATTTGAAGTCGAATTTTCAACAGCTTCTTAGTTCTCAGTTCAATTACGGGTTTTAATCTTTTTATCCAGACATTTAAGTGCGCATTTCAAATTTAAATGTTTTTACGATGATGTAAAATACAGCCAACGACATGTGTTTTCTACATAGATATCAAATTATATTATGCTTTTCAAACAGGACGACGCGGCTCGTACCCTGCTCGAAGAAGGTGCTGCCCCAGAGAAGATCCTCATTGGTCTGGCCACGTACGGTCGTTCATTCACGCTGAAGAGTCAGGACCAGTACGACATTGATGCACCCCACCTGGGCGCTGGAAAGGCGGGGAAGTACACAGGCGATCCCGGCTTCGCCGCTTATTTTGAGGTGAGAATGTGTACTTTGACACTTATGTATGTATACAAAACGTATTGATAACTGAAATATAGCGGATCGTTAATGTATAATGCTTATCTTTATTATAGTTTTATAGGTAGCTAGTGTATGGAATTATCGAGTCATCCATACGCCTATGCCATTACATATTAGACCGCACTAAATATTTACCTATGCGTGCTTCCGATTGTTCCTGCGTGAGAAACGTTTCCATTCTGGTTCGCTTTTTTGCAGATCTGTGAATTGCTGGACCAAGAGAACACCACTTTAGTTTGGGACGCAGAACAGCAAGTGCCGTTTGCCTTCAACGGTGACTACTGGGTTGGATTTGACGACGAGAAATCGCTGGAGAAAAAGGTGCAAGTTTTGCGTATATTGCTCGTTTTGGTATTTATTTTTCGTTTTCCAAATCATTTGCCGATGAACATGACTTCTGAGCTGCTTTTAATTTTTCTACAATCATAAAGGGCCTTATACTTATATGAACTCAATTATTGGTTTAATGTTAACTCAAGAACTCTCGAATTGATTTTTATATTGTGCTATTTTTTACACGTCGTATTCCATCACATGTCGTAATCGTATGAATAAAATACTCGTAAGTTTTATTCAAATCCATGCGTCGCCTTTTTAACTCACTACAGTGATTTCCTTTTCAGGTCGAATGGCTGCGAGAGCTGGGGCTGGGAGGCGTCAGTATTTGGTCGGCCGACCTGGACGACTTTAGCGGCGCCTGCGGCGGCGGCCGGTACCCTCTGATGTCAGCAGTGCGGGAGGCACTGAGGGGGTACCGTGTGCGTTACACGTATGACGGGGTAACGGTGACGCCTGGTGCCAGTAGTCGCCCTGGAGCGATACTTCCATTGACGGCAGGTGAGTAAAAGCTTATAAGATTGAATACTAAGAGATTGTGCCATTACCTTTCTATTGGTGCACTTGGCTGTTGTATTTTCGTCCTAGATTTCGAAAAGAGATCAAAGAATCCTTCAAGTGGAAAATTGTGGAGAAACATTGCTAATCAAATATAAGTTTCTAGTGACCTTTGAACACAAAACCGAATAGCGAAGAAATATGAAATTAGCCATTTACGCTAACTTCAAACCAAAATATTCTATCTTATCATGAAATATGTATGCTGATCTGAAGTCGCAGTAACCATACATGGAACCTCTCTCTCTCTCCCCAGTGGGTGCCGCCGAACCCGTGACGTGTACAGACGGCGACAATGACGTCACCTACCACCGTGACCCGCTCGACTGCCGTCACTACTACCTGTGTCAGGGGAGGGTGCGACACCGAATGCCCTGTCCGAGTGGCCTGGTGTTCAATGAGGAGCAGTCTGTGTGTGATTGGCCGGAAAATGTGGAGAGGTGTTGGGGTTGACAGCGCGGCCCCGGCTGCCGGCTGAGAAATTATCATTCTTTCAGTTACTTTAGAAACCTACATGAGCGAAGGAATGCAGACTAAAATTGAGATTACGATATAATGCTCAATACTAAATTGGCCGTTTGCAAAGGGCATTTTCTTGCTCATGCTTCTAGAGAAAGGGATGCTTGTTGAGCCGAAGTGAGTGTGCCTGCTCATTGTGAACATGTCTATAGATTAGTGGTTGGAGACTGCCAGTATCATTGCATTCTTCTCATATTTAGAAACCTTCCGTGCTGTACAAAGCCTATTGCAGTATGCCTGATGCCAGTATAAGTGCCATTTCGTACAGTTTCAGCGGTAGATATTGCCGATGCAACTGTTGTGCTGCCGTTGACCTTAGGCCAACTTAGTGATGTGCTGTACTGTTATGTATGTGTGACTTGTAAATTGTGCAAGACGTGCGATAGGTTTGTTCTATGTATGTACCCTGGCGATAGGTATAGGTGTAGACATAAGATGAAACACGGGGGAGTCGCTTGAGTCGCTGCCTGTTCCGTACCTTCTGTCGTTTTTCTCTCATAATGCAAGATAAGCCCCTGATGATGTAGCGTATGAGACAATAAAGAAACATGACTTGCATCGAATAAACGCTGATATACCGAATAAACAGTGTCGTTTTCCATCGTAAGAACACAGACGAGTCAATTAGATGCCCGAAAGCTTTGGGAAGGCAGGTCCAATCGAGACGAAAACGCCACTCACCACCAAGCAATGTGCCGAATATGGTTTAACCCGCGCCCCGTAGGGCTACCGGCGGACCCTACCACCCGTAGGGGGGGGGGGGCCGTTTCGGCCCCCCCTAAGATCTCGGAAAGTTACCGGCCGATTTTCAAAATTCAAACGGCGTTCGATAGCCCCACCCGGGAACTACCTTGTGACCAAATTTCATTGACCTAGGGCAAACCGATGACGTCACAGGTCAGGTCAAAGGTCAGATTTTCACCGTTCACAGGCAATTCAAGAAATGTGCTGTGAAAGCGAATGAATTGGTAATTTATTGAAAACCATCGATGGTACATTGTTCGTCAAACACATACTTTGCTATCTGAGGTCACTGATACCAGGTCAGAGGCCAGTTTTACCAACAGAAAAATAGCAGCCCGGCGCAATTTTTCTGTCAAAAACCAGCCGACGAGTTTCACCAACCAGGCGAAAAAATATCCGCCGGCGTGAAAAAATATCAGCCAGAAAAATAGCCAATGAGTTTCACCAACGGCAAATGCGGCATTAATGGAGTGTTATTTTGCGCCATTATTTGTAGAAAAACAGCCCAAAAAATAGACGGGCGACCCCGTCTATTTTTTTGATGTCGTGTTGGAACAATTGGCCTCATTTGTTACTAATTATCGTGATTTGCGCTTCCCAGTTGATATAATAATTTAGTGTCATTCATGGCCAATTTGTAAAGCATCTGGGCTTCAAGATTAGAAGAGGAATACTGATGATATTGCGTAAAGAAAGAGCCTTTGTCACCAGGCAGGACCAAAAGGAACCAACAAGACTGGTGTTTGGTGTTGTGGTGTTAGTTTTTTCGTTTTATATTATCTTTTTGCTACAAGCACCCAACAGAAAGATGATAGCGCATTAACTAGTGGTCAGCTTACAAGTTCATTGCTCGCACGGAAGTGGAAAATAATGATGGAAGGTCATTTTTGAAAAATTGAAGGTGCTTGAAGAAATGCTGGAAGGAGAGGCAGAGAGGGCAGGCTCATTGGACTCAAGATTTTAAATAAATATGTCACTGTTTTCACATATTCAGCTACATTTGACATTGCAAGGCACCAGCTACTGATACTACTACTTTTGGGTGGAACTTACTTCAACTTGAGCTGTGCGGAATAGGGAAGGTGCATTGACATTGCTAAGACCAAAATGGCAAGATTTTCAAGATAAATGACAATAAATTTAAAAAAAGAAATTGAATAGCATGAAAGAAATGTATAAAGGCTTGTTTTTGAAGCAAAACGTGCAAAGTTTGCGTGGTTGCGAACCCGAACAAACTTGCTGAATGCTGTCATAAGATTGTGCCACTGAACTCAGCAAGTCATGCTGCCAATATTGAAGGAAAAGAAAATAATAGTAATGTAAAATGTAAATGAATCCATACAGTGGCGGATCCAGGGGGGGGGGGGGCAAAATGGGCATTTGCCCCCCCCCCCAAACGGCATGATTTTAACATTATGCCTATGGACGATGCATGGAAAGAATCGATAAATTTTTTATGGTTTGCCCCCCCCCCCCAAACCTCTGAGCTGGATCCGCCTCTGAATCCATAACTGTTGTGTGTGCACTTTGCTGATATTGAATGCATGTGTATCTTGCATGCATGAGTCATGCAGGGTGTTAAAACTGGCTGTAAGTATTGTGAGTTAGTTTTGCTAAATTGTTGAGGCACCAGGCAGATTGCGGCCGAAATGTTATTTGTTCACCTCAGCGCTGAAATTTCTGCACACAGAGTTTTCAGATCATGCGCTGAAATGTTCATGCAGCCCGTCCGTTACCATTACACTGGTCATGTTGACAGTGACAAGGATTTTTTCCCAGTCTCATGTTGAAATACAATAATAATTCACTTAGCTTGATTTTAGCTTATGTTTTTCATGCCAGTTCCTAGAATAAAGCAGCCAATATTTTCTGTCATGTGAGAAATAAAATGACAATATGCACAATTGCGGGCTGTGGCATGTTGTGAAGTTTTCCCTTGTTTATTGCTGAGGTTTTTCCAGTCTCTGCTGCAAAAACGGTGGTGAATCCACCGTCGTCCGACGGTTTCGATGACGCCAATCATCGGCGAGTGTTGCTGTGATGGCCGACCTGACTGAGCGCACAGCGGCAGCCGCCGTCGCCAATAACGACAGTGAGGACACCTCCGAGTCGGACGGAGACGCCGCCGCGGACGACTTCACCGTGCTGGACGAGGTGGAGCGCTCGAGCCGACAGGCCGTGCACAGCGTGCGCTGCCCGACTGGCTGGCGCACCCGCAGCCGATTGGCGACCGGCGGCCGGCGCCGGCCAATCTGCCGGCGCTCTGCCCCGAGCTGCGCGCCCGGCTGGCCGCCGAGGGCATCGAACAGGTGTTCCTGGTGCAGGTGACGGTGCTGCCCGAGCTGCTGGCGGCCGCAAAGTCGCCGCTGCCACCGGCCGACCTCTGCGTCTCGGCGCCGGCCGGCCGCGGTTAGACGCTGGCGTTCGTGCTGCCGCTGGTGCAGGCGCGGCGCCGCGGTGCGCCGGCCGCCGGGTGCGTGCGCTAGCTGTGCTACCCACACAGGCGCTGCCCGCTCAGGTGCCCGCCGTGTTCCGCCAGTACGACGCCGACACGCCGCTCTGCGTCCGGCTGCTGGGTGGAGACACAGTGGCACGAGGGGGGCACCAACTGGTGGCGGTGGGGCCGCGCGGCCCGGTCTCCCTGGCTGATCGTGGTGAGCACTCCCGGCTGGCTGATGGATCACATAACCAGCGCCGAGGGCTTCTCGCTAGCGCACCTGCGCTACCTGGTGATCGACGAAGCCGACCGGGTGATCGAGATGGCCGAGACGGGCTGACTGAAAGCGGTGGAGCGGGTGGCGGCGGCCACGGCCCGCCGCCCTGCATCGCCGGCCGGCTGACGGCCGCCGCCGTCTGCGCGCCTCACCTGCCGCTGCAGAAGCTGCCGTTCTTGGCCACCCTGTCACAGAACCCGGAGGCCGGAGAAGCTGGAGCGAATGTCGCTGTTCCAGCCGCGACTGCTGGTGGCCGGCAGGCGGCACGGCGGCCGCCGCCGTCGCACTGTCCGGTCAGTTCGTCGGCAGGTTCACCACGCCGGCCGAGCTGAGCGAGTCGTTCAACGTGGTGGCGCCGCAGCCGCTGAAGCCGCTGCTGATGCACAATTTGCTCCGACAGCCCGACTGGCGGCGCTCGCTCGTGTTGGTCAACTGGAACGAGGCGGCGCACCAGCTGGAGCTACCGCTGTCGGTGCTGGGCGCGCGCGAGGCCGAGTTCCCTGGGGCAGTGCCGGCGGGCCAGCGGCGGCGCGCGCTAGCTGAGATGGCCGCGCTGGTGTGCTCGAGGCTATGGCGCGTGGTATTGACGTGGACGCCGTGGACGCGGTCGTGTCGTACGACATCTCGGCGCTGTTGAAGGCACACTGCGTGCGTCGGACGGCGCGCGTCTGCCGGGCCGGCCAGGCGGTCACGCTAATGTTTGAGCGGCAGCGCAGCCATTTCCAGCGGCTGATGGCGCAGGCGGGCAAGGCGGACGGCCGGGTGCGGGAGACGCCGGTGCCGCTGTACGAGCTGCGCCAGTACGAGGCGACCTACGTCAGTGGATTTCCACACTAGCTTCTAGTTGATCGCTTTTTTCACCTTTTTATGCTCATCGCTCATGATTTATTTACATTTTAGAAATATTACAATGAATAGGTTGTCATCAGCCTAGAAAAGTTAAAGTAAGTAAGGCGTTTTTAGTTGCATAATGTATATTTGTTCATGAACACGGTTTTAACGTGTCATAACTCCCAAATACTTCGATATTAGACCCGAGTTTTGCAAACCAGTCGAAAGGCTTAGAGCGATCATTAGGTTGGGGCGTAGCCGGACGGCTCGACTGGGCGTGGAAGCCGGCGAAAAGGTGGTCACCACGCGATCATCATGTAAAGCGGTCTCCGTCGGACGATTGTGTCCGTGCGCAACGAATGATCTCGGCACACGTGGATGAGTTCGGCAGGACTCTCCACTGAGCGGTACTGGGCGCAGTCGAACGACGGTCGACGAAGCTAGCGCAGGTATTGTTACGAGCCGGACCAGTGTAGCGGGGCCGGAGCTTATATTGTTTGCTGTGTGGCGTTCCTTCGTCTTGACCGGGCCCGGCAAACGGGGCCTGCATATCAGCTGAAACCACCTAGCCGGGCAGCATGACCTCCACCTCGCCGAAGTGGGGCGAACGACCGCCCTCAGCCCTGCAATGACCGCGGTGCAGTTAATCTGGGTAGGTATCTTCCTGAGGTAAGACACTCGCCTTGGCACAAGGCTTTATATAGGCCTTGGCGAATCCTTAGCCCTCGGTCCTAGAAGTAGGTGTAATGCAGTGCGCGCGAAGCCGCCTCGCAGCACCGCAGTTCACTCGCTCGGCAGCGGAACTGTCCGTCCAGCTTCAGGTGGCGCCTCTGGGAACAATATTTGCCGCTTCTTCCCCACTCTTTTCACATCTAGGAAAGAGGTGCGACTCCTGGATCCGTCGGGAGCGGGTCCCATCTATCATAGTCCCCACCTCATAAAAGGTGGGAGTGGGGGTCCATACATTGCGTGCACGTTCGACACGATGATTTTCTACAAGGTGCGACTAAAAGCAGACAAAAAGGTAAATTGCAACTTGAAAGTATTGTAAAAATGAAATATAATAGGCTGACAGGAAAAAAGATCCACTTAAACGCACGCTTCCTATCGTCACCATCTTAAATGACGTAGGTTTACAATTTGGTGGTCTTGTATTGGCAAGTTATTATGATCTATTTTGCGGTTACAACTATTAAAAATATATATAATGTTTTCCAATAATAATATTGCAAAGTATTTGTGCTATTTGCATTAAAAAACGCGCTTAAATTTAATTAAAACATGTTTTAAATCATTTATCAATCTCCTTGACCATTATCGATATAAAAATATCAGCTGACTGCCGGCGACAAATATTTCCGGCCGAAGTCGGCTGGAATTTTTTTGTTGGTGAAACTCGTGGCTGTGTGGCGGCTATTTTTTCGGCTGGATATTTTATTTCGGCGGCCGGCTGGTATTTTTTGGTAAAACTGGCCTCAGGTCACAGCGAGGTCAGGTCACCGGGGGTCACAATATGAATGTGTCGTGTGATACATGTTTTATGGTCCATTTTACATGACAAATGCGATTATGTGGGTTAGGCAGCCTTTGGGGCCAGCCTAGGTCACGTTTTTGTGAAGGTCAGGTCAAGGTCAGGTCAAATTAGGTCAAATTTCAAAGTTGATATTTTTGCATAAAATGGGTATCGATTCGATGCAGCTCGTCACGGGGAGTCTAATGGTGGTCTTCGTTTTGCTCTACGAGTTCTAGAATTGCCAAAAATTGAGTTTGAAAATTTGACGTCATCATTTTTGAACAGTTTTTTCGCTATAACTTGGCCAAAAAACGAGGTATCGATCTGAATTTGGTATGTAGATAGAAGACGGTAGGCACTATCACATATATTCCGGTTTTTTCGAAACTCAAAAAACTTTTTGGATTTTTCGGCGAATATATCCAAAAATGCTTTTTTGATTTTTGGGGGTCAAAACTCAAACATTTCGAAAATTCGAGATAGCAGTTTTGTAGCCCTGTCAATTCTACACCTTTTATGCCTTGATCATTTTTCTGTATCTTCAAAGCTGTAGTCCTGACAGGTCTTCTCGCGAAGGTCTTTTTTCGGTCGAAATTGACAGAACATGACGTCACTCTGACGTCATTTGTGGCCAACCTATCATAGCCTCTGGAAAAATTTTTTAGTCACAATGTGTAAAATTGATGCCCGGAGGGGTCCTGAAAGTTTGGTGGCGATATCTCCAGCCGTTTAGGAGATATCGACCGAAAAGAACAGGGGGGGGGGCCGTTTCGGCCCCCCCTACGGGGCGCGGGTTAATTAAACTACAGCCCCTTCGAAAATGGTAGCCTAAAATGACCTCGGCGACCTCGAGGGGCCATCGCAATGTTTTTGCCTAACTATTGCGGTTACCCTATAACTCAGCAAGTACCGGGCCATCAAGGTCACCGAGATCACTTGAGGTCACCACTTTTGTGACGACTCAAAAAATCGCATGCGCTGATTCGACTGCCACTGTTTTTGTCCCGATCGGGCCGATCACAGATCGATTGCTAGGATGGCTGTTTGATAGACAAAACGTAGGTACCTACCTTAAGTTGACCTCTCTAGGTCACTGAGGTCACCTGAGGCCACCTGATTAGAATGACGATGAGTGATATCGAATACGGCAAACCGACTGATGACATTTTTGTCTCGATCGGCCTGGTAAGTGGTAGTTGCTGCGCGAGGAAGGCCCGGAAGGGGATGGCTGCAATACCTACGCGAAAACGTTGAGTTGACCTTCCAGGGTCACTGCATGGGTCACCTAATGTCACCGTATAAATGACCTCAAGTGGAAATGCATAGTGCAAACCGACTGGAGACATCTTTGTCTTCATTAGTCCAGTCCTTGCTGATTTATTTATTACTGTAGGATAGCTGCAACAGGCGAAAACGTCAATCTTTCAAGGTCACCTGTCGTCGCCCTCATGGTCGCCCTTCGGGATCGAGGTCATCTGAGGTCAAGGTGTTCGAAACGGCTGTCAAATGACTTACCATGATTCCAATGAAGCCAGTTTGGTATTGAGCGACCCGGTGATTTCTTTAGGACGGTTGGAGACGTGACAGTCAAATAGTGCGGTCCGGCCGGGTCAAACACCCGGGTCACCACTCACCCCAAGGCTATAGAACTCCAGGCAAGGACACCAGCCGTTTGACCTTGAACGCCGCCGGCCGGCCGATGACGTCATTGGAGGCAAGCCGGCTCGGCGGACACACAAGGCGAATGCATAACGGAGGGGCGGTGGAACGTTGCGGGAGCCGGGGAGATATTTTAATGTGGTTGCATACCACCATTTTTATGTTGATTGATCTACAGACTGCATTCTTTTAAACCTCGATGCATCCTAGGCCTGGATGGTGCGTACATTCGTGGAACGATCACCCCGTCCGACGTCCGTGGTCGAAGCTGTCATAGTATTTAAGACACTAAGACGGGTGCAATGACGGCGATCCGATCCCGTCTCTGGCGAATCTAGAAGGGGCGTAAGGACTCAGGCCGAATCTGACCGTCTATTTTTAGGGAAACGGGGTGGGTGAATTGACAACCGATGGCTTAAGAGATGATGAGAAGGGATCTCGTCGTCGATTGTTGTTTGACAGACAACACATGTTGTACTGGGCGTATGACCATCAGAGGTAATGCCTGAATGTAGGCAAGCATAATTGTTCTGTCATACTGTTTAGGAATATAAAATGGTAATGGAGATCATTGAGGATATGATCTCTACATTACGGGAATTCACTAATTACTACGGCCCATAGGGGCACCGCCGGAGCTGTTGTTTGCCATCGGTCCCAGGCAACTCCAGGGAGCTGCAGTACCCGGCGGCCAAAGCGGCCACCTCGTCGACTCGCAGGTCCTGTGGGATTCCGTGATGCTTTAGTGCTTCACCCACAGAAGCACGGGCATAGCAGTAGGATGTGGGGCTAGGTGTCTGTCCACCTCTTCATTGAAAGAACAACTGTATACAGCGCCTGGTCCCGCCGAAGCTCGGTATCGACTGTGACTTATTCACAACTGGCGGATCCAGGAAGCGGTCTTGGACACTGCGGGGGCTTACCCAAAAAAAGATTTCTCGGAATTAATTTAAAAAAACTCGGATTTCGATTCCTTGCGCACTGCTGTGCAGTGTGATTAACCAACTTTTCCTCAGAAAAGTTGTGAAGTTTTCTTTTATTCTCGAAAAGCAATTTCGGGCGCTGCCAATGTGGGGGAAGACATTTGCCCCAAATGCCTTCCCCTGGATCCGCCAGAGGGTTGCCCCACTCCGAGCTTGACTAAAAACGTCTTCAAACCCCACCAGAAACCGATGGTAAGGTGAATTTAAATCCAATAACTCATCTCTGTCTGCCCGCCTAAATATACAACACATGGTACGGCACCCGGCCCTGTCTGAGCTATGAGCCGATCGTGATATTTTCGCCTTTCCCCATCCCAAGCTCGATTAGAAACGTTCTCCTTCCCCACCCGATTGCTGATGTCAATTCAAATTCAATACCTCATCTCTGTCTGCCCGACCATAGGCATAATCCATTCATTACACACCGTTCAGCGCCCGGCCCCGCCAGAAGTATCCTAGCGCGCTGAGCAGTTGCCTCCAGCCGCGTCATCGCGAGGCCCCGCGCGGCCCATAAATTAATACATTGCGCGAATAGCCGTGTCGCCCCCCTGACTCACCCGTCGGAAACGGATCTGCTCTCGGACCAGTCGGACCCCTCGGACCCGGCAGCGTAAAATGTGCATACAATCTCAAATATTTTTAGGTCTGAGAGGTTGTTCTTTTTTCTCTTTTAGAATATAGTTCATCGGGCAAATTTTCTTTTCAATTTAGAAAAAAATGAAGAAATTATCTTTTTTTTTGGTCCCATTTGTCTCTTATAAATCAATTATTTAGAATGCTTGATAGACTTTCTTGTTCCATTTGCGGTGCAGTTGCGGCGGTTGTGATTTCATGCCCCGGCCGTGTCACTGTGAGAGGTGAGGATTTTCCGTAATTTTAAAATAATTTTGCGTGTTTTTTCAGATGCAGTTATGTTTTCAATAATGCTCAGAATGATTAACTGAAGTATGACAATAAAAACAGTTTCATTGGGCCAAAGACAAGTAATCAAATGCTTGAACCAAGGATGCTTACTTTCCTGAGCTTGAGCTGACATCGCGCATGAATTAAATTGTATTATTAAGTCTAAAAAATATATTTAAACGCATTATGGATTATGGAAAGACGAATTTCTCCATCAGTGCCTCAGACTCTGAAGCTTTGCTGCTGCTGAATTTGTCCGAGAATCACAACTTTTTCACTGTTTTGATATAATTCAAAATTTTGGTAATGGTGGGGTAGCACAGAAATCACTGAAAGGGTTATTTTACAATGAATATTGATGACTAGGAAGAGCTCTTTTGTAATTTTTAATATTCACCTTACCCTGGCACCTAAATAGACATAGAAGACTATAACATAAAGTTTTCCGCAATTAACTTGTGACCCCTGCCACTTTTTGTAGGCCAGGAAATTAATAGGAGCATGTGGCTTAGTACTTAATCAACTCACATGCACACATACATGGCTGCAAAGAACAAACTGCAATTTAGAAATATGCAAATATAAAATGTGGAATGTGATGACATACAGTGCGGGGGGCTACACTGTCCCTGGATGCAGAATTTCAAGTGGCCCCTGGTGGCAGAAATGCAGGCACTGGAAGTTATGCCAGGTCTAAGTTTTTACAGAAGTGTGTTGCACAATAACTCATACTTGGTGCTTAGCTCAAGAGGGACTGGCAGCCTGTATCTGTGCATGATGTGATAACACCAGTCACCAGATCACAACCCTGTCTTGTGCTTCACTTGAAGAAATGCAGCCATAGCCGCTGTCTAATATCCTAAGCTCTCCCAGAATGCGTTTATTGTGTGTAGTGCTGAATGTGTAGAAAAATGCAAGATCTTCAGCACTGAGCCATTGTAGTCATATTTCTAAAACAGTTGACACATGGCCACACTTTTGTAGCCAATGATAACCTGCTATGGCTGCATAGTTGATCACTTTTTGATTGCTTCCTCTCCCTCAACACATTTCTGTTTGAGCCATTGCTTGTTGAGGAAAGAGAGTATCTGAGCCAGGAGAAAATCAAGGTGCCAATCAGGGAAGAGACAACATGAAATGGTGGTTGGCAGGACGCCTAGGGAGCAAGTTTTGCCAATTATTGCCTATGATGCATATTGCTAGAGTTAATTGTACCATCTTGCTGCTTTCAGGAGGATCTTTCATGGTGCTCTCGACCAAATGATTGAAATAAGAAACTGTGGCAGAGTCCCAGCATGGACCTACTGAAGCAGCGACTTCAAGCCATCGCCGCCAAAGGACGGTTGACAGAAGAAGAAAAGCAAAAGGCGAAGAAAGAGGAGGATGCCGAGGTTGAACGTCTCTACACAGAATGGAGAGGAAGCAAACAAGAAACTACGGATCCATCTCTGAAAGTCATCCCTCGTTTCTACTTGAAACCACCAGGCGATGAGGACATTCTGCTGCAAAAATTACGAGAGGAGGCACGTGCCGTCTTTCTGCAACGTCGCAGCGAACAACTGCTGGATAATGACGAGCTGAAGGCGCTCTACGTCACACTGGACGAGCACCGAACTCCTCCGCTGGACACCACCGAGGGTATGCTCGGCTGGGATGATTTCTGTACCGCCTCTGAGAGAGCCACGCCCAAGTGCAAGCGTTATTTCACGCCATTCGTGTTCGCCAAACTGCAACAGGATGATCCATACGGCCGTATCAGCATGATGTCGTTCTTTAACTACGTCATGCGCAAAATTTGGCTTCATCAGACTCGTATCGGCCTATCACTCTATGACGTGACTGGAGAAGGGTTTCTGCGAGAGATGGATCTGGAAAACTACATCCTAGAGATGATCCCATCGCTCCCCCAACTTAACGGTCTCGAGAAATCTTTCCATAACTTCTACGTCTGCACGGCAGTCCGCAAGTTCTTCTTCTTCCTCGACCCGCTGCGTACTGGGAAGATCAAGATCCAGGACGTCTTGGCCTGTAGCTTCTTGGATGAGCTCCTCGAGCTTCGCGACGAAGAACTCAGCAAGGAGGCACAGGAGTCGAACTGGTTCTCCGCCCCTTCTGCGCTGCGGGTCTACGGGCAGTACCTCAACCTCGATCGCGACCACAATGGCATGCTGAGCAAAAGCGAGCTGGCCCGCTACGGCACGGGTACCCTGACTACTGTCTTCATCGACCAGGTCTTCCAAGTGTGCCTCACGTATGATGGCGAGATGGACTACAAGACATACCTCGACTTCGTGCTGGCTCTGGAGAACCGTCGCGAACCACAGGCTCTCCAGTATCTTTTCCGAATCCTCGACGTACAACAGACTGGTTGCCTGAACGTCTTCGCTCTCAACTACTTCTTCCGTGCCATCCAGGAGCAGCTGAAGGCGCACGGCCAGGAGCCAATTCTCTTCGAGGACATCAAAGACGAGGTGTTTGACATGGTGAAGCCGGCCGATCCTCTGCGTATCACACTACAGGATTTGGTGAACTGTGGCCAAGGCGATACGGTGGTGAGCATTCTTATCGATCTGAATGGTTTCTGGACTCACGAAAACCGGGAAGTGCTGGTGGCTGAGGGTGATGATGCGCCGGCAGCTGCGCTGGTGGCGGAGAGCTGATGGATAGTTTGGTGCAATGAGAGGATCGCTCGAATAGTGAAGCACAGGTCTGTGTTTGGACTTGCGAGAGTTCCTGTCATGTGATGACTCTTGTTGCTGGTTGTTCAATGCTTACATCTTATTTCACTTTGTCGCTAGGCTTGTAGTTTTCATTATCATCACTCATTATCATTTTGTCATGGCTCCATATTCAGTCAAGTCTTAGTACTGACTTGGTTGGAGCAGGGCTGTGAATTGTCATTTCTCATTTGGTCAGGACAACTGTCAAGTAATTGCCAGCAGTTTACATCCACGCTGTGTTTAATTCACAAATGTTACGTGCAAGTCATGTCAGCGTATCTGCTTACCCTACTGTTCTGCCGTTTAGGAATCTCATCCAGCACAATTTTTATGTTACATAGATATCAAACATATCGCCTAAGCTGGCTACATTTGTCCATGAGGTAGCTTATCTCTGCTGTGGAAAATGGCTTGTTAAAGTAAACATGCTACGAGAAAATAAATCGTGACGATTGCTTTACACCTCGTCTATGAATGCCTGAAAAGTGGAAACGCTTCATAGTTCATTGATTGTCTGAGATAACATGAATTAATGAGATCAACGCTCGAATTGTGGTTGGGTAAAACTAAGAACAATTGCACAGAAGACACATCCATATTGCACAAACCGACATCTTTGTTCCAAATGACTTGTCGTTTGCTAAAAGACGACTAACCGATCGGGTAGTGATCGATCCGTCAATCGTCATTTTCCTACATTTGTTTAGAGCGACGTTTTGAATTGTACGATGTAAAATGAATTGCTTTTTGTTCTTATTCGCAAACGTCTTATCTTTCTCCAGATCAGTCATGAGCCTATCTTCAAGCGTCGCCCTGCGCTGGTGGCGATGCCTCTCACGGCCGCTCTGCCTACACCAGCGTCGCCTACACAGAACCTCTCCGGTCAACCGATGGCGAGCGGCCCGCCTAGTAGCGCCACCTACAGCTACGCCTTTGAGCTCGATCTCATCTCATGAACCGTTGCGCACATCAGCAATGTGTCTTCATAGTACGGAAACGAGCCGTCTGCATACGATGCCCCCTACGCTACGACAAGCTAGGCCACCTGACCCAGACTTCAAGATCATCTATCGGTTTCCGTATATAATGTCGGTTCGGCTGATTTGCCGGCTGAAGATCTATCAGACCGGTCTGACGCTGGCTGCAGTGCCGGTGATGGTCCTACTACAGGATCTCGATGCTGCCGCTAAGGTATAGTGGATTTGATCCGTAAATCTCTCATGGATCAGCTTGTTCTTTTTTCAATATGAGACAGTTTGCGAGTGTTTTTTTTTTTGACAGTCACAGTCTCGGTTCTAACATCAAGATGACGATTTACTTATGCGAAAGAAATGACAGGCATTTGAAGTATGTCATACATCCCAATACGGTTGTGCTCTGTTCTTGTGCTCAAGTTAGCTGAATGCCGATTCATTACTGAAGGGCAAGCCGTTGGCCTTGCTTTTGTTTATGGGACTTAGTTCTCACTTTTGACTTTCCGGCTCAGTTTATCATCTTCCCATCAGTATCTTTAGTCTTTCTGGCCACCTGTCTAGCTTAATTGGTCTCTTATTTTCCGTTCTAGGTGGGAGCTGTCGGCCTGTTCGCCGCCGGCATGCTCTACATCATGGGCGAGTTCTTCCGGCGCTTCGTCGGCCTGCTATACCTCCACCGGGACGGAACACAACTGAAAATCGCTCACCTAACCTTCTGGGGTGGCCGTAGGGACATCGTCATACCCGTGGAGGATATTGTGCCGTTCTCTGAACTCAAAGACTCACCGACTGATGTGTACTTCAAACTGCGGAGGTATTCGAGCCCGGAGACGTTCTATGTATCACTGCGTTATGGCGGTATCTCTAGTATGGAGAGCTTAGAGGCTGTCTTTGGGCCGCTAGAAGAAAGGTGATGGGCCGACGCTAGTCGTGTGTAGAGATGGCAAAATGTGGACCCGAGGACCCGGTCCAAAGACCCAGTCTGGACCCATATGGGTCCAGACCGGTTCCTGGAAATTTTCTGACGGGTCCAACCGGGTCCTACCATAATCTATACATCTTGCACACTACACATTATTGCAAAATATGAAGTGAATGAAGTGAATGTTTCTTTGCACACAGTAGCTCATGAGTATTCCCAGTTGGAAATAGGTAGGCTGTTTTACATGATGCAACTAATGATACCTACAAGTAGTTTGTATTAATTGACTTTTGTGGAACGGGTCCAACTGGTTCCGATTCCAACTAAGACCGGGTCCGACTGGTTCCAGAAATGTCCAGCCGGGTCTGGTTCGAGTCTGGTTCCCAAAATTTTCATCTTTTGCCACCTCTAGTCGTGTGGCTACCTGAAAACTAGATAGTCGTTTTTCTGTGTCATTCTGTTTTGTGATTTTTTTTTTCACGAGTGAAACTGAGCTGATGTATGACCGTGAGTAAGGGAAGCTGTGAAATGTCAAACCGGTACATTGCTATTGTTTTCGATCGTGAATATATACCAGAGTGCTAAGCCCTGATGTCTATGGATAACCTGGGTTCGTATTTCGAAGTAAAGCAGCATCTATGCGTTTCTGACACAACTGCATTCTTGACTCTTGAGTCCGGGTCCCGGGATATAATATGTGATGATTAGCTGATATGCGCTGATTTTCATTTTCTCTCAAGCACTTTCATTGGTTGTGCGTTAGATTATTCGGTTAGTTATCACGTCGCCTTGACTCCTTCCCTTAGCGGGGCAGATATATTACAAAATCATATCCAACGCAGAAAGCTGTATAGATAGATCTATCACAATGCGATGAAGTTTCCACTGATCGTTACGGAAAGCCAAATACATTATTATGTGCAGAATTCAACGACTAAGCAGAACTCAGGCTCTCAAATCATCTCGAGAGGGGAAACCTCAGCAAAGGAGATTCTCGCCCCGTATCCAGGCGAGAAGCGTTGATACGCTTCTGCCCAAATAACGAACCACGAGAGAATACACGTACAGGTATTTCAAGTGGAGATTCGTCCTCACAGGGACGCCAGTAGAAAGGGCGTACGAATTAGAGTTCCACTTACACGTCGAGAGCCACGTGGGGAACTCCGTGGAACGTGGGTCACGTCACACGTGCCGCGCACGTGTGACCGGTGGTACACGGAGAAAGGAATGTTAGAAGATCGCGGCTCTGTTATGTACACTGTTAGGCGGACACCGTCTTGGTGATCCCGCGTGATGGCAGATCATTCCTTCCTGCACCGCGAGATATCCGTGCTGTCGCTATCCGAAATAACGGATACAACAGTCGTTCAAGTCCTTCGCACAACGCAGCGCACACAACCTCGCGACAGCGAGCCACATGGAGTCGTTAAAACTGCCCAGGTGGCAGCACTGTCGCCTGCATAGGTGGCAGCACCATCGCCTCAAGTTCCGTACCATTCCGTGCTTACGGAACACACTCCAGCGCTTGACAGCAATACAGCTAGAGTCTACAACACCAAAGAATGGCACATCGACACCAGATAAGACTAGCGGGTTACATAAATCTACACCAATGACCTGCCTCGTCACATGACACGACCTGACGGGCCCGCGCTCCACCACACAACCGCTCTTAGCTGCGTAATAAATAGACGGCTGCCGGGCTGCCTAACTCCGTCTGCGACGAACCTGGCGCACCGGCGGCAGTTTCGGCGCCGCCCGTGCCGCGTCCGTCTACGGTAAAGCTCTCTGAACTCGGCCTGTTTACGGCGAGTGTGCTCAGTCCCGTCGGCGACACACTTTTCGCGCGCGCTTTCTCAATCGGCGCATGCGCCGAGACCAGTTGTTCTTCCACTCGAGGACAATGCTCTTTTTGTTGACGATGAGGCCGGAGCGGCGCTGAGGGTCCGCGCCCAGAATCAGGTATTTGCTGGAAAAGCGGAAAATTAAGTCAGAAAACGAGCACGACCGACGGCTTTATCGGCTAGATAAGTCAGATAAAATCTATGACAACGCCGTTTGGTTGTGGTTGTAAACCGGCTAGACGCTAGACGTTACATATCTATCGAAATAAGATCACCTCTTTTGCATAGCTTCGGTAATTAAATCGAATAATCCCATTATACAACTAACCGGATAAGCGAATCTACCGAAAATCCGATCCGAAATGTAAGTTTCAGGTGTTATGCAAATGTTGGAAAGCATTGCAGCTTTCATCATTTTCATATCGATAATCGATTTTAATTATGGGTCTGCTAGTGCTGACTATGTGAAATTAAACTCTTGCGACGTTGCTGGTGAGAATCCAGCAAATACTATTTTTTTATGCTAATCCCATTTATGCAATGCTTATCAACCCATCCTATTCCTACCTGTTGATTTTGATTTTCGGGCAGTTGCAGCTGATGTCCTTCCTGCGCACGAGCAGGTAGCTGGTGCCGCGGCGCAGCTTCCACTGCGGGGAGCGGCGGTACACCGTCTGGATGTTGATGACGTACTTGACGTAGCTGTTGAGCACCTGCTGGTCCACCACCTGAGCCAGGAGCGCTGGTGGGCGGAGGGGGGGGGGGGGAGGTTAGAGGTAGGTCAGCGCAGAGGTCAGGACAGGTATCGAAAGTCAGACTAAAGATGAGAACACCATAGGGAAACTATCAGAAGTTGAGCTAGAGATCGGAGGTAAAGCGCCAAGTGTCAGGTGATTTACCGCCAGGTTTGGGCAGACAGTCAGCATTAAAGTCAGCGCTAAGTTCAAAGTCAGGTCAGACATGTCAGCACTAAATATGCGCAGTGCTGAAGTCAGCATAAAAGTTTATCGCAGGAGGTCAGAGCAGGAGTCAGCAGTCAGCACAAGAAGGTCGCACACCGAGACCGACTGACGGAGCAGATAACTTTTACCGACGCCTCACGAATCACATGGGCACCAACACTCCGGTAGATTACCCGACCTGCAAGTGTTTGTTTCCTATTACATATATTTTTTCTTATAAACTTACCATAGTCTCGTTTGCACATCTTCTTGGCGTTCACCTTTCGGCTTGTTATTCGGCATCTGCCACACTTATCTGTGAAAAAAAGAAACATTTTATCAAAATATGTTAAAACGGTACGGACTACGGAATTAGGACGAACAAGCGTCTTGAAACTACAAAGACAACGTTTCTATGAAGGTATTTTTTTTCGTAAGAAGAGTTCCGAAAAGAGTACGCCATAATCGTTTGAAAACGCTGAAAACTTGAGGCGATAAAACTAAAACTCCCATCGCCTCTGCGCTCTCCGTTTTTGCAACAACCAGCTTTGCGCTTGAAGTCTAAGTAAGCCGAGCATTACCACTGCCTCTTTTCACTTGCCCTGTGCCCACCTTCTATTCCCTCTCGCACGGTGGTCTCTGACCAGTGATGCTTTAGTTTACCACCAACATCGCCATTTGTCGCCTACGGCCACACACCCGTGATTAATGGGGCGCCATCCTGTGTATCTATAATTGAGTTCTCGCCATAGTGGCCGGCAATCGCATTCACTTATTTTGATTAGGCTTTTATGGTGCTAATGTAGTTATTTATTGGACTGGTCAGGTTGGGACCCCTGGGGCGCGAAGTCTGGGTGCGCTATAAACGAGGAGCGACCGGAGTAGAAGGGAGATTGGGAGGGAAGAGAAAAGACGGTTGGTGTCGGACGATATTAGAAACAATTACCTATGAGGAACACACCCTGGGGTTAGGGCATCGGCGGAGGTCAGTGACTTATAGGGTGTAACGTTCGGGTTTACCTCAGGTGTTGTCATAGACCGCACAGTCGAAGAGAAACATGAAGGGTCAACAGGAAGGAGGGGAGTGAGAACAAATCAGAGGGATGAGAGTAAGAAAGGTAGATGGAGAAAGAAAGAGAGAGAGAGAGAGAGAGAGAGAGAGAGAGAGAGAGAGAGAGAGAGAGAGAGAGAGAGAGAGAGAGAGAGAGAGAGAGAGGAGGGAGGGAGGGAGGGGAGGGATAGGGATAGGGATAGAGAGAGAGAGAGAGAGAGAGAGAGAGAGAGAGAGAGAGAGAGAGAGAGAGAGAGAGAGAGAGAGAGAGAGAGAGAGAGAGAGAGAGAGAGAGAGAGAGAAAGAGAGAGAGAGAGAGAGAGAGAGAGAGAGAGAGAGCCGACTATCGCTTCACCTGATAAATTGAAACTAGACCACCGTCTCACGCCCATCGAATGCGTGACCACCGGCACCTTTCCGGGTTTAGCGGTTCCATTTGTCAGACTTTGGGGAGTTGGAATCGGTTCTTAGGGATCTTACGGATCAAAGGTGTCCTAATCGCGCTGCGTCACGTGCCCAAGAGCTTTGATAAATAAACGCAGCAGAAAGGACGCAGATGCGCGTGAGGGCGTCAACTTCCCCGTCTTTCGGCGAACCAAGCGGCGAACTTGCGGCGAACGGTCAAAGGCGAGAGCCGATAACAAATTGCGGGTCACGGAACCCAAGGGAACCGAAATGCATCTGGATTTGGGCCGCGAGGAAAGCCGCGACTTCTGTGGTTTGCCACGTAGCCTGGCTCGATGACGTTTATCTCATTCGCTACACTAAGGAAGCAACTTCAATTTGTCAATTTCCGTTACCTACACTCAGTAGCTCGCCCCTCCTCCTCCCCCCCCCCAGCATAGCAAATTACTGTCGCTTAGGTCTGTCCCTAACTGTACGCTGGTAAATAAAATGTGGCTCATCACACGTTCATCAAAATAACGTCATTCTGACTGAAATGAAGAAGCGACTGTTACATTTATGCTCTCATTTCAATAGCAAATAGTGATGTCCCATCTCATAACAGGACCGAGTGCCACAAAACGTTTTACTACAGGAGCCAGTTGTGTTCATTTCGGGGCGTCATCTCATCCCCTTGGGTACGAACCCTCACCCTGCGCCAGTTATTTGTAACGGTGATATTAAATGTATAGGTACCTGGGCCGTCGTCGCTGTTTATTGCGACCACTTTATGACGCATTTAATGGATCCCGGCTTTGAATTATAGCCAAAATATGGAGAGCAGGCAATTTCGGACGGGTATCCTGCCTGTACCACTTGACATTGACGGATGTTGAGGCTAAATTGCGCTGCAGGAAACACTTGCTTTGTTATGGAAGAGGGGGAATATAAGATGCTGGATCGGCGTTAAAAAACAACTTACTCTGTGTGCTACAAAATTAGAAAATAATTGTTATGGAAGAGGGGGAATATGAGATGCTGGATCGGCGTTAAAAAACAACTTACTCTGTGTGCTACAAAATTAGAAGTGCAATGCATTAGCCAACCGGAGGGGAATAATCCTTTTTTTCAAATAAAATATGACTGATGCACGCAGTATCCAACAAAACATGACCATTTTTAAAACCCTGCTAGGAAGAAATGAAAGACCAGGTTAAAAATTGGAGAAATATACACGATACCAAATGGTCATGAAAATCATCAATAGTTATTGGCACCAACAGAAAAAAAAACTAGGCTAAATTGAGTTTCGATTGCTTTCCGATCAAACAGCTGCATGAGGTTAGGGGCTAACGTGACAAGCCCGGAACGCTTATTCTGGTTTCGTCAATATCCGTCCAATCACAACATTCGTCCTAAACTTCTTAAAAATGTAATTTAGGTGGTGTAAAATTGTAGTGAATAGCTTTATTAGCGCTTTACAATGCAACGTAAGTCACAAATCTGCAAAAGCGCACCTTCAAACAGACAGATCCACTAGAGACACATCCGATCACGATTCCGTTTGGCTCCGACCGCTCAAAAGATACACCAACTCCGCCGCAGCAGCCGGCGGCTCGCTTCAATCAAGCATCAGTCTTCTGTCACCCCTGCCGGGCGTCTATCGGGAGCGTTCAGTTTATTTAGTCTGAATGGTAGTGATTGGTCGGTGCCGGTTTTCGCTAGCACCGTCGGAAGCCTTCAAACAAACCGGCGTATTCCACAGGGACGGAGAGAATGAGATCATGATTTTGGGCCAAGATTGATACTTGTCTTATACGGGTTGGAGGTAAGGTATTTTACACGATCGCATATCGAGATCGATTGGATTTGATCTCGGATCTCCTGAACCAGCGTTAGCAAAGTGGGAAATGACTGAAAATTCGCAATAGACGACGCCCTTGGATTGTCTAAGGATGGGTCAGGCAATAATTTTATGCCTGACTGGTGACGTACTGGGTAAATAACTCGTTAATTTGGTGAATAAATTTACCCGAACTAAAAGCCAAAGTTTTATAAATTAAATTCGGCTAAGTCGGCGAGGCGAACAGCCGCCGGCAAAGGGGTGATCGGGGGCGGCACTCCCCCGTAACAAGGAATGCCGTTGAATTTCACGCCAATGAGACGCTCTTGCTCACCTCTCCTGCCCCACCTTATCCCGCTCTGTCCTTCCTTGATCTCTGTTCTCTCTCACCCCTCTACCACACCCTGTTCCTCTCTGTTCCCGGATATTTCTCTCGTGCATCGCCCGTGCCTGCCAGGGGCAGACACGCCCTCGTGATTTTGCCCCGCCCAGTGCAGCCTGAAGCGAACGGTTGCTTACCGAGTCTCATCGTGGCATAGGTATACGGCATAGAGGCTACATCTAGCGCATGAGCTGTCTCAAGGGACACCCTCAGATGATTTTTGACACTTTGACTTCCTCAGACTGTGACATCGGACGACAGAGTGACTAGCTGCCAGTCAATCTGCTTCCTTCTGACGGTAAGGCTGACTTCTTTCCTTCCTTTCTTCCCTGACAGAGGTGCTATCTCCGACTCAGTGGCTACCTTCTTTACACGACTACCTTCAACATATTGGCTACCGACATTGGCTACCTCCTAGCGGTTGCCAGCTCATCTCAACCCTTCCTCAGACGCGGCACTGTGCTACCACAAAATAAACCTCAGCCCATGCGGTAAACTTGGATCCTTACTTCTAAACACACCCAACCATCGCGTCGGCCGTGAAATCAGCCGCCAAGAACTAATCATACCACGGTTAATCCAGTTATGGATACGCGACCAGCTATCAAAGCTCCTCGTCCGTTGCATGGGCTGTGTTGCATGATCCGGTTAAATCCCGTGAACTGGTGTGGATTAGCAGCTGCCGGCGGCCGTCGATTGAGCCGTGATATCGTTACAATGTACAATGCAGTGCAATGTGTATAGGTACTGTGTAGTGCATTTACCAATGCGGCGTCAGCTCAAAGAATAACGATGAAGGCAGGGGAAACCGGCGAGATGCTGACATGCTACTTTACTTTCCATTTCAGTTAAATCTCATTGTGCATATGGGTTTATTCCATTGGCGGATCGTAGCAATTTAGACTAGCTTCATTGGGAAACCGGGAGAGGTATGCATTCATATTCGTTTGGCTAATGACAACACCTAATCGCGTTCGGTCCTCTTACAGGCTATACCACGAGTCAACCTCATAAGACACCAACTTCCCAACCCCGGGGAGACGAGACGAGGCGTTTGTCTCCGTCCCGCCTCAATACACCGTCCCGCGTCATAAAACACCCACCGTTCCGTGCTTCTATCCTCAGAATACTGAAATCCTTCTCCTCCACGCCGCAACCCCCCTCCGGGCTGGACAGGCAACTTTATCTCATGCGGGCTGCTCCCTTGGAGCGGCACCGCTGCTCCTGAGGGAGCCCACCCCGTAGCCGGGTGCAGTGAGTGCCTTGGGGCTGGGTGGCCTGTCCTCTGGACGGGCTCAGCCCCGGCGACTCACTAGGGTGCCTGCCCAGACCAATGTCTCCCCCTAATTCCTATCATCCTTCCGGCTCTGCAATGGTCTTGTCAGACCGAAAGGGCCTAACCCAACAAAACAAACAAACAAACATAAAACACCGAGACCGTCCGAACGTGGCAATATTGGCGCGCTTGTTTGCGTCGGATGAGGCGCCCCGCGGCGACTGTGGCGCACTAGATCCCGATCGTGGCGCGTCTGATTCGTTCCACGACGTCATTGGTGAGAAACAAGACGGAGAAGGATATTTTTCCCAGGGTAAATACTTGCACAGGTGGGTTCAGTATGAAGTCTGGGAAAATATTGATGTGATACAACCGTT